ATTGTCGCATTCGTTATACCATTCGGAAACATTTCCGTTCATGGCATCCAAAACTGTTGGCGTTATATTCTGAGCGGCGTACATTTCATATGGGTAAAAATATAGAATAGTTGGATTATGTGTCATAATAGAACCCACTCGTACCAAGCTTTACTTTCTTCCTGACTGAGTTTTTAACTCTTCTTTTTCCTTCATTGCCACTACTTTCACTAGATGAAGTTACTTCTTCACTACTTTCACTTTGTTCTACTCTTCTCTTCTTCTTTGGTGTCGCTTTTGGTAACTTGCCCTCTGCTTCAAGTTGTAGCATCTTTGCCTCATGTTCACCTAGTATGTTGTAAATTTCCCATGTCCTTTTTGCCTTTGGGCTCTGGTCGCCCATCTCAGGTAACCTATATCCTAGAAAGATTTTGTCATAGTTTGTATTTGAGTCTTTCGCGTATTGTTTGCATGACTCTTTCCTGAGTTTTCCGGTTCAAGCTCTTCAAACAGAGCTTGTCCATATGAATAAGCTCGTTTCCAAATATATGTTTTTGTAGCCATTCTGGTTTTCTTTCCATGTTACCAATAATATCTTTTGTGAATGGGAAAGCTTTACCCAATGTTTCAGTCTTGCGTCATTTATTTCTGTAGTTGGTTTTATTTTGTCAAGGAACATGTTTTCAATACTAACATTTCATTTGGTACTGTCCATTTGAGTTTTCTTAAATATTCATCCATTCTCGGTTCATTGTCTGCAAAGTAAGTTTTATGACATTTTGCAAACTTTCGTTTGCAAGTCATGTACAATAGGTTCTCTTCCTTCTCTCTCCCTAACTTTCTTTCTAAACTCTTCACCAAATATACCATCTCTATGGTTCTGTGTAGTTCTTTGAGATAAATGTTCTAGAACGTCAGTGTATATATTCCATCAGCCATGTTCATTTCATACTGGTCCAAAATATCTGCATCTTTCATATCTTTCAATGGCATTAAAGCCGCGCTGAAAATACCAGCTATATCTGGTTCACCATTCACTTCCATTGCGTCTACAACTTCTTGGAATTGAGGTTGTAAGTTTATGAACCACCTATCCGGATTAGCTTTATGACCCCATCTCATTGTAGTTCCATAGTCTGCAGAAACAAAAGTAGGTTTGTTTCCATATTGGCTAGGTTCTGAATGAACTTTAAACAATGTTTCATTTCTATATGTTTTTGTTGAAATTTAACCTTTTATTTTCACCGAGTTCAGCCAAAGATTGAACGTTATATGGTCGTAAGTAAAAAGGATTATTGTATTTGCGTTACATTTTCTTTCAGTACTTCCATTCTATGCTGAATATTTCATCTGATGTTGGAGTCTTTTGTATGTCGCGTAAACATTTTCGATATTCTTCTACTATGTCAGCCGAATTTTTCTTAGACTCTTGGAAGATTCCATATTCACCTCATACTCTTGTTGAGGGTCAAGATTTTTCGGCTGTTCCAAATCTTCATCTAGTTCTGTGAAGTTAGTTTCCAAAGGAGGGACTTGTTCGTTTCCTTCAGGCTCTTCTAGCTGTTGTTGCTGAACTATTTCTTCCATGTCTGGTTGTATCTGAACTTCTTCCTGTTGAGTTTCTTGTACCTCATCTGCTGGCATTTCATATATTCCGAGACCGTTTTTAACAAGTTCCCTATCTAAGTCATCCGGACTCATAAACCTTTCTTCTTTCGTTCCGTCTCTATTTTTACGCGTTTCATGAAGAGAGTTGAATTATCATTAGCTCTGACATCAAATATCTCGGAGTAAATTCATCCATGTCATTTGGATGATATGCTATTAAATCATATCCCTTAGCGAGCTTGTTTTCCAGGTTTGAAATTATATCCCATTTGGTGCTGAACCATAAAGCTAAATAGGTTCGGGTCAGTATTTCCTTCCTTGAACTTTTTAATAGCTTCTTTATATCTGTCACTAAAGTCAAGAGTATCTGGGTAACCATAATCTTCCTTAAGCATTTTTAAGAATTCTTGGTTTCCTTGTTCTCTACTTCTTTTGTGTCCTTGCTCTGTTTGTGGTTGTTGTTGTGCAGGGTTTTGAACTGTTGGTTGTTGTGTAGTGTTTTGAACTGTTGGTTGTGGTGCTGGATTTTGAACTGTTGGTTGTTGTGTTGGTTTTGGTGCATGCCTGTGTCTGTGTCCATGTGACGATGTAAATGTTTTAGGTAGTCCGGGTGCAGGTGCTTCTCTTGGAGGGTTTGGTGGTATATAAGTTCCACAGCTGGCACATATGTTCCATCTGCAGCATAATGTCCTACCTGACTTTCGTTTTAAGAAAGCATTTACTAGGTCTGTTTTGGTCTGTTGTAACTCTTTTTCTTGACTTCCACAACAGTTGCTCTAACGGCGTCATAGGCACTTTGAACTGCCTGTCTCGTTGCTGCATCTGTTATTTTCGTCATATTTTGTGCTACTTCTCTTAACTCTTTGTCGAAACCTTCAGACTTCAGTTTCTTTCCAGATGAGAAGTCGTTCACTAGTTTCACCTTACTATGAAGAGCTTCGAAGCATTCTTAAAGTCAGCATTCATTAAAGCTTCATTTGAACTGTCTTCATCCGCTTGTATTTTTGTCCTTATTGACCCTATAAGTTGGGCTGCTTTAGCGTTGGCTTGGGCATCTAACCAGTCATTATTAGCTTTTATATATTCTGCACTTTTCATTGCCTTTTGAATGGCTGCGTCGTTATTTTTACTTTCATGTGCTAAGTTTTCATACTGTACGGTTTGGTTTTGCAACTGTAAAAGTTTTTCTGCCTTTACATTTGCTTCAACTTCTTTTTATACTCATCGCTATCCATATATGTCTTCAGGGCTTTTTTTTTATCTCTTCATCTTTCAGTACTTTATTTGAGTAGTATGGTTTTTCAAATTTATAACATCTTGTTCCATTTTTGCTACTTCTGCTGCTTTTCTGACACTTTTTTCGCATATTCCTCTGTACTTAGTTCTTTCAGTTGTTCTTCTTTCTTCTTTTTCTCTACGTTTAACTCATTGAGTTTCTTTGTGTGTCTGTCATATTCTAGTTTCTTTTCGTTTTCACTTATTTGTTTCTGTATGTCTATGTTTGACTTTTTGACATCTGTTATTTGATTTTTGAGTGAACTCAAATTCATTTGACTTTGAGGGTTATAAGCTGTTCCGTCTGCAGCTCCACCATAGCCTGCCATTTTCGCTAAAAGTGCCGCTCTTAAACCTCCACTCTGTGCACCAATAACTCGGTTTAAAAGCATAGGGTTGCTTGACATTTGTTGCAACATAGTGGGGTCATTCATCATTTGTTGTTGCAACTGTTGTTGTGGTGTCAGTTTTACTATTGGATGTTTCAATGCTCTCTTCCTCTTACGTATATTCTTACGTAGCTTACGTGGCATTTTAAGTGAAGTTAAAAAGCGGTTTTTGACAGATGTTTATATGACACTTTTTGTTCAGCACAAAAAACTACTCGGTCAAAGTGTTGTCAGTTTTGTAAAATAACCGTCCTATCTCATTCTATAAGGGGAAAAAGGCTTCTCAAAGTATACTTCCTTGGAACGCGTGTAACTTTTCCTGTAGCGACGATAGACCCTTACTTGTCCGGACAAAGTTATACTATTTTGAGCGCTCTACAAAAAAGTCAACGGCTGGTCGGCTGGGGTTCGGTCCTCCTCTTGGGTCTTGGGCAAAATTTCTTAGGGCTAGAAGGGGCGCAGCCCCTGGAAGCCCTCCGAATATAAACTTCATTTATACTAAACATCTTCAGGGCTAGAGGGCGCAACGCGCCTGGAAGCCCCACTACCTTTTTTTTGAACATTTTTTATTTTTGTTTAAAACTTAAAATTTTGCGAATTTAATATAATTTATAAAATATAATAAGTATATATATTTAAAATACACTAAATTTAATTGTTAATTGACGTTTTTGGGAATGAATTTTATCAAAACATGCCTGAATCCGAAAATTTGAAAGAACGAATTACACAATCATATATGTAGAATTCAAAATACAAACTTAAAGATTGTATACGTTTAAAATTATTCAGATTGTGTTTGATTTCCACTCATTCTGTTTCTTTTGAACTCTAACACTAACATTTCATGATGATTACATGATCCATTTATACATGGTTGAATTGTTCCAGATTCTACCAGAAAATCAATCCAAATTTCTCAATGCATTCATGTTGATTGGACAAAATTTAAAATTTATCAGCCTGTTTCCAGAGAAACTCATATATTCCCTAATGAAATGTAATTTTTGCTACATTTATTTCAATCAAATTTCAAAAAATTGACTGCAGAGCTTGAAAAGGTGATGAATCATGTTGTTATTAGATGTACATATTAGATTTACTGTTTCCAAAAAAATCCTCAAATTTGAATAGTTTTTAGAAAATTTGGAATTACACTCCTTACATTATATATAATTAAATGTTTAAATTTTATTTATTTTTCCCTTTTAATTATATAACGTGCTCTATCAAAACTAACCTCTCAATTGAAGGCCACAAAATCTAAGTAGTGAGGGTACACAAATTTTGTATGGAGTACGGTTCAATTTTTGAGAGCCTCACTACTTAGATTTTGTGACTACCTTATATACACGTTCATTTCTATCGGCGCGCTCCGCGCGCCGATAGAAATGAATAAAAAAAAATTAATAAAATGGGGTAAGTGATTTCAAGAAGCCTAGAATAAAGTAACTATCTAGATATAATCGATGACAATTGAAATTATTGGCATATTCCAATAAATGAATTGAATTTGATTTTGAAAGACGATAAATTGATTTTCCATAAATTTTCAGCATTCATTTTTCATATAATGGGCATAAGTATTAGATTTAAAATAGCAAAACCTTATATAAAATTACAGTCAAATGACATTATTTTTGAAAAGCATGATTTCTACATGAATTTTGGCACCATTATATTACAAAGTAATAGAGTGTTTGAATAACTGTAAAGTTCATTCAAAGTTCTAATTTTGACGTTGATTGGATGTCAAAGCCAAGTGGGAAATTGGCGAAGACGTCAAACTTCGAATCTAATGTGAAAGTTAGGCTTAAGTCTTTCATTGTCGATGCTGATTCTGGAATCCATTTTAATTTATATCGTTATTTTCAGATTCCACCTCCAAAATCAATAATAAGCGATAATGATACAAAAATATCTATTCCACTCATATGTGAAGCAGAATGTGCAATATATTGCAACGGAAAATCATTAACATGCCCCATAATTTTATATTCAACTCAAGTTAAGATTGAAAACCATAAGTTACCTGAAATATTACCGGATTATAACGTATCAAGAAGACAATTTGTATTTAATTGGGATAGAGATGTAGAATTTCCCATTTTTATTTCAGAATTACCTGTTGATTCTATAATTGGCTTCAAATTCTTTGCAAAAGCTTTTAACACAGATAGAAAATTCGTAGGACAAACTCAATTACGATTTTTCACATGTTCAACGATTCCAAGATTAAGATTAGGCTTCTTTCCTTTAGTTTTTGATGGAACTCGGCCAACAAAACTATCAAAGCATATAAGAAGGCTTTATACAGGCAAAGATATCGAAGTTAGCACTCTTGATTCTCATTTACAATTAATAAATTCAACGTTACACCCAAAAGACGCGGATCTCTTTTACAGATCGATTTTTACTCCATCAGAGCCTTTAAAGCTCTCTAAATTCTCTCAATTTGTACATATTTACATCGAATCTCCTTGTCCAGATCCAACAACGATAATTTTACATACTTTGAGTGCACCACCACGGAAACCACCAAGTCATCTCAATCCATCCCAAAGATTGTACTATGATTTAACACATTCTGCTGTTGGTTTCAAATCATCTTCCTTCAAAGATCCAAAAGCAACGAAACAATTAGAAAAAATCAAATCATATGGACCATTTGCAGAGTTACAGCCAATGGACGTAAACTGCTTACATAACAACATGAGAGAATGCTTCAAAGACCAAGCACTGATGCCAGCTTTATTCCGCGCAATCAAGTGGGAAAATGAAGATGAAAGAGCCAAAATTGAGAAAAAGCTTATTGATAGAGAAACAATTGATGTTGAATACGCTTTAGAATTCTTCACTGATTTGTATAATATTAAATGCGTGAGACAATTCGCGGTTAGATCTTGTCGAAAAATGTCTCATCAACAAATTCTTCTTTATCTTCCACAAATCTTGCAGGCAACGAAATGTCAATACACAGAAGGACTTGATGATATATTAGTCTTTCATGCTCTTGAAGATCCAATTTTCGCTTCTTATTTATATTGGAACGCACAAGTCGAAAAAACAGCTTTTGCGTCACTTTTACAAAAATTGACAACTCAAATCACGGGAGAGGTCAAACAACAGCTTGAAGACGAAATAGACTTGAACAGAAGATTATATGATCTTCTACAGAACCATCCTAAAGCGCCACCCACTGTTATAAGAGATACAATTAGAGATTTGCTAAATAACGATCCTGTTCATTCTCAACTCAAAAGCTTTAAACCAACGCGATTGCCATTGGATCCAAGTTTGTTTGTTGTTGGAATAGATGTCACTGATGTAAAAGTCTTCAAGTCCAAACTTTGTCCAGTTTGTTTGGCGTTCAAACTCCAAAAAGGAGGAATTTATAGAGTCATCTTTAAGATTGGAGATGACATGAGACAAGATCAATTGATATTGCAGCTGTTTGAAGTTATGGATCATATATTTAAATCCGCTTCGATGCAGCTGAATATTACTGCATACATGACATTGGCTTTCAGTGAAACATTCGGATGCTGTCAGTTCATCGAAAATTCAAGGGCAATTTTGGATATCGCGAAAGATGGAATGAATATTTTGCAGTTTCTGGCAAATCCTGATGGAATTGTTGATAAATCAAAGATTGACATTTTCACAGAAAGTTTAGCTGCTTATTCTGTAATGACTTATGTTCTTAAGATAGGTGATAGACATGATAATAACATTTTAGTAACAAAAGATGGAAGATTACTTCATATTGATTACGGTTTTATTTTAGGTGATGTAACAAAACCGTTCACTCCACCATTGAAACTGTCAAAGGAAATGATAGAAACAATTGGTGCAAATGGAATGCAAAAATTATGCGATTGGGCATGCCCCGCTTTTAATTCTTTGAGAAAAAGAGCGAGATTAATTTTAGTTTTAATTGAATTGATGTTCACAGCTCCTTTGGAGTGTTTCCAGAATAATCCAAAGAGAAGATTGCAGCAGGTTGAAAACTGTTTATTACTGAAATGCACTGAAATAGAAGCTTCTAACTCATTACAGGCAACATTCGCGCAATCTTTGAATTCAAAAATGCAAGTTTTCTGGGATGCTGTTCATACTGTTGCTGTAAGTACAAATGGAGCCTCGGCTGAACAATAAAACATATATTTTGTTTATTAAGAATTTTTTTCTCCTTCCAACATTAAAAATAATTTCAAAGGGACAAATGAAATTTGAGGGTTATCTTTCAAAAAGTGAGTTTTTGCCAAAAAAATCTATCTTCAAGAACTTTTCATCACAATACAAAAATTTCTCGCAGAATAAGTAGCATCGAAAGAATAATACCTCCTGGATATCTAACTTGCTCCATTTTTCAAGTGATGAATGGAATGAAGTCTACAAATCGGCTTACTCAAACGAAATCTACACTCAAAATAAGCAATATGTAGGAAATACAGGAGAGTTTTATGTTAGAGGGGTTTATTTTTCAAAACTTGGCGATAATGGAGTTATTATTCTTGATTCGTCAGATATTAAGTCACTTATTTCCTCAAACACTTTCGAAAACTCATCTAGGAATGATTTGGGTGGATCTATTTACATTAATCAAGGCCAAAGTTCCATTCGAAAAGTTTGCAGTTTTGGATCTAAATCGACAAGTTTGGGAAAGTTTTGCTTTATTTCTTTATCAGATGATCCTACAAAAATCAATGAAGTTCATGATTCATCGATAACATATAGTAATCGAGGAGTTCTCAGTGAGCAATCTACAGTCTATTTAGAATATGGAAATAATTCATTTTTACAAAACAACATCACAAGAAACTATTGCGCAAATCATGCAGCTTTTTTAATTGGATATGGAGAAGGAACTTCTTTAATAAGATTTTCAATTATTGACGAAAACTATGTATTTTCCAGAATTTGTTGGACAGGGGAAAAACCAACAAAATGTGACAGCATTGTTTTCACAAACAACACTGATTCTAAACCTGATGGTACTTCTGTAATGTTTTATTGTTATAGGGGTGATGTTACATTAGAAAATTGTTTCTTTGCAAATAACAAACAAAATGGTCAATATTTGTTTGGAATTTATTCAGGAGGTTCAATTACAGTATCTAATTCATATATTGATACTACAAAACTATTATATGAATCAGGTCAAAATGTAAAAATTGGACCAAACAAAGGAATTTCACTTGAACTTCATTTTCTTTCAACAGAACTCTGTCCAGGAGGTGACTATTTTGTTAATTTTGGTAAAGGGAATAAAGTCATATTCACGGAGCTTATTCGTCTTCAAGGTTTTGAAGAAAGTATTGCTTCGATTGTTTCTTAATTTTTTTTTTTTTGTGTGTGTCAATATTCTATGAAGAAATATCCTTCACAGTTGAGTTGACTAGAATTCTTTGCTTTCCTGAAGTCTAATAGAATGATTGCAACATTTTAATACCAAAATTAAAATTATGGTATTGATAGCTTCGTAAATTGCGATTAGTATCATTGTGTTGCTAGAATTATATATAAGCGATCTGTAAGATGATGTTGTTTAAGGTTAATTTTCAGTTGCTTCAGGGCTGTTTTCAATATTTGAATTTATGTGATATGGGCGTAAATGTACCCTTAACAAAACAACATGAATTGATTGGTATTACAATAGACCTTAATAGTTTATTCACAATCATATTTATTGAACTCTTCGAAGATGAAAGGCATAGCGATTCCTGTAGTGAGAGGATGATCAGTTGTATTTGCTGATCTGTGGAAGCATAAGCTTGACTTTCCTAATACTTTGTTAAGTTCCTGGTCAGATCTTGTCCAGTTTACCATCCTTTCAGTGAGATATTTCTTTGTGTTTCCTGTTTTATCTGAAACTTGATCTTCAAGAGCATCAGTCAGAGCAGTGAATTTTATAGTATTAACATACCAGTCCTGGAAGTTATCAGCAAGTGCGCAAACACTCAGTCCACCTGCAGAATGAGCCAAAATGAAGCATTTTTCAGGACTGTTCGGAATAATCAATTTCTGGAAAACATAGAGTGAGTGACGAACAGAATTGTGAGTTGTTGCATATGGTTCTTTAATCTTCTTAGCACCTTCATGGTTTGGATTAAGGATAGCTACTTCCATTTGATGTTCTTTTGCAAATTTAATCCATGGAAGGGCAGAACCCATTTTTAGGCCATGATATGCACAAACACCAACACTCAATATGCCGGCATGGATTCTTCCGCTACCGCAAATGACAACTAAAAGCTTTTTTGGAGATTTAAAAGCATTGGGAGTGAACCATATGGGGCTTCCTCCTTTTTCTGGGACAAGCATAGATTGCAAGCCTTCTTCGGTCATTCTACGTTCTACATATGCATGAAGCCAGTCAGAAAAGTCATCATCAATCTTAAATCCTTTGTAATTCCCTATAAGTTTCTTACCTTCAGGGTCCACTAGGATACCATTCTCGTCGAAGTGGAATTCAGTCTTTGTCCCAGGGTCTTTCCAAGTATCTGATGTGATCTTTTTCTTTTTGAATAAAAACATTGACGAAAATAAATTTCAGGCATCAGCATTTTTCTTGTAAATGGGTTATATAATATGAATCCTAATATTTTCCAGAATAGAATTTGGCACTTTTTCGAGTATTTGTTGTAAAAAAATGGATAATTCTCTATGTAGAGATATTTGTCAAGCACTAATCAATGATAATATCGCGTTGTTTAAAAACAGTGAAGTTAACTTAGTAAATAATCTAGTTTTATACCCAAAAGAAATAATTATAATAAATAAAAGTCTTAAATGTCCATTTCAATCAATCAGTAGTCCAACAGTATTAATATTAGCAATATTATATGAAGCTGTGGACTGCGTAGAGTACATGTTAGAGAATTGTTCACCAAATTTAGGAATGACTGTACAAGGATGGTATCCAATTCACTATGCAGCATCAACAGGCAATTATAAGTGCTTACAATTATTGTTGCAAACACAATTCTATCAAGAAAACATCAGTATTCCAATTGCAGAACAACATATTTCCGAAAACTTGCGTTCAACTACAGCATTGCATGTAGCAGTTACAAATAGATGCTACGCACAAGCAATTATGCTCATATCTGAACTTCCAGAAATAAAATATTTTTCTGGAGGGAAAAACAAAGACTTTGGCCAGTCAGGGAATGAATCTTTTCAATCCTGCGATGTCTGTCAGCTCTCTTCTTACGGTAATTCTGCTCTACATATTGCTGCTTTCTTAGGTGATGCAGATATGTTTGAAATTTTGATGAATTCTGCACCAGACTTATCAATATTGAACAAAGATAAGAAAACGCCACTTGATATTGCAAAACAAAGAAAGAAAGCTAATATTATTAGTTTAATACAAAATAATTCTCCAAGGAGCTTAGAAGAGCTGAGACCTAAGTACTTTACACTAGAAGATCAATCCACTCTGAAGAATACTAAAAATATTATCGAATTATCAGAAGATATCGAAAGATTAACTAGCGTTATCGAAACAATGAAATCTCGTATTGCGGAACTTGAAACAAAGAACTCTACTAATTCTCAAACCAAATATTGCGATAAATGCGGAAATATATTGCTTGGCGTCTCGAAATGCCCTGTTTGTGATAAATAAAGATTGTTATTATTGTGCTTTAGTTTAGAATCTAATGATTTTTCTTAAATTTTATGTTATTCTTATGATTGATAAAGATATCTCAGAAATGATTGTATTTTATGGAATAAAATTCATTAATTTTATGGTTATGATTTTAGGTAATGACGCACTACAAGATTGATACTAATTGTTTATGAATTATTCATCATAAAACAAAATGAGAGGAATTTTTAAACACATATTTGAATAATTCGTGAATCTTGGCCAGAAGTAATTAGGTTCATAGAAAAATTCAACCTAAAAACTAATAATTACAATTTTCATGGATTATATCTTTGCGGTTTATATCCAATGGAAAGATTTGAATGAATGTAACTTAAAATTTGAATTGGGGACGAAGTATGTCAAAATTAGATTAATAATTTTTTTATCAAATGTAGTAATTTGATATTTGAGAAATAAAAAAAAGTATTTTATTTTTTAATAATAAATTTTTTAATTAACTTTGGCAAATAACAATAAAATAAGATAATTAAACTAAATTTAATCATGTTCCTTATAAGTAATACGCATAAGTCTTCCTTGTTCAACTCTTGGATACTTCGGATCAGGTATTGTCATTGGTCTTGGGTCTTTGATTACTCCCTTCTTTGCGCACTGAGATCTCTCCAACTGTTCCTCCAAATCAGAGTTGTAGAAAGCAGAAACTCTTGCGCCAAGGAATTCTCTGTGTGGATAGTTTTCAAGGACTAATACTTCCAAGTCAGTCTTTTGTTGTAATTTGCCTAACGCGTTAGAAGCAATTACATTGCAGCCGAAATAGTAAACAGCCTTAAGAGCCTTGCATCCTTCGAAACACTGTTCATGAACATATTGTAAAGCATTTGGCAAAATAACTGTTTCCAAAGATGTGCAATGAGAGAAAACTCCGTATGGCAATCTGGAGATTCTGCAATGAGTCAATGTTGCTTCCTTAAGTTTGCGGCATCCTGCGAAAGCCAATGACTCAATTGTCTGAACTTTAGGTGGTAATGTCAATGTTTCTAATCCGGAATTCATGAAACTGGATCTGCCAATTGTTGTAGTATCTGGATGCAAATAAACATGATCCATGTTTGTAGCATTAGTGAAACAATGGTCAGGAATCTTTGTAATCTTTGTCTTGTTCAAGTTGATTGTTTTGACACTGGAATATGCAAAACATGAGCGGCCAAGTGTCTCAACTTTTGAAGGCAAATTGACGGTTTCTATCGAAGAATTGAAGAAGGCGAAGTTTCCAAGGGATTCAGTGTTCGGAGGGAAGTTCACCGATGTCAGTTTTCTTGTTCCCAAGAACATTGATGAACCGAGAGTTGTCATATTATGCTGGGACAAGTCGATACCTGTTAACTTGGCGCAGTTTCTGAAGCAGGAAGGACCAATTGTGTGGACAGAAGGTGGAATAGTTATCCTTGTCAAAGCAGTGTTTGCGAAAACGCCTTCACCAATTGTTGCCAATGTATTTGGAAGTTTGACTTCTGACAACATTGTTGAGTTGTAAAGGAACCATGGAAGTAAATCAATTAATTTAGTTCCAGACAAATCGAACTCTTGAAGAGAACGGGCGTTTGAGAATGGACCTGATTGTGCAAGGACGAATTCGTGTGGCTCTGAATATTCAGCGATTACTTCATCCTGATCGTAATTAGGATGATGTGTTTCGTTGAAGAAGTTCACGTAAATTGTTGTTGTTTCGTAAAGCCAAAGAGGAACTTTGGAGTTCTGTTTGATCAATTTACTTGACAATATAACTTTGCTGAGTTTTGTGCAGTTTGAGAAAGCTCCACAAGCAATTGATTGCATTGATGTCTTTGACAAATCAACAGACAACAAATTATAGCAACCTGAGAAAGCCATTCTTCCTAACAATGTAACTGTCTCTGGCATTGTGAAATATGAAATACCACAATGTTGGAAAGCGTAGTTACCAATGAATTCGAGTTTTTCTGGTAACTGGATATCATTCAAAGCGAAACATCCACTGAAACACTTGTTAGAAATCTTTGTGATTGATGTCTTACTCATATCAGCGTTCTTCAAGTGGTGGCAAGCTCTGAATGCGCCAATTCCGATTGTTGTGACTTCTCTGTTCAATTCTACAGAGAAAATGGAAGTGTTCAAGAAACATTCATCACCAATTTGTGTGCATGTTGCAGGGATGTTGTAACCAGTTAATTTTGTGCAGTTTGCAAATGCACCGTAAAGAAGCTGTCTGACTTGTGTCTCAGCCAAGTTGACTTGCTTCAATGACGTGCAGTTGCAAAAGGCCAAATTGTGAATAACCGTCAAATTTTGAGGTAATTTGACTTCAGTCAATTTGAAACAATGAGAGAAACAATGGTCAGTTACATCGTAGAAGCTGCAATCTTGTCCGAGAGAGATTCTTGCTAGTTTGTGGCAATAGAAGAACGCGTATCTTCCCATATGGTAAATACTGCCTGTCAAACCAGTCAAATCACTCAAAGCGAAAGCCCATTCAAAGATTGTGCAGTTTAATGGCAAATTAACTCTTGTAATTGATGAGTTAAAGAAGCACGCTTGTGTTATATTCTTTACCAAAGTGCTCTGCAATTCGATTGCGTTCAATTGATGTGTGCAACCAAAAGCAGCTTGACCTAATGTCATCAATGAATTTGGTAATTCAATTCTATTGATTCCTGATCCGAAGAAACAGTGATCTCCTATTGATCTCAGTGTATTTGGTAATTTGACTTCACTGAGATCTTTTGAATGTGCGAATGTTCTGTTAGGAAGATCAATGATTGCTGTTTCAGATAAATCAACACTCTTCATTGCAGAATTCTCGAAACATGATATGGAAATACCAGTAATAGAACTTGGTAACTTCAATTCCTTGTAATTTGTCAAAAGGAAAACGTGTTTTCCAAGTTCATTCAAAGTTGTCGGCCACTGTATTGACTTGATTGACGAGTTGTAGAACGCGTTGTCGCCAATGTATTTGACAGATGTCTTCGACAAATCAATGTTTGATAACTGGTTGCACCATGCGAAACAATAGCTGCCGATATGAGTTAAAGAAGAAGGTATATTCTGGCCATTGAATGTTGTATTGGCAAAGGCAGAATTTCCTAAAATTGTCAATGAAGAAGGAACAGGAATTGGATTGATTGCGGTCTGGTAGAAAGGTGAATCTTCCATTCTCTGGATATTATTAGGTAACTTGACAACAGCGAGATTTGTACAGCCTCTAAATGTTCCGTTCAAAATTGTAACAGCGGTGTTACTTAAATCAACATTTTTGAGGTATTTGCAGTTTTCAAATGCACGAGATCCGATTACGGAAATCTGATTGAAAACAGGTAAAGAAGTCATCGCTGTATCTGCTAACGCGCAAACACCAATAACTGTCAAGTTCGCTGGGAACAAAATCCTTGACAATGATGTGCAAATGGCGAAAGAGAAATCGGAAAGTTCGCCAATGGTTGAAAGGGCCAAATCGGCGGTTTTCAGCTTCCTGCATGAAAAGAAAGCCTGGCGACCGATGTTGTTAAGAGATGCTGGAGCTGTGAACTCTGTGAATGCACAGGAAGTGAACGCGCCGTCTTCTATTGTCACAATGCTGTCTGGGAAAGTGATTTCGGATAATAATGAGCACATGTAGAAGGCGTTGTCGCCAATAGTTGTAATGGATGACTTGGAGAGATCAAGGGATTTAAGGGATATGCATTGGGAGAAGCAACGTGTTGGAATGCGCTTGATCTTCGATGGAAGTGTAACAGTTTCAAGGTGCGCGCACATTCTGAACAGTTCTTCGGGTAATACGTCGGAGTTGATACTCGAAATATCAACTTTTTGGAGGAAAACGTTCCAACTGAATGCGCCTTTGCCAATTTGGTTCATGTCTGAGGACAAAGTGAGCCCTTTAATATGGGTACCTGATACGGCGAAGTCTCCAAAGGAATTTAAGGACTTTGGATATTTAATTGTAAGCAAATTTGTGCAATCCCTGAAGAGATCGTTGGGGAAGGCCGCAATTGCTAAATCAGCCATCTCTACCTTCTTAAGAGATGAACAGCCTAAGAAACAGCCTTTTCCGAGGGTAGCAATTTTCGATGGAAATTGAAATTCGGAGATGAGAGTGCAATATGCAAATGTATACTTGCCCATTGATGTAACTGAATTTGGTATGGCTATTTTTTCAATTGCTGTTTGGTAGAATGCTTCATTGTGAATTGTCTTCAAAGATTGAGGTAATTTTACTGTAGAAAGGGAAACACAACCCTTAAATAAGCCAAGTTGGATTTCTACAAGAGCTGCAGATGACATATCAATGGTAGTTAACTTTGTGCAATTTGAGAAGGCAAATGCTCCTAATTTTGCAAGTTTATCTGGTAATTTTACCTCTACTAATGGAGATCCAAGAAATGCATACTGGCCTATTTCCGTAAGTGTTGATGGAAGTAGAATTCTTTGAATAGTAGTATTTGAAAATGCGTTTTCTTTAATAGATTCGATCTTTGTTTTAGAAAGATCGATAATTTCTAAGTAATGGCATCCGGAAAATGCGTGTTCTCCAATCTTTGTGACTGATTCTGGAAGCGAAATTGATTGAATTCTTGTTTGATAAAAGGCATACTTAGCAATGCTGCCAATAGGATAGTACTTATTGTTCATGCTAACGTTTGGCGGGATAATTAGAGCGCCTGTGAACCTTGGATTGATGCATGGTTCTCCAACAGATCTTGGAACACCAAGAATAGCGCTGCCTTTCTTGTTAACATAAAAGGAAAAGTCGGCGCTTTCATCTGCATCGAAATCATCGAAATCGGTGTAGCAGATGGCTCGATATAAAAAGAAAGAAAGCATGTGCAATAAATATTGATTTGAATAATGGGGTCTCAATTTTTCAATTTCCCATTCTATATGTCACGTTTTTAAAAATGAATACATCATAATTCGGAACAAGAATTCTTTTTGGATGTTGTATAAAAAAGTGAAAAAACATCCAATTTCTATTCAAAATCAAAGAGAAGAAATATTTGATTTTCAACTCATAGGACAACTCACACTTTTTACATTATGAATTTGCAGTAAATTAGTATCCTATTTTTGTATTTTTTATGACTTAATTTTGATTGTTTTGGTTCAGAAATTTTAATCATTTTTTAAGGGTCCACTGTAAAAATTGAAAGTCTCTCAAAATTGAGAGGCGATTTGCAAATAATCGTTATCGTCTTTTTTCGAAAATCCACTTTCCCTAGTGTTCTGATTAATATTTTGTAAATGTAACAATGGAGTATATGCTTTAATAAGATGATAATATATTCTATCACTTCAAATCGCATAAAAATTGCAAAATCAGCGAGTTTTATAAGAACAAGATTTTTTCGAATTTTTTCGCTTTTGGATGCATGTTTTGAAAAACAGATATTTTCGAATTTTGATTTAATTTTAAGTATAAGTTTTATATTAGGAATTTTTTTTGACCTATTTCCAATCATTAATTCCGATGTTTTTCTAGGAATTTAATTGAGAAGAAATTAAGAATTTCGCTTTAATGTCATTACAAACTAATATTATGATGCATGTAGTTTATATTTATTGAGGCTAATGCCGGAATACCGTGCATTTTAAAAAAAATTCAAAGAATTGACAATTGGATAGCACAAATTTAATTCTCTAGACAAAGTATTATTGTTTATATATTCAAAACATTATCCTTAGTTTAGATATGTTGGTCAAAAATTTTGGTGTTATTTTTTGTGTTTAAGCATAAATTATGTATTTACTTATGAAAAATAAGCATTTTATTGATTATCATAAAGATACACCATAACAAATTGAAAAAATTTTAAAAAAAGTGTATTTTAGTGGGTATTATTCTGGCCAATACCCATTTTTGCACGACTTAATATTAACCATATCAATAGACGACTCAATGTAAAAATTTAGATATTTTTTTTTTCATTATTCAAACTTTGATAAATTTTAGTATAATGAACGATTTTGTTTCGTGTATGATACAGAAATGAAAAGCTTAATTAATATTGTTTTGCATTTTTTCAAGAATGTTAGAGTACATCTACATTAAAAAATCGGATTCGAATTGCGATACTGCATCAAATTGATGCACATCTGATAGGGATCTCAAAAGAGTAGAGTTAATTTTTTTGTGTTTTTTTAAGTTTTGGGCCTTAGTAAAACACCATCTTGAGCAATATTTTTGGGACGACGATAGGCCTTATTTGGCCTTACAGTGGACCCTTAAATGAACATATATCAAAATTCTTCACTACTTTGTTGGGGCTTTACGCTAACCAAATAGCAAATAATTCGATTTTTCAAATTATTTATTATTTAATTATCATCCAAAATTGTTTAGTTATTATAATGCATTGAGAGTCGGAATTCATCACATATGCTTTTCCAAACAAATGACAATAAAATTCTCCATAAGCTTCAGAGAGTTTGAATGAACTGAGTGCGAGGCAAATTTTCCACTTGTCACTTTTGGATAACCTTAAATCATACCTTTCATGTTTTTTTAAATAACCTTAATAGTTTATTATACGAGAATCTTGGAGCTCTGGGGTATTAAGCCAGAACTCCAAGATCCCAAGGATGAATACTCTCAAGCAATTATAGTAATACACCTTTTCAAAACGATTTTCATTGATGAACTTAATTCGTTTTGAAAAGGTACCTCTATTGTTAGAGAGATAATGTATAGAAAATGAACCCGTCAGCGTAGATCTTGAAGAAGCCCTACACTGAGAGGTTTTCAGAAGCTCAGGAGCTCCCTTTCGTAGTGATTGGGAGCTCTAGAGCTCCTCAGAAGAAGATTGGCTTCTGTACATTACATATTATAAAAAAGTGCAATGTGGCAAATTTGTATGTTCCCTAAGATTTCTTTCCAATATTTCTTTATCTTTTCGTTTATTTTAAAATGCACAACCTAAGTTGAATGAAATAACAGCAAATCATAAAATATGGTGGGAAATTAAAAACTTTTGATTGAAATTGTGAATATTTCGCGCATATAACTTATAAAGAATATTAATAATTATTGGCAATTTAACAAATCAATGGAAAATTTAAAGTGTTGGATTTTTTATTCAAATCATTTTTTATAAATGACGAGCTCAGAAGACGAGCAAAAATGCATTTATGAAATTCTAGAAAAAGGAAGTGCTTCTGGTAGTTCTGGTCAGTGTAAAAATATCCAAGCTTTCTTGGGAAACGTTTTAACAAATAATACTCAAATTGATTCAGATAATTATAGAATCGACCCTGGACCCCTTAAGATTGAATTAAAAATAAGGAAAGAATTAACTCAGTTCGAAAAAACCTATCAATATTATGAAGAACAGAATCTTTGTAGTCAAGGAATTTTCGCTGATGGAAATTCGATCCATCCTCAATTGCCGAATAGAGAACAAATGGAAGATGAAGATGATCAAGGCCAAGAAGAAGAAGAAGGTGATGTTGATCAAAACCAGGAAGATGATGATCAAATCCAAGAAGAAGAAGATGATGAAGACCAAGATCAAGCAGAAAAAATTTTGTTCAGCGAAATTTATAATGTGCTCGATAAATCAAATATCGATTGGACTGCTACAATAAACTATCTTACACCATTGCACTATGCCATTTTATGCTATGCCTTATACGACTCAAACGATTTCCGTGACTTTTACGCTAGAAAAGTTCTAGAATTAATAACTCCAGGTTGTACGGAGTATTCTACCAAAGCCAAGCACTTCATTGTTCGCTGCTTGAATAATTTCAATTTAAATGAAAATGCATCTGATGGAATCCCGTTCCTCATTAACTTTGCATCACAAATGGATACAATTATTCCAGGTGTATTTCAACAAATCTACGGAAATGACAAAATCACTGGTTTCAGATCTATCCTTCAGCAGTTCCTTGTGAGACCAGAGCTCAGAATGCAAGCACCAATCATCTATCAATATCTTTTACATTCTGGCAACTTCGATAAAGTTGATTTGTTCAAGCCAGTTCTTGAATATTCCCAAAGTCGTGGTCAAGAAGAAGAAGAAGAACCATCAGAAGAAGTTGAAAAATACCTCAATGGATTACAATTCTTACCAATCAAAGACGGATTCCAAAAGGAATTTCACGATAGCATGGATAATGGAAAGACTATGGATTTCAATGAGCCATTGCAACGCACTTTAATGTCTCATAACTTCTTTATTTCAAAGATTGAGAAATACTTATCACAAAGACCAGATGAGATTTCCGCAACTACAGAAGACGCTTCGAGTTTCAAGATCGATGTTGACACATTGGATCGCTATTTATTATTCGCTCTCAGCCCTCATAGCGACTTAAATGGTCAATTACATGATATCGCAGAAGCAGAAAAGCAATTTATTTCCTACATTTCATCAATGAAATTCTACTACATCAACTGTAACGATAAGAATCAATGGAGCAGCTTTTGCGATGGCTTCTGTCCAAATGTTCCAACAATGTCAGTCAGTACTGCTTTCCACAAGAAGATCGAGCATCATGAATTATTGTCTAAGGATAAGTTGATTCACATCAGACAATACATCCTTGAAACAGGAATGGCAACAGCTATGCAGAGTTCTCTTGAGTACGTAATGATGAAACTCATGGCAGGTGATATTGATACAGAGGAATCAATGTACGAAGCATTTTACCAGATCCAAACTCCTGAAGGAGATCCTACATCCCTTGAAGAGAAGGAGTGTATCAATGCTTTGTCAAAAATGCTTGACATAAAGGTTGGAAATCTTTATGATTTCTACTACGAAGTTCAGCATTGCGACAAAAACATCTTCCAGATCAGGAGATATAACTGCAATGTCATGAAGTTTGAGGCACGCACAAGCTCATTGGGAATCACAAACTTTTCCAATGAATTCATGAAAATCAATCATGATTACAACCAGGCTTACAGGATTGTCAGAAAATGCGTGGAAATCATCGAAAAAGATGGTTCAAACGTAAATATTGACCCTGATATCGCCGAGAAATACTTCAAAGAATGCAACGGTGATTCAAAGCTCATTCTCTACAGAGCTAAAGAAGCATTCAGCTACTTCATTTGGTACACGTTATAATTCAAGTAAAATCAATTTTAATTTTTAACAATTTATTTTATTTTTTAATGGATAAAATAATAATAAATCTGAGTAATCATTGTTTTTCCCATGGATTACCATGTGATTTTGATGCTTCTATTCTCGGCATCCAAAAAAAAATTAAAAATGAAGCATTTCTATGCATGAAATCCATATACAAACACAAATATAATTACCATTTGCCCATGCTGTATCAAAATGATCTTTATATACTATATAACTTAGAAATATTAACTTATTTTAAGTTTCTTTCCTTTATAAAATATCATTATACCACAACACTTCTTGCAATTTGTCATTCCAAATAGATAAAACATAGAAATAGCTAATATATCGGAGAAAAATTACAATTTTTATATGAATTTTAACTTAATTTATTGTTAATAATATGAGAAAAAGCTTCATAAATATGTTTAGTAACATAGTTTTCAACCACACTGCCATTCGAGATCGAATTGTGTTGGATCAGAGTCATTGACCCAAATTTGTGCTGTACCGGCATCTCCAAACATGTAAGAGAAATAAGAATCATCCTGGAGGTTGAGAAGTAAAGTCCAACCCTCGCCAGGAGAAGCTTCACCCTGAACGAAGTATGGGAAGCCTCCAAAGTAACAATTTGTGTCTCTCTTACTCCTGATTTCGTGCATAAGCTCTTCAACAACTAATCCATCAACTTCTTCCATTGATTCTAAGAAATCATTTCCGGAATCGTTGTATGTATCAATAACTTCATATGATTTGAAGATTGCTGATTCAATGTGAGCATCTTCCTTAGCATCTGCAAGTTCGAGTTTTGAAATATCATCTTTATGATAGATTCTTACTGGCATTGGGCCATTTTCTGGTGAATCTTCTGTATTGATGAAAAGGAGGATTAATGCGTCCTGAAGTTCTTGTGGAAGTAAGCGCTGGACATTCTCTGGAAGCTCTGGAACATAAAGTTGAACTGCAAGTTCGAGCTGAACACCATCTTCGGTCTTAACAGATGGATCTTCGCCTGGGAGATGTGGAACTTTGCCTCCATATTTGCTTAATGCAGCCTTTGTAGCTTCAGCTTTTTCGCATCTGATAAAGATTCCTTTCTTTGTGAAACCTTTCTTGCCAAACCATTCAATAGCTCCAAGCTGCTCTTGATTTAAACCTTCAAGATGACTCATTAGAAAAAAATAGTAAAAAGTCACTTTTCAAATCACTTAACTTCTCTTTGATTGGATGGTTGATCAGCCGCACTACCTATATATAAAGTCCTTATTAACAGTAAAGATTCGATATTCACCAATACTACCTAATTATCCACTAATTTGAGTCAGAATGTCTAAATTGAGAAAACCTCAATGCTCCATATACTGAAAATATAAACTATTCAAATGCATTGTTTTTTTCTTAAAAAAAATGCTGTATTTCTCTTTATTTGCATTTGCGTACTCAAGAATTTGTGAGGGTGGAGATACACTAACTATTGAGGAAGGTGTTATTGAAATTAATGAATCGTAATACCAATCTTGTAGTAATTATCAAGATATTTCATTCCCAACCACTCTCCGAATCATAGGCAGAGGAGCGTTTTCCAACTGTACAAGTCTTACTACTCTTTCATTTCCAATTAACTTAGAACGTCTTGAAGAATTTAGTTTTCAAAATTGTACACAGCTTACAATTGTCAACTTCAATAGCAACAATACATACATTGGTCCAGCATCATTCTTTGGATGTTCATCCCTAACGAATATTACACTACCAAAATCAATTGAATTCCTCAAAGAAAATACTTTTGCTTACTGCTCAGAACTCAACAATATTAGCAATACAGAAAATATCAAAGTTGTTGAAGACTATGTTTTCTACAATTGCTCAAAATTAACGATATTTAATTTCAAAAATATTGTTGAAATAGGTTCGAATTCGTTTTATAGCTGCAATATAGATTCAATAGAATTTGGTGATGATTTGGAATCAATTGGTGAATTTGCTTTTCATGGTTGTCTCAATTTACAATTTGTAAATTTTGGCCGTTCCAATCCCAATCTTTCTATTGGCATTTTTTCGGGGTGTGTTTCTCTAAATTCGTTGATTTTACCATCTTCATTACAAGTAATTCCTGAACGATTTGTTTTAAACAATAAAGCATTGGATCATTTGTACTTACCTTATTCAATAACAGAAATATCCGACTATGCTTTTGCTGGATGCACTTCTTTACAGGATATAGATTTTCCGAGCAAATTGACAAAAATTGGAAAATATGCTTTTCATTATTGCCAGCGATTTAATATACTTGACTTTAATCATACTATGTTAAAAGAAATAAATATTAAAGCATTTGGTTCATGCTCTTCTATAAGCAAGATTATTTTCCCATACATGCTAGAATACATTGGAGCTTCTGCGTTTGACTCTTGTGCCTATTTAACTCAGATAACATTTTCTAATTCATTAAAAGCCATTAATGAATCTGCTTTTGATGGCTGTAAAAATTTAATAAAAATTGATTTACCAGATTCATTAGAAATTATAGGAGAAATGGCATTTAAAAGTTGCAGTTCTCTTCAAGAATTGAATTTACCAGAAAATCTTCGATTTATTGGGGTAAATGCATTTTATGGAACAAATTTAAGAAAAATCACAATTTGCATGAAATCTGAAGTTAAAATTGGCGAAAAAGTGTTTGGTCCTCTTAATCAATTGGAAGAATTAGTCTTTTATTCAAATAATTATGAGATCCTAAAGTTTATACAAAGTTCCCCTATTCATAAAATTACATTTGACTCCATATTAATATCTAATATTCCAGTACTCAATTCTTCACAGTATTTAGAAAATCTTATCATTAAAGATCATGGAATTCCAGTTTCCTTTATCAATCATTTTGTTGTTAGTCATAATATATCTATTTATGTTTATGGAAACATTCGTTCTATTGAATCTGATTCATTTGTTGATGCAGGAATCAAAGAATTTGTTTATTGTGGCAATGACACTGTTTCTGGTGATTTCCTCACTCGCGCTTTATCATGTAATTCTGTCCAGTGTTCTAAAAATTACAAGAAAAATACATTTGGAGGAAAGCGCATTACTTACAACACAGATATTTGCAAAGATTATAGTCCTAATACCGGAATGAGTAAAACCACTAAAATTATATTGAGTGTCATTATCCCAATTGGTGCTATTTCAATAATTGTCGGAATAATTTGGGCTCTTAAATTACGCAAAGAACACAATGCCATTAACTCTAAACTATTAATACAAAGGCTCGTTGTTGAAGATTTTGGATAATTCAAAGTAAGATATTATAGATATTATAGAAATAAATAGATATGCTTTATTACTTTTCTTTCGATTTTGTTTGGCATCATAAATATTCTATCTTTTAACAGTGTTGTATCAAATTTTTCTAAATAACTTCTCTGTTGCAATATATTAAGCCAATTAGCTATATCACTTAAATTACCTAAGGGTCTATGAAAGGATTAATTCAAACGTTAAAAATATTGAGGCGAAAGAAAAGATTCAAGATTCGATCTAGAAAAACTCGAGATATTAGGTATATAATTTATGAATCTTGTCCTAGTAGCATCATTATGTTTATTAAGTAAATAAAAATATATCTAGTTTGTTACTCATTGAGAACTTCATCGGGAAGTAAAAAAAAAAGATCGTTTTTTTAGATTTTAGAAAAGTAAATGAGGCATATTGAAATTGTACGTAAAAAAGAGGCTGTTGTTGAGAGAGGACCGAAAGTACCACAAAAGCAGAAGGTAATTGTATTACGCCGTGTTCGTCCTGGCGAAGAATATACAAAGAAAGAAGAAATTCCTGTTTCGATTGGAATTCCTGAATATTATAAAGAACTACAAACTGCTCAGGCTGAGCAACAGAAGAAACAAGAAGAATTTCACGATAAAACCATCATTTTCATAATTGGAGGTCCTGGATCTGGTAAAGGAACGCAATCAGAGAAAATTATTCAAGACTTCAATGCAGGATACATGAGTGCGGGTGAATTACTTCGAAAGGAAGCTGCTTCAGATACTGAACTTGGACATTCTATTGCAGAACAAATGAAAGAAGGAAAAATTCTTCCACAAGAACTTGTTATTGGTTTATTAAAGAAAGAAATACTTGAACAAGGAAAAGACGTTTATCTAATTGATGGATTCCCTCGCGCCATGGATCAACTTAATTCATTCGAAGAAACAATTACACCATGCTCTGCTGTGATATATCTTGATGTTCCAGATGAAATACTCACAGAAAGACTTCTTAAGCGTGCAGAAACTTCAGGAAGAGAAGATGACAATGAAGAAACAATAAAGCTTCGTTTAGAGGCATTTCATACAGTTTCTGCCCCAGTTTTAGACTATTATAAAGAAAAAGGAAAAGCTATTGTCATTGATGGAAATAGAGCTCCTGAAGAGGTATATGAAGAGATTAAGGAGAAGCTTAATGCAGTATTAAACAAAGAAACTCCTCAATAATTCTACAAATCAAAATTAAATGTTAACATTTCATTGTAAAGTAATAATAACACTAATTAATTTTTTGATATCATCAATCAACCATATGATTTGTATCAGATTCTTGATTTAATAAGAAATATAATTTTAATTTAAAAAATGCTTGCGAAAGCATAGTGAATGTTGGAAAATAATGCACTATTTAGCTACAATAGATATGAAAGATTGTCAAATTTTGGCATATAATGCTTCTTTCGATGTTTTAGCGATGATTACACTATATAAGGGGATTACACCAAAAATTTAAGGTGTAAATGAATTATGTTGCGATTGGCTTCATTTCTTTCCAAACCATTTTAGAAATCTTTATATTTTTCTTCCATATCCTGTATCATCTATATGAAGAATGGGGACCAGTCACATACCTTTCATATTTTTGGATTTATCAATTTTTCCAAGTTTTCGTTACATATACAGCTTCAGCATTCTACGATCCTGGATATTTATCACGTTCATGGATCTCTCAAGTTCAAAATGATCCCGAATACAAAGAAGAATTAGCAGAAACTGGAGAAAAGAATTTTTGTGAACAATGTATACTACCTAGACCACTTCGATGTCACCATTGCTCTGACTGTAAGAAATGCGTATTACTTTTCGATCATCACTGCTTTTTTATTGATAATTGCGTTGGGAAGAGGAATTTTAAAGTTTTCTTTCAATTTTTGTGGGGATTCGTATTTCATTCAGGGGTGACACTGTTTATAATCTTCTACAACATTGCTACTCATGAACCAGATGCATTCCAATTAATTACTTTGATGGTCGGCCTTTTATACTTTGCTGTTTTTAGTAGTTTTGTACTTCTTCAACTTTTTCCTCAAATTGGATTCCTTTATCATAATTCAACGTGGGTTGAAGATTCAATGCGCTCGCAACAAAAGGAATTCTACCAAAAAGCAAAAGTTAACCAGTATTACGCATATGATCATGGCCTAATTCAAAATCTAAAAGAAAGATTAGGTCAAAATCCAATTCAATGGTTTTTGCCAACGCCAAATACAGATAATCCTTACAAAGCACGATACAATCCGTCGTATGTTCCGATCCACAAACTTCGTGTTTCTTTAGTTGATAGTTTCGACGAAAATTCTCCGTTATTAAAGAAATATGCAAGAAAACGTGAAAATGCCCGAGATATGGTTTAATTTATTTGTTTCTATACTTGTTTGTAATAAAATTTAAATTTTGTTTATTATTTTTGATGAAATCATTTTTGTAAAATTTTGAATAAGCAAAGCAAGTCTCTCATAGTGACTTAACCAAACGAATTCAATTTGATATCAAATTCATTGAAAACATTGAAATCTATATTTGAAACAAAATGCATATCTTTGAAATGTAGTGCCATTTAAATACAGACTTTTTTTGCAATTTCTATATTTTTACTTTCCATTTCTGACATCATAAATTTTTTTATGACAAATGTCAAAAATTCAACTTCGAAATTTTTTGACAATTTTTTTCATACACAATGGAGAACGAATCCCCTCCAGCACAAGAAAATTCTAATTGCCCATTGGAAAGATATTTGTTTGAAGAAAACCTCGATTACGTCAAGGATTTAAATCTTAAAAACAATGCAGCAAAAATTTCAGTCCATGTAAAATGTGTTTATCCAGATCCAGAAAATCCAGGTGAGTTAATTCCTAGATCAGGCTCTCTTTCACTATCAGCCGGAAAACCAATTGGACAAATCAGTAAAGATTTTCTTGCAACATATCCAGAAATCCCGAACAAAACATATTACGTCAGCTACGACCAGCTTCTTTTCCGTGAAGGTACTTTGGCCCAATGTGGTATTACTCATGGAAAGTCTGTTGAATTGATTGCACCTGGTAAAAACCATGCTGCCTATCATAATGAAGGACTTACTCTTATTGTCACGTCTTTACTTCCATTTATTTTTGGTCTTGCATCAGTCATATTCTCAATGACGTGCGGTGCTAACGTGGATACTTCATTCAAAGCTTTATTCCTTTTCTTAGGATTTCTATTTCTTATTCCAGCAGTTCTTGTTGGAGTTATTGGAATGATTCTTATACCCGAGTGCCCAATGCCATGTTATTTTAATGGCACAGAATGGTGTTGATTTTATCTCCTTTTTGTTTCATGTTTTAATTATTTAATGTCTTCTAAAGCTAATTCTCTATTAATATTTCACCTACATTTTAATTTTCATATTCAAAATCTACAAATATCATGATTTTGGTGATATTTATATGTGAAATTTGTGTGAGTATGGAAGGAAATTATATTCTTGTTAAACAAGCTTGCATTAGATTTTTTTCAAGATGAACGTTTTTTAATTATGATGTCACTTTTCATCATGCAAGGAGTTCCTATTGTTATTGATAATGGAACAGGCCTTACTAAAGCCGGTTTTGCTGGTGCAGAAGCTCCAAAATCCGTATTTCCAACTATTATTGGTTCACCTAAGTCAAATATGCAAATGGTTGGTGGTCAAAATAAAGATTTCTTTGTAGGATTTGAAGCTGTTCAAAAATCAGATTTACTTGTTCTTAGACAACCAATTGAGAATGGTACAATATCAAATTGGGATGATATTGAGAAAATTTGGCACCATACTTTTTACAATGAATTACTGGTTGCCCCTGAAGAGCACCCTGTTATCCTTGCAGAAAAACCAATGTCTCCACGTATGAATCGTGAAAAAAAGATTCAAATGATGTTTGAAACTTTCAATGTCTCTGGATTTTACTTAGGAATGCAAGCAGTTTTAGCTTTGTTTTCTATTGGATGCACTACAGGTGTTGTTTGGGATGCTGGAGAAGGCGTCAGCTTTACTGTTCCAATCTATGAAGCTTATGGACTTCCACATGCCATCATGCGCAGTACAATCTCTGGTGCTGACATTACAAAGCATTTACAGAAGACATTACTCGATCGTGGTGTCAATCCTGAGTCAATTAAATTAGAAGATTGCAAAGTTCTCAAAGAAAAGATCTGCTCTGTTATGTATGATTTCCAGGCTGAAGAACAGAAAGCTCAACAAGGAAAAATAGAGCAACAATCAGTAAATCTTCCAAATGGCGATCCACTTCTTTATACAAGCGAAGGATTCAGAACAGCTGAGATTCTTTTCCAGCCATCTCTTGCAGGTGTCCAAGCTGATGGTGTTCAGCTTCAAATCTACACTGCTTTGGAAAGATGCGATACAGATGTCCGCAAAGAAATGTATGGCAATATAGTTCTCGCTGGAGGAACATCTATGTTTAAAGGCCTCCCTGAGAGAGTTGAGAAGGAAGTTATTGCTATGGCCACACCTTCAATGACTGTTAAAGTTGTAGCAACACCTGAAAGAAGAAATGCAGTCTGGATAGGTGGTAGTGTTCTTGGATCATTAGAAGCATTCCCAGCTATGATGATTAATAGAGCAGAATACAAAGAAGAAGGAATTCAAATTGTTCACAGAAAATACTACAGCTAAGCTTTGTTTTTTGTTTATATTTATTTATATCTATATCTTAAAAAGTATGTTTAATTGTATTCACTGAAGTTTATTTCGAATATTTTTATTTTGATTTCTTATTTATCAATAAAATCAAAATATTTTTGCTTCAAATCACCGGAAATTGCATTAACAAAATTGAGACAAGTTGCTAGTGCTGTAATTTTATGGAAAATATTATGAATTTTGAGTTAACTTCCCCAGAAATCATGTAATATGTACCATCTTCTTAATAGAAACCTTTTATTATGTGAATTAAATGCCTATGATCATAAAAAAATTTCCAAAAAAATTCTGAAAAAACAAAAATGAAATTGAAAATTTTACTTTTTAGACATAAAAATACGAAAATCATAAATTTTTAGAAAATAAAATTGATTCGTTTTAGATATATTTTCATATTTCTCATAAGTTTTTTACACAATTTCTAGTTTTTGCAATGATTTCATCTACACGTTTTATTTCTTCATGTAATTCGAGGTAAAATGCAATGTATTATCAATTTTGCGCATTTTCAAGCAAGAGTATGATGCTTTTAATTTTTTTGAAGAAATTATTTCTTGTCACTTTTCATTGTATTTAGGGTTTATTTTCTGCTTATATAAATGCAAGCACCGATCGCAAGATCAGAAATAATAGACATGTCTACCCAAAAAATGCAAAATCAGAAAGAACATCATTTAAATTCGATTCGTTTAGCAGGATGGGATCTTAAAACCAGCCGAGCACACATTTTCCTGTCGAATTTCCTCGGCGCAAATTATGCTACTAGTGATGCTTTATGTTTGGCTCAATTAGCCTCTCATTATATAGGTTTAGAAATCGATCGAGCTGCGCAAAGAAGGAAAAACGTTCTGGTTAAGTGGTTTGATGAAAATATAGATCTAATTGAAACGTTTTGCAAGAAGTACGTTACACCTATATTTGAAGGTGATCAAACCGAAGATCAGCAACAGAATATTCTAACATAATGCATCCTTATACTAGCTCAAGATCACAAATACCAAAATACCAAGACAAAAAATCCTTGTTTTTTTCCCTTCCCTATTTATTTCTCCAAGTTTTAGAACGATTCTTTCAAAAATGATAACTATACCAAGCAGATATTACATCATTCCTCCTAGCTGCTGAAAATCTTGATTGCTTTTTTTCAGAAACTCAAAAAAGTGACAATGAGCTTAAACGAAGAAGAAGAAACAGGAGAAGCTCTTCATGAATGCCCAGAAAGGAGTTTTATTTGTATAGAACACCCAGGGCTTCCACCCAAAGAAAGATCGAGATTTGCAAATGTATCGAAACCAGATTATCCAAAAGATCTTTGGAAACAAGGCAAATTAATATATCATTTTACAAATAAAGAGAAATGTTTACCTGATCCTAAATCACCTGATGATAAAATTTTACGTTTTGATTCAAGATTTGAAAGTGGAAATCTTGCAAGAGTTTATTGCATCGATGATTACAAATATCACCTTATTCTAGAATACGATTCAGATGGTTCTGCACAATGGTTCTACTTTAGAATCACAAATGCTCAACCAAATGTTAAATATACTTTTTACGTTTCTGGATTTCACAAAGATTATTTAATATTTGCTGATGGCCATAAGTGCTTTATGTACAGTGAAAAAAGAGCTAAAGAACAGAACATTTCATGGACAAGATTTGGAGATTATTACAATTTCGCGGTAACCGCTCGAACTAAGACAAAAAAGAAACGTGCAACAGTTAGTTTTGAAGCAGAATTCCCTTACGCCGATGATACATATTATTTATGCCTGGCAATTCCTTATACTTATACAGATTTACGCAAACACATTGCCAATTGGTCTAATCTACATCCAGATATCTTTAAATCAGAAACATTATGCACGTCATACGGTGGACGTGAAGTTCCTGTCATAAATATTACAAATCCAAATTCAGACATTCCATTAGTTGGTAAATCCTGCATCTTCTTTACAGGCCGTATCCATCCTGGTGAAGCCAATGGCTCTCATGTCCTTCACGGCCTCATTGAGTACTTATTAAGTTCAGATCCGACTGCAAAGTACATTTTAGACCATTGCATTGTTACTATTGTCCCAATGATTGCTGTTGATGGCGTTATCGAAGGATCCACACGTGTAAACGTTTTCGGTGATGATCTTTCTCGAATGTGGGAAACTCCTGATCCAACAAGACATCCTGTGATTACAGCAACCAAATCGTTGATTGCAAAGACTGCAGGATTGCGTCCTGTCTCACTCTACATCGATTTCCACGGCCACATGGGCTTACACGGTGCTTTTTGCTATGGCTGTCCGAATTCAGAAGACGAAGGATTGAGAAATGCAGAGAAAATGTTCCCAAGACTTTTCGCATTGTTATCAAACGAAGCCAGCTGGGAGAACTGCACATTCTCATTCCCCAAAGCGAGAAAAGGAGCAGGAAGAATCGTTGTTAGAAAGGAAATCGGTGTTGTTCAATCATTTACTGTTGAAACATCATTTGGTGGCATCATTTCAGGTCCTGATGCGGGAATTTTGTATGATGAAGAGTTATGGCACAAAGTTGGCGAAAGATGCGGAACAGCGACATTCCATTTGCTGAATCCAACTGCTTCTCCATTAGTTGCTTATGTCAACAAAGAATTGCCTTTCTTCGTGTCAACATCGAATAGAAGAGCTGAAAGATTCAAGGAAGAACAGGAAGAAGACACTTCTAAGGAATCAGCTTCTATTGATAATGATGTTGATCAGAAAGACGATGAAAACTCTACTTTGTTGAAAGCACACGGAAGCGGAAAAATTTATCATTATGTTCAAAGAAATTCTTTCTTGAACTGCACTGCTGATAAGATTTCCACAACAAAGGATCATCCTTTGAAGCCTCCCAAGTGGAAACAAGCTCTTCTTGGAGCTCAAAAATGAAAATTTAATGTTTTAATTAAAAATATTTTAATAATTAATCATCTTTTTAACTCTAAAACACTTGTATCATAGAGGGAATACCATGGAGCCCTATGGATCTTGCTATTTTTCATTTCATGATTGAATTCCCATTTATTTATTGAAATTTTGCAAATTTAATGAGCATTTAATATTAAACATCACATTTAAGTTATAATGATATTGTTTTCATGAGTTGATATTTTTTGGATTCGTTTTTTTATTAGAAAAAAATAAATGGATACAAGAAGAGGAGAATTTAGAAGATGGTTAGATTATGATGGCGTCTTAGATGCTTTCACAAAACTGTTTGTAACTATGTTTGAAGAAGAAAAATGGCCTGATGATCCAATTGAATATGCTAAAAACTTTTTCAAAGCAACTCCACAAAGTGAAATAGATGCAGCAGTTGCTGAAAATGCTAGATTGAAAGAAGAACTCCAAAATCTTGAAAAACAAGTTGCCGAATTACAGCAAAAAGTGGAAGAAAATACAGAATAAATCAATGTTATGTACAAATTATACAATAATTCCATACTTACGCTGGATTTTCAAATTTTATTTATTTTATTGATAAATATATAACTGTTTAAATCCTATTGAAGTATATAATCTCATAACTGTTACCTAGCAGAATGAATCCATTCAGTAGATTAATGTAATTTATAACCTCAGATGGATATGTTTCTCTTGTAACAGGATATAATTATGAAATTCTTGTGCATTCCCACCAACATCCAGGATGTATGCATATATTTGGAAGGGTTTGGCCATGATATCAATATAATCTGACTGAAATTTTTTACTCACAAACTTTGATATCATTGTCTCAGATTTTCAGAAAAAATCTAGTCATCTAGGTGAGACAATGATTACGCAATGCAAAAAATAAAAATCTTTTTTGCTTCAAAATTATTTCCATCGAATTTTACAAAATTTTATTGCAATAATTTTATTTAATAATTATCAAATTTATAGTGATTGTATTTGTAATTTGATGATTATTTTTCAACACTAACTGGGAGTAGGTGCCAAAAGTGCTTACTCTTAAACAACCGTCGGATTTCCAGGTGAAATCGTGACACACTTTCGTCTTTCGTAGGCAGTGGTGGTTGTTACAAAAGGTAACTTCGAATGTAGCGTGAAATCTGCAAAAAAAATTCTGAAATTTGAATGGAGAACACAAAAATTGAATAGTTTACGTCAATAAAAAAGAGAAAAATGAAGCCAATGTGTCTCGAACCTAGGACTTAGAGCAGCAATCCCACTGTTTATCCCATTACACTACATACATCTCTCACCTCAGTGAATGAGATCAACTATATGATAACTTTTTCCCCATTATATTCTTGTGGAAAAGTGACAAATAGCAACTTTGACCCTCTCTCCACTAACTGGTTCAAGGAAATCTAAATCTTCAAAACAAAAAGTTATATCTTTGTCTGGAAAAGTGTTGAATAAATCGCGATCCATGACATTTTTATAATGAGGAGTTTCTTGAAAACCTTCTGGCGTTCTGCATTTATATTTTTCCCATAACTTTTTGACTTCAGAACGTAACCACTGGAGAAGACCATTATAACACATAAATATCTCTGTTCCTGCAATCAGAATCTTTTGTGAGTAATATTTTGGAAAATGTCTGTAAAACTTTAACCAGATGATATTTTTACTGCATGCTTGTGTAAAACTCTTGAGTTTGTCATAAGTACCATGACAACAGTGTATAAAATCTTTAGATAATTGTGTAAACTCTTCTTGGGTTATTCCAGTAACGTCTATAAAATGAAGCATTCCTTGATAAAAGTCCATAAATATTTTAAAGTATTGGTAGATATCTAAATTGGAAACATTAAATTTGATATCATTAAGATCTTTTTGAATTTCTTTTAATTTTCCGGCAGTATAATTGGCATCATCAGGATCAAACCCATCACTAAAAAGAATGGAGTGGTACAGCTGAATACTGATCTTAGCTTTTTTTGAAATAGGATAAGGAAAGCCGCACAGCATGAAAAAAATAAAAATTCTTTTTTCACTTCAAAATTTTTGGAATCGAATTTTGAAATGGATATCATTATGGTGGATGCTTTTGTTTTTGGCGAAATTACTTTGAAAGTTTTTTTCTGAAGTCAAGTAAAACGATAAGTTTCAAATTCTTATCAAAAACTTTTTAAACAATCAATGACCGAAGATCAGGAGAAAGCGCTCGAAGAAAAGATCCAGCAATCTCTTCGCAAACTTAAAGTAATGTACCCCAACCTGGCAAAGAACATTGATGATTACGAAATTCAAAATACAATAGGAAAAGGTGGTTTTGGCGAAGTTAATTTAGCGAGATACACAAAAGATGGTAATTTATACGCTGTCAAACAAATTTTCGAAAAAAGATTACATGGAAACGCATTTCGTCGTTTCTTAGATGAAGTCAAAACGATGGCCAAATGCCTTGACGACTTTTTGCTCCCAATTTCAGGTTTTACATTCACTGCACCATATTCCATCATTACACCTTACATTCCATCAGGTTGTCTTAAAGATTATGTTTCAAAGAAATCTGCAGTTAAGTTAACGCCTACACAGCTTACAAAAATTGCTATGGGTATTGCCCATGGTATGATTGTTGTCCACGAGAACAATATTATTCACAGAGATCTTAAAACGGCCAACATTTTAATGGATGAGCATCTTCTTCCAAAGATTTGCGATTTTGGTATCGCTCGTTTTGAAGGCATAGGAGAAAGCAATCTCATGACCGCTGGAATAGGAACTTCTATTTACATGGCACCAGAATTATATGCAACAAGAACTTATTCAAACAAAGTCGATGTTTACTCATACGCTTTCATTCTCTGGGAGATGAGTGAGAAGAAGAGAGCTTTCGCTACAATCAAACCCGAAAAATTACACGAAAAAATTTATCAAAAAGGAGAACGCGAGACATTCTCAATGCAAACACCACGCGCCTTACAAACACTCATCAAGAAGTGCTGGGATGCCGATCCTTCCAAGAGACCAAGTTTCCAAAATATTTATAACGCATTTGCCACCGGAAAAGTATCATTCCTTGGTACAGATGAATCCGCGATCAAGAAATTCGCAGAAGAGATCGAAGCCAATCGCAATAACCTCCTCAAAGAACAAAATCGCAGAAATGACGCTGCGCAAAAGCGTGTTGAGAGCCATGTCAAGAGGGTTCATGAAAGGAAATCCAAAGAAGAGTCCAAGAAGAAAGAAGCCGAAATCAAATCTCATTCTGCATCTCAATCTCAATTCCAGTTCGAGAAACCATCACCAAAACCATCCCAAGCTCCACAGACACATGCCGTCAAACCTTCTGTCTTATCCGGACCACAAAACACCGCTGACAACACAACGACAGATCCTGTTTCTGTTCTTAAGAATTATCACAATGTCAATTTCAATGCCTTCGTTGAAGGATACGCGAAAACCATTGGAATTGAGCATTTCCCATTCTTCTCGACCGTATTCCAGAATTTCAATGATTCAACACCACCAGAAGTCATCAGATTCATTGCTAAGAATTGTAATTCTGTCATGGAGAGAAATCCAGATTTTATTTACCAATTTGGAGGATCTCCTTATTACACGACAATTCCAATCAACAGCAATGAATCAGTAGATGAAATCATTGAATCATTCCGTATATTATTTGTTTCTGCTCCTCAAATTGCAATTCATCCGAATTTGATTCCACAAATCAAGAAATTACTTGATTTCCGTGCAGAAAAAATGTTCATTCTTTACTCATATGCTGTTAAAAGAATCACAAAACTCACATTTACAAATGAAACACTTGAGATGCTCATTAACTTTGCTCCTAAAGTCAAAGACACACCTCTTGGACATCTCCTTATCAAATTGTTATTCTACATTGCTGCTTACGATTCCCGTTGCAAGCCATTCATTAAGAACAATGCTTACAACATCTTTGTTTCATTCACGTCATCAACAGACAGACAAACATGTATTTCTGCTTATAACGCAATCCTCAATTTGTTTGAGAATGTTGAGAATCCTGACTACAACACATTGACGAAACATTTAAGAGATGATTATTTAGCACCTTATGTTGTTTCTCTTCTTCTTCGTGCAAAAGGAATTCCTCGTAATGTTGAGTTAATTACTGAACTTATGCGTGTTGGCCAGAAGATTCCTCGCACATGGATTGTTGTCTATCAGATTGCTTTCGCAGGTGCAAATGATTTCCCTCTTACTGCTCCATTTTGGATGGATAACATGCATTCACAATTCGAATGCATTCTCAGACTTTTCTTTGTTTTATTCCATAATCATGAGAACCGCGATAGATTCCTTTCATGCCAATGGTACTTCGAGATGCTTATCTACATCTCTCGCATGAATAATGAGTTCTTCCACACTGTTGTTCCATCACTTCTTACAAGACAAACCGTTTCTATTTCTATTTTGGAACAGTTGTCAAATAGTGGATTCTGGAAGACATATTTGCAGTTTGCTCTTGATAAGAACACTACACAGCTTAATAACAACATTTTAGTTCTTCTTTCATGGTTCTCGTTACGTGCTGGATACGTAAAAGAGTTCGATGTCTTCGTGAACAGATTACTTCAACTCATTGTTGATCCTGTTTTAGCTGATAACTCTTTGAAGACTATTGCATCTCTTTCTTCTTATCCCCAGTTTATGAGCGTATTCCCTCACGATGAGAACTCCTACAACTACTTCGCAGCACTCGTAAACAACCCAGTTTACGGTCCTCCATCAAAGACTATTGTTGAGAATATGTATAAGTACATACAGTCTCAATACGCTAAAGGACAGAAATAAACAATTTATATTCACCTTTATTATATTTACTTTTTTAGAACAATAGATCTGTTTTTGAAATTAACATTTCGAAACCACTAATCACCAACAGCTTCTATATTAGTGATTAACTAGTTACACAAATTATTTCAACAAATATTAAAACATATTTGAGCTTTTCAATGATTTCTTCATTACTAACATAAACATTCTCCTTTAATTCATCAACATCGTTCGGATTGTTATCAATTTCTTTGTTATTTCCATGAAATGTTATCAAATGTAAGTATCATAACATGTGATCTATAATTTACAGAGGCAAATTAATTGATAAATTCACAATTTATTTAAAATTATTGAAAACTTCCAGGGTATTTTATTATCAAGCAAAATTTTTCGACGCAGTTGAGTAGTATTTGGACCATCAAAACCATAAGATATCAAAATTATTCGAAATATCCAGCAGTGAATGGGAAGAAGTCTACAAATCAAGATATACCAATGAAATTTACAATGAAAATAGGAGATACATCGGAAATACAGGTGACTTTTATGTTCACAAAGTTTATTTCTCAAAACTTGGTGACCAAGGCGTTATTATTCTTGAATCAGATGATATTAAATCGCTTATTTCCTCAGATACATTTGAAAACTCTTCTCGAAATGCTCGAGGCGGATCTATTTGCATTGTGGGAGGCCAAAGTTCTATTCGAAAAGTTTGTAGCTCGGCTTCTAAATCGACACAAGGCGGGAAATTTTGCTATGCACAGGCAACATATAATATCCCAGCTATTAATGAAGTTTTAGACTCATCAATAACGTTAAGTGATCCAGAAACTTATTTAGGACAAGATACTCTTTGGTTATCTTGTGGAAATATTTCATTTTTCCAAAACAATATCACAAGAAATCATTGTCAATATAATGCAGCTTTTGAACTAGCAGCTCCAGATAAGCATTCATCAGTGAAATATTTGATTATTGATGAAAATTATGCTGATTCCAGAATTTGTATGACACAATACATTCCAACAGCAACATATGACCGTGTTGTTATCATAAACAACACTGTTTCTAATGCTGATAACGGAATTGGATTGATTTTTTCTGTGAATTGCTTTACAATTTTAGAAAACTGTTTCATTGCAAATAACAAACAAAATGGTCAATTTTTGTTTGGAATTTATGAAGGTTCAATTACAGTATCTAATTCATATATTGATTCCACAGAACTATTATATGAATCAGACAAAAATATTTCGATAGGTATAATTACAGATGTTTTAGTTGAGCTTCATCTCTTTTCAACGGAGCTTTGTCCAACTGGGAACTACTTTGTTATCCTTGACAAAGGTTCAAATACAGAGCTTTTTCTCATACTGAAAATTGGATTAACTGCTGCGTCTCTTACACCCAATAGATGAATCGTTAAGATTTAAATAAATTAAATTCTTCAAATACTACTTAGAATATCATTTTATTTGAACCTGCAGATTAGCATTTTGCAATTCAAAATGAAATATTTCCTATGAACTATTTTTTATGCATGTTATAAAGAAATTATAAACTGATGCAGTACTTGCTCATTTATTAGATGAAACAGATGAATTAGAATCAACTGAATGATTAACTAAAGCAATTGTTAAATTCGAAGTACTGCCTGATAAATATCCTTGAGGTATTAAAAAAAATTCCAGTCTAAACAATTCTCCAATGAACCTATCAAAATTCTCTAAAGTTATTGAATAGAAAATAGATAGAAAACCGAGAAAATTAATTTTTACTTATTTTTTTAAAAAAATATTAATTTACTCTTCTACCATCTTAAATAACTGCTTGTCAATGTACTTAGTAGTTTCGTTGGAATTATCATTAATTAATAACATGTCCCATTTGTCTTTGTTTTCGTTAATCAATTTGATTTCTTCCTCGGCCGTTTTAAGCCTAGTTTTAATTGAGTTTTCATCATCCTGTCCTCTATATCTTATTCGTTCTTCAAGAACATCCATTGTTCTAGGTAATAAGCATATAATAAAAGGATTTAATTTTGTTTGTCTCATTTTAAGTGCTGCGTTTACATTAATATCGAATATACATATCTTTCCTGACTTAGTCACATTATCTAATGATTCATATGATGTAGCGTAAATATTTCTATGAATGTAATTGTAATCGATGAATTTTCCATCTTCAATATCTTTATTCATTTGTTCACGTGTGACAAATATATAGTCGACACCATTCCTTTCGCCTTCTCTTGGTTTCCTCGTTGTATGAGAGACGCTGAACGCAAATTGATCTTTATATTTATTCATTAAATTGTGAATGATTGTCCCTTTGCCAATACCTGAAGGACCAACAAAAACAATAGGTCGTGATGCAAACAAATAGTTTAATATCATTATGAAAATTGGATTTTTTGTTGGTTTCAATTTTCCATTCAATTTTAAAAAAAAAATCCATTTCACATTTTTCAAATTTTTTGGTTCATATTTTTAATTATATCTTAATCCAGAACAATTGAAGGATGCGACATCCATATATTTTCTCACAATTTTTCTGATGTCAGGTTCAGAATAATTTTGCGGTTTTTGTTAATTGATAAAATTTTTGCCATCTTACTTTTCTCCATCTTTTTAAACATATGAAAAATTATGTACTGGTAATTAACATTACATTTTATATTTTTGTTTTATTTGATGAATTTTTCGGGGCGGCGACAAATTTGCCCAGCCAGTAAAGTATTCAATTTTTTTTGCATTTTTTTAAAGCTTCTTAACTTAAATCATGGAATGTCTCAAAGACAAAAGTAGCATACAGCATGTAAAGCTAAAGAAAGATAATCATAATTAATACCTTAATTTTTAATATTACGCATTTTTAGGTGCAAAATTTAAAAACATTCTAATACAATAGAGCAGTTTCCAAAAGTAGCATACAGCATGCAAAGCTAAAGAAAGATAATCATAATTAATACCTTTAAAGTTTAAAATCTTGATTTTTTTTAAAATCAAATATTTATAACTTTAATACATACAGCTTAAACCTTATACTTGTTTTCTCTTGTGAGAAAGCAATCTTACAAAGCTAACAATCCTAAAAAATAAAGAATTAAAATTTCATACAATCTTTCTTCGAATCTGTTCTTTTCTTAAGCCGCGAGCGAAGCGAGTGGCTTAGTTTCGTAATTTCATACAATCTTTTTTCGAATCTGTTCTTTTCTTAAGCCACTCGCTTCGCTCGCGGCTTAGTTTCGTAATTTCATATAATCTTTTTTCGAATTTGTTCTTTTTGTCTCCCGCGAGCGAAGCGAGTGGCTTTTTATTTTTTTTTAATTTTTTTTCTTTCTTACTTTTTTCCCTTACTTACAAATTTGATAGTAACTTACCAAATCTCTCTATCATATAATAATAAATTAATCCATTTTTTGTTTCAAATCTGACACTTTACATTTCTGACATGTAAATATGTCACTTTTCACTTCACCTCACTGGGCAAGTTTGTGCCCCTCTCGAATTTTTCACTATATATACATAAAATTTTAAGGAGCCTCTGATGATAAAATAATTGCCTTTGAAAGTAGATTCTATTTTGGCTGATATCCTAAATAAAGTATCAAATGAATTAGATTCATTGTTTTTTTTTCGATTATTATTCGGATAAAATGGTTAACAATTGTCAGGTCAAATGTTTTTTGCGTAATTAACTTCAGGTAATAAAAACATTTCAAAGGCATTTTTTCTTTTTTCTGTTTTCAAGTTAAATATCCATATGAAAAATCATTTAAAATAGTATACATTATAAAAATATTACATTCAGAATAAATAAAATCAAAAATTATTTCAAATCAGATTCAGCAAAATTTTATAGAAGATAATTCCATTTTTCAGGCTGAACAAGGAGTAATTTTGTACTTAGTGTTGTCCAAATATTGAAATGCAGGCAGCAGGAAAATGAATATCATGATGTTTGATCCATTTCTTAACAACTTTGAGTATATAAAGGATAAGGTTTCATTAAAGCCCCAAATTATGAAGTTGACAATCAGTTCTGATTATCTTAAAAAGAAGTTACAAAAATATTGTTAGATATTTGCAAACAATAGTATAGAAATATAGTTTATTTAAAGCTGAAAAAGCTAGTCGTTTTCGGAATGAGTTGATTAGACTTCTCCCATTGTTTCTGTGCAGCTTGGATTTGTTGGTCTGTGCATCCAACAATGCTCAAAATGAGAGGAACTAATGAATCTCTCGTGTTGGTATCCTGCATGAAGAACTGAAGCAAAACTCTTCTCAAATATGCATTCATAACTTTGATTTTTTCGTTTTCTGCTTCACTGAGTTCTTCCTTCCTTCTCCTTTCTTCTTCTTCCGGAGTTAACTCTGCCATCTCGAAGAAAACATCCTTAGACACTTCAAACTTAGCGAATCTCTTCTCTTTCTCTTGATTCAACTGTTTCAAAATGTCTTCTTTCTCACTCAATAACTCCGTGTATTGGCGACTTGATTTTTCAAGCATTTTAGCCATTTTTTGTGCTTTGTTTTCGATATCTTTCGTTGCTTGTGATGATTCCAATCTTTCTTCAAGTTCTTTGATTCTTTCTTCTTGTCTGTGAACTGTTTCCAGATATTTGTTGCTGTCTTCTGTTCCAACGCTTGTATTTTGTTGTGACAAAAGTGTTGTAACTTGTTGTTGCAAATCATCAATTTGTTGTTGATTCCTCTTTGTCGTGTTGACATATCTTTGAAGTAATTTCTTCAAGCCTTGTATTGTTTCTTCTTTCTCTTTCACGACTTCTTCGTCGTGATGTGCAATTTCGCTTTTCTCCAACTGTTTCTGCAGAATTGTTTTCTCTGATTTCAACTGCTGATTTTCTTTCTCCAAAGCTGTAAATTGATCATGTTGTTCCTTCATTGTTTTCCTCTGTTCTGCAACTAATCTTTCTGTTTCTTGTAATCCGTTTGTTAATGATTGATTCTCATTTGTTAAATCATTAACTGCCTTTCTCAAATGTTCTTCTAATTCTGTTGATTCTTGTTTAGATTTTGTTAATTCATTGTTTGAAGTTGTTAAAGAAGAAACCTTTTCTCTTAAATCTTCAAGTTCAGATGAATAATTTGCATTTAATTTTGTAATTTCAGAGAGTTGTTGAATCAGTTTTTGTGATTCTTGTTCAAGAGATTTAACTTTGTTTGTTAAATCAACGTTTTTATTCTGTGTTTCCAATGTTATTTTGGCTTGGTTTTGCGATTCATTCTCTAAATCTTTGTTTCTTTTACTCAGATTTGCATTTTCTTGTTCAATTTGTTTTAATTTCGTCTGCAAATCATTCAAATTCATTTCTAAGTTCTGTTTCTTTGTATTCAAGTTGTAGATCTGGTTATCTAATTTAGAGTTCAAATTAACAATTTCTGATTGCTTCTCCATCAGATGATTGTTTAATTCTGAGATTTGCTTCAAATAATTTTGTTCTTTCTTCTTCATTTCTTCAATTTCTTTTTCTTTGTTAGCAATTTCTTCATTACTAACATCGAATTTCTTCTTCAAATCATCAACTTCGTTCTGATATTTTGCAATTTCTTGGTTGTTTTCCTGCAAATCTTTCAATTTTTGGTTCAAATCTTCTATTTGTTTTTGATATTTATTGATTTCTTCGTTGTTTTGATTCAGTTTTTGGTTTAATTCATTGATTTGTTTCTCAGAATTAGATTTTTCTTCATTTAATTCATCAATTTGTTGTTGGTATTTAGCGATTTCCTGGTTATTTTGCTGCAAATCAATTAATTTATTCTTCAAATCTTCAACTTGTTTTTGGTAATTAACAACTTCTTCGTTGCTTTGTTTACTCAATTCTTCAATTTGCTTCTTATAATTAGCTATCAAATCATTATTTTGTTTAGTAATATTTAATTCTTTCTTCAATTCATTAATCTGCTTCTGATAATTAATGATTTCTTCATTATTTTGTTTAGTATTATTTAATTCATTAATTTGTTTCTTATAATTAGTAATTTCTTCTTCATTTTGTTGAAGTTTTCTTCTTAATGATTCAATCATTTCAGAATTATTAGATTTATTAGATAATAAATCATTAATTTGCTTTTGATATTCTGCTTCACTTTTCTCTTTAATTTGCTGCATTTCGTTTAATTGATTGTTTAATTCTTTGTTTTCTGTTTGTAATTCAATTATTTGAACATTCTGCTGTTCATTACTTATTTTCTGCAAATCATTGATTTGTTGTTGATATCTTTCTTCTTTTTCTTCTTTATCTTGTTGCATTTCATTTAATTGATTATTTAATTCTTTATTTTCTTGTTCTAAATCATTAATTTGTTTTTCTTTTTCTTGCAACAAAACATTCTTTTCATTAAGTTGATTTGATATTTGATTGATTTGTTGTTCGTATTTCTGAGTTATTTCGTAGTTCTCTGATGCCAAAGCTTTTGTTGTCTCTTCGTAATCATTAATTGATTGATTTAATGAATCAATCTTTTTATTCAAAGAAATAATTTTTTGATCAGAGTTGTTTGACTGCAAAAGTTGTTCATTTTCACTCTTTGCTGCTTTAAGATCATTCAGTGTCTTCTGGAGAGCCTTCGTAAGTTGTTTAACGTTTTGTTCCAACTCATTAATTTTTGGATTATTCGAATCTTGTTTCATTTTTTCGTATTCTTCCTTGAGTTTATCGAATTCTTCTTTACTATCAAGGAATGTGTTGTTTTCTTCTTGTAGTTGTAATGCTAGTTGTTCTAATTCTGAAATATTTGATTTTTGTTCATTAATTATTCCGTCTTTTTTCAGAATTTCTTGTTGCAATCTCTCGATTGATTCATTCTTCTGTTCTGTGACTGCGGATACTTCACGTTTCATTCTGTTCTGGATCTCGATTTTCTCGTTTTGGAGCTTAGAAATCGTGTTCTTTAGTTCTGATATCTGATTTACTAATTGTATTGAGTCATTTGTCATATTATCTATCTTATCATTATATGACTTGATTAATTCTTCCTTTTCTCTGTTCATTTCTTCGATCTTTTGAAGATTAATATTATTTTCGGAATTTTCTTCAGATTTTTGCTTCATTTCTCGTAATTTGGCATTCTCTGACTTCAGATTCATGATATTTTCACTCAATTCTTGGATTTTCGCATTTGAATTATTTAATTGATTTTGAATTTGAGAAATCTTTTGATTTAACTCTTGTTCTTTAATATTACTTTGCTCTATTAATGATTTAGATGCCTTAAGTTCATTTTCGAGCTGTAATTTTTCATTATTATTTGATTGTAATTTTTGAGAACTCTGTTCGACCAATTTATTTACATCATTGAGTTTGCTAATGAGATCTGACTTTTCTTTTTCTAATTTGGAAATATTAGTTTGTAATTGGGACTTTTGGTCAGATAACTCTTTGATTTTGGCATTATTCTGGTCATTTAATGATTTGGACTGCTTCAATTCGTTTGAAAAATGATCGTTTTCTTCCATCAAATTTTGCATCGAAATTTTTGTTTCGTTCAATTGCTGAAGTATGAAAGCCTTCTCTTCAGACAAGTTCTGATTAAGCTGTTGTAGTTTGGAACTCTCTTTTTCTTTCTGAGATTTGGAATTATTCAAATCTCCTGAAATTTTCTGGTTTAATGCATTGAGATCATTGATTTTAGCCTCAGAATTGGCTAATTTTTGATTCAATTCTTGCATTTTTGTGTTATTTTGCTCATAAATTTTTTGTAATTGAGATTTTTCTTCGGAAATCTTATTATTTTGTTGAGAAAGTTCATTTAGTTTAGCTTTGTCTTGCTCAATTTGAGATTTGAGGTCTTTTTCAAGTTGATTTTTCTCATTTGTCAATTTCTGAATCATTTCATTAAGTTCTTGCAATTTAGCATTGTTTTGTGCCATAGCAGAACTATTTGTGTTGCTTTGTTCAACCTTCGCTTTTGCATTTGATAATTCAGATTCAAGTCTTGATTTTTCATCAATCAAGCTATTATTTAATGCATTTAACTCATCAATCTTTGAGGAGTTTTGCTCGTTCAATAATTTTGATTCTGATAATTCATTTTGTAATTTTTGGACCATTGAATTAAGATTTTGGATTTGGCTTGAGAGTTCTTGAGAATCTTTGTTATCTTCCTTAAGCGAATATTGATTATTTTGACTCTGAATCAAATTTGAAATATTATTATTTTGATTTGACCTGAGTTGCTGCAGTTCTGTATCAAGTTCCTCAAGTTTAGAAATGAAGTCTGTTTCTTGAGCTTCTAATTCTAAGTTTCTCGAAGTTAATTCTTTTACTTTTTGAAGAGCCTCTTCCCTTTGCTGTTCTAGTTGCTTGGTGTATTCGTTATCTGTTGATGCATTGGCCAGTTTAGCCTTTAATTCTTCATTTTCAGTCTGAACTTGAGCAATCGCGGCTTTTGCAGCTTTTTTAAATTTAGAGAAAGCCTCCTTCTCTGCGTTGTATTTAGCTTCGAACTCCGATGGAGTTGTAGTTGCGGCTAATTGATCGGAATAAGTTTGAATCTTTTGAGATAGAGCTTGAATGATTTCTTCTTTCTCAGCAATTTGTCTGTCTTTCTCCTTTAGTGCCTCCAAATTGCTATTTGAATCTTGAGAAGGTGTTGTAATATTTAATGGATCAGATTGAAGATTATTAGATTTAAAATCTGCAATTTGAGCTTCAAGTTCTGCACATTTCTTTTGATATTTTTCTTTTTCGTCGACAGATTCGCGAACGAGATCTTGAAATGAACTTAATTGAGATTTTGAGCATTGTATTTCAAGTTCCATCTCGGAAATTTGATTCTTTTGGCGCTCAATAAGTGCCAAATGTTCATTTTTTGTATTGTTTAATTTTTCTTTCAATGTAAATAGCTGAGAGCATATTCTTTGCAACTCAGTTACATTGTTAATCTTACCTATCATGTCTAAGGTGAGTGTGACAGTCTTTTTGGGAGTTGACGTCGCACTCATCTTTGAACAGAATTTTTTTTATGAAAATTATCGCTCCGAATATCTACGAAATAACATTATATACTATTACAAGAAAATTTAAATGACTTTTGTTGAAATTTAAAACCTTATGTTCATTATTTTTTTTATCAAATAAAAGAAAACAAATATTTTACATTGACAAAACAAATATAGTCTTTGGTTACTCTGGGGGTATCAATTGTTCCAAGTAATTCCTCATCTCATTCAGATCTTTAAATTGGCGAGGCTGAGATGTCCACGAAGGGACACTAAAGTCTTCTGTGTATGATATCGGTTTATATTCAAATGGTATTCCTTTGGAGATAGAGAATGTAAATTCATAATTATTTCCAACTGAAAATTGGAAAAAGTCATTAGTAACTCCTGTTAGCTGAATACCAGGAACAGAAAACACGCATTCTAGAACTTTGCTTTTACGAGATAATTCTCTCTTTAAATCTCTTATATGGGAAATCGATTTATCCATTTGATTGATGGTTCCTTCCATTGCATTTATATCTGTATTGATGTCATTAATTTGTCTTTGAATTTCTTCGACTGAAATTTTATGCATTTGTTGAGCTTCAGCTAATCTCTCGCGATAAACTTCAATATCCTCGCGGACATCATTTTTCCTAATGCGTACAAGATCTTTATAGCATTTTTCTATTTGGATATATCTTTCTTTCCAAAATGATTCATCACTTTCAGTCATTTCTGTTTAAAATTTCGCAAATATGACATTTTTGCTTTACATGTCAAAAACATCAAATATTTTTGAGGTTCCAGATTTCGAATGTTGGCATGCTTTCAATAGATTTCACTATATATATATACATTATGGTGGCGACTTCCAACTTCTAGATCTACCATAAAATTATAGAAACACCGTGATATGCTTATATTCTCGCGTCTAGAGATTGAGAGGTTTACAAAAGCGTGCGATACTAGTTGCTACATTAAGTTTGCCCTTGTAATTATTTCTGCTATTTAGACACTTTAAGATATCTGAGGTGCATTGATTTGCAATACAATTTTCGACTCAATATGGCGAGCAAATCAATGAAATTATTGTAATGATTGTGTGGATCTAATTAATTACTATTGTTTACAAAAATGTTTAGCATTAAAGACATACAATTAAAGACGATTCACAATAAACAATAACTTCTTTTAACCAATTTTTAATTTGAATTTTGTCGATGTGAAGATTTCAAACCAAAGGTACATTCACTAGGCGATAACAGTAAAATGGGATGAAAATAGGATAAATAGCATCCCTATATAGTGCCTAACAATATTTATACGGGCCAAAAAAATTTGGCTAGAGATTTGCCGAGTTATAAAACTTAGAAAATTGAGAGGGATTTTTATTTTTGAATTTTTTTTGGAAAGTTAAAATTGCGATTAAAAATCGATTTCCAGGAGAACTAAGCATCTCATCATATATTTAAATCGATAAAAATATTAAATAATAGTTGAATAGTATAACAACGTGAAATTATGGCTGAATCTACAGAAAAAATGAACATATTTGACATTTTTGAAAATTCATACGTTAGATGGTGACAGACTCATAAACTATACTTTAGCTAAGATTGATATATGGTTTCAACAACACATGATTAAAATCGTAAAAATATTTTAGATTTCAAAAAGATATATATGGTAATATAATGGAACAAAGTCAACAAATAGCATGTTAAATATGTTATAATTAACTTTTTATTAGATCCAATAGTAGATATCGAATGGTTTCCAGCTTTATGGTTAAATATTTTCTTTTCGAGCTTCTCTTTAACTGTTGTATTAAGGTTGTAAATTTTTGATGCTAGAAACTATGGAATCTTCTTTGCTGCTGCATTTTTCTTGAGAGTTCTTGCAATTTCGAATAGATCTGCGCATTGTATGAAATGGAGGCTTTAAAATATCTTGAAAACAGAATAGGACTGCTTTTCTAAAGGAATGCTTACTTGTAAATCAGAGAGTTTCAAAATTGAGAGCAAGATTATCATCATAACTTTCGATTTTGCTGCGAAAAAGGAAGACAAGTAATTAACAAATCATTTACTGTTGTTCATCAAAAGAAGAAAACTTTGATAACAACTAATGATGATAAAATCAAGCTATCTTTTAATATTTTAAATTGATAAGACATTCAAAATATTTGAATGGTTTAAAATATTTTCTTTTAATTTCTATAAGATATTATCATGATTATATAATAAAATTTAAATTTTTATTCAAAAAGGCAATATTTCAAACTTTTAATTTCAAAAATCTTAATTCTGCAATAAGTGTATTTAATTGTAGCAAATTTAATGATCCTTCGTCATGCTTAGCAATTTGGAACTCATAAATTAATGATTTCTTCAAGTAAAATTCTGCATTATTTCAAAAGTCAATAATTCTCTAGTAACTTTTCTTCAAACCCTAACCATTATATTATATGTATAATGGAGAATAATTGCAAAGAAAGATAGCCGAATTTACTGGGTAGTTCTTGTGATGCGAAATAATTGCAAATTAACACCTAGTTTTAACAGCATCAATCTCTTTTTGCTCTCATTTAAATGCATTCGCACACTTTAATTTTGAAATATAAGAGTTTTGGAAATTATCAAATTTATCTGCTCAAATACTATAGATCTTCATAAGTGTTAATAGAATCATTAGCCTTACATATAGTGTTTAATATAATGATGCACATTATACTGGGATTCATTCCTTATTCATCTAGTTATTATAAGATTTACAACCCCATGAAAATTTAAAATTTTGTCAAAAATAGTGAATGTACCTTTTTCAAACCATCAGTTATGATAGCAAGCATACAGTACTGAAGAAAAATTAGTTAATAATAATGTAGAAAATTAAAAAAGTGAGGGAAAAAGATTGATGGGAATTATTTTTTAAATATCGCATAAAGAATAAATAAATATTAAGATTTGAACCAATAATTTGACCAGAAATTGTGTGAAAAAAAAGAAGAGTGAAAACTAATTGAAAGTTATCAAAAAATTGAATAAAATAAAATTGATAATGCATTCAAAAATTTTCAGGGAAATTTTGAAAAAATACATTATATTTATGTTATAAGAAAGGATATTAGTTGGAAAAATTTAAATATATTGGTTCCGATGAAATACCGTAAAGAAAAAAGAACATATATTTTTTTAGTAAATATAGATTGCTGAAATAGTTACAAATATGGCTATCCTATTTTTGGTTACTAAGCCGACGATTTGAAAAAATCAAAAAATTATCACAAGGAAAGAGGGGGGCACAAACTTGCCCAGTGAGGTGAAGTGAAAAGTGACAGATTTACATGTCAGAAATGTAAAGTGTCAGATTTGAAACAAAAAATGGATTAATTTATTATTATATGATAGAGAGATTTGGTAAGTTACTATCAAATTTGTAAGTAAGGGGAAAAAAAGTAAGAAAGAAAAAAAATTTTTAAAAATAAAAAGCCACTCGCTTCGCTCGCGGTTGACAAAAAGAACAAATTCGTAAAATAATTGTATGAAATTACGAAACTAAGCCACTCCTTCGCTCGCGGCTTAAGAAAAGAACAGATTCGAAAAAAGATTGTATGAAATTACGAAACTAAGCCACTCGCTTCGCTCGCGGCTTAAGAAAAGAACAGATTCGAAAAAAGATTGTACGAAATCACGAAACTAAGCCGCGAGCGAAGCGAGCGGCTTAAGTAAACAACATATTTCAGATTATCGATACTAAAAATTTTTTTATTTTATTACATTTTTTTGCTTTTTTTTAAGGGTGCACACGAGAGGATCATGTAAACTTCAGAATTTAGAACCTTATTTTTAGGCATTATCTTGGCTACCTATTTCGGCTCGAAAAGCAAAAAATATCAAAAAATACAACTTGAGTCCATTATGACCCTTTCATGGAGGTAGTTTTTCTCCGCTAGTATTTTCCCTTTGAATCTCTTTACAATTCGAAATCAAATTCAAAACTCAGTAGAAGAAAGGAAGAATCGACTTACTACGGTTGTAATACGAATAAATACATATATTTAATTATTTTTATTTACATAATAATTGTTTGAAGCTCATATTCCATCAAATTTTTAAATAAAAACATTAAAATGTTGAAAATGTTCATATATTTTAATAAGGTTTTGGCACTTTATTGAGGAATTACTACATACATAGTCGAACTGAACTTGATATTTTGAAATTTAAATTATTTATCAAAATTAAAATTTAACTTGAAATTTATAATTATTTAGTCATATTTTGCATAATTCTAAGTAGATTTTGTAAAAAATCAAGAAAGAAAAATTTTAACGTGCTTTATTTTTTCTTTTTTATAATAATACATATTATTATATAATTAACATATTCATAATGTTTCACCCTTTCAAAAATATAATCCTCCTCCTCTCAAATAAACGTACATACGGGTGGCCTCTTTTTTCAAAAAATTAAAATTTGAAATTTTGTGCTCAAATATTAGAGATTTTTTCAACCTTCAACGATATATGTTGTCTATATCAGACCTCCTTTCTTTTTGATACTTAACATTGTTCCTAAATCTTAGCCGTTAAGGCTGTTCTGAAAATATTTTTTTTTCGAAAAAATTCGAAAAAAATTCTTAAAATTCAAAAATCCCTTAATTCCTGAGGATTTTGGAAAAAAGTTTTTACATGAACATGTGTATATTATATGAAGTATATTGATAAGGTAAAAATCAAATTTTATTGCATATTCATCGAGAAAATAAACTAACGAATCCCTCAAAATTGAGAGGGTAATCCTCCTCCTCTCAAATAAACGTACATACGGGTGCACCCTTAAGAAGCTAAATTCTGAAGTTTACATGATCCTCTCGTGTGCACCCTTAAAAAAATGCAAAAAAATTGAATACTTTACTGGCTGGGCAAATTTGTCGCCGCCCCACAAGGAAATAATTTGTTTATATAATTTTTTTGGGTTAATATTGTGCATTCAAAATTATTTGATTACAATTCAATCTTAAAACATCACGCATAATTTAATTCAAATTAATTAAATTATTTTTTAAGGACAAAACATTTCCATTGACATAGCATTTTACTTATAAAATCGAACTTTACGAATAAAAATTCAATTAAAATTCTAGTGATCAGCTTTTCTTTTGATTCTAGCGCGATCTTTCATTTTCCAGTTGATATTTAAAAACATGGTCCGAAAAAGCTAGTCTGAAATTAGAAGGTAAGTTTTGAAAGATCTATTCAAAATTACTACATAATTCAAAAAAATTATTACCTTTAATAATATTCATATTTACCAGCACAACAAAAATTTTCATTGAAATATTCGATATCAAATTTTACTTTTTTCATAAAAATGGCATACAAACATCTTATATAACATTGTTTATCAGAAATAATTTTACCATACAGTTTATTATTCAATTTCGAATTTCAGATGAAATTCCTATTTTCAAAATTAATTCAAAAAAATATGTTTTTACTCATTATCAATTATCTTCTTAAAATATATAACAAGCAATTTTCCTTTCAAAAATCAATTCAATCTTCTCTCAATATTTGTATTTTCTATTTCTGTAAATTAATATTAGCTGCAATCTATTCTTTCATTTCGTTTTATCTCAAGTTTCCTTTCAAAAAATATTGAGGCCTATTTTTTGAATTTGAGATGTTATTTCGGTTTCAATGTGATATTCATTGTTTAATACATATTTTCAATCTTGCATTGTCTCTTGCTATATATCAAATCAGATGATAAAAGCTACTTTTAAATACCATTCAAATAATTGTGTTATCACATAAACCTCTTAAAAACTGTTCATTTTTAACATGGAAGAAGCCCAGACGACGACCTCGATGGTATCATCTGAGATCGCTACATCTAGTCTCAGCCGTTATGAAGGTTTAATTGATGTTCCCCTTTCTGATAAGATCATTGATTCCCTTACAGCATTGTTTAACTATTTTGATATTTATGCTCCTAAGATGGAATTTGTATACGCTATCGTTACATTCTTTAGATTCTTCCAACTGCTTGGTGGCGCTTTCATGGCAGCTAATCTTGATTCATTTGAACCGGGCACACTTACTTTTAACGCAATGAGTATTATCACAGTACTTTTCCATGTAGTCCCAGTACAGTACAGACGTGGCAATGGTCACATCGTATTACTTGTAGTTAACGGATTATTATTAATTTTTGGTATCTATTTGATATTACCAGCATTCTTATACAAAAAGACATCCAAGGTTCCAAGCGCATCCACTAAAATACTTAGCATCTTCATGGCGATTGGTCCATATTTACTTGTTCCTATCAGTGCTCAGTATGCCGGACAAATGTTATCTGGAAATATTTCCGGTACATTAGAAATTAATGCTATCAACATTTGCTCTGAAATAATTTCACTTATATGCATCTCCTTATGGATGTGGATTATCATCAAAGCGTACTCCATTGCTTTGGTCTTCAGACAATTATCATTTGCCTCTATTGAAGGTACACCACAGACAAAGCTCCTTATTACCACGACAGTTGTTACTTTTGCATCTGCATTAACTACAAACTTAACAACTTATCCTTCTTCTGCGATGATGATCATCTCTATGCTTTGCTATATTTATTGCTGCACAACTTGCTTCAATTGCGGCTCATTCATCAAGAAAATGCACACTGTTATGGTTCTTGGTGGCTCAATTTTGGGTTTCTTCCTTTGCGGTGCAAACCTTTATACTATTTTTGCACATGCACCATGGAATGAAATCTTCTTCCCCATAGTTATTATTGCAGGTGTAATTATTTTCTTCGCCGTTTCATTTTACATCAAGAGAAGACAGACAAGAGAACTTAGACTCCTTGATGAGATTGATGATACGCAAGATATTTCAATCCTTAAGAGAGCTTCTCATTTCAAACAGATTCTTTCAACAGGTTTCATATTTGCTCATCCAATTTGTGTTAGTTTTAAGATCTTCAAGATGGCTGCATCAAAGTGGAGTGATGATCTCGATGTTTGGTCACTTTATGCTAAATTTTTTGCAATTTATCCAGAACAAGTTACTGCTTTAGCATTTGTTGCACAGAATGTATCAACCATGAAAGCTAAAGATAGGACACTTCAGTCAATTATCTTAAGTAGCACAGGATACATCATCAAAACAAGAGAAACAAAGTTTACTCAGCAATTAAAAGGAAAGATCTCTAAACTTGCTAAGATGTTCAACAAGACAAAAGCAGGACTGAGAAATATTTGGGACTTGACATTGCAAGGCAACATTAATGAAATGAATGTCGCAATCAAGAGAACACAAGAGTCTGTCAACGAATGTGAAGTTGAAATGGCTCATCTTCTCATGCAATATCCAAATAACAGATATGTTGCTCGCCAATACACATTATTCCTTAACGAAATCAAGGGCGATCCACTTCAAGCCAAAGCATCTTTTGAGAACTTAACTAAGCTCCAAAGAGGTGTTTCTGTTTCAGAAGATACAATCCATGATTTAGGCATCATGGCATTCCCGAACATTCCAGAAGTTTGCTCTGATATTGAAGGCCAATCAAAGACAGTTGTTGATGGCAAATCAATGGGAATTGATGATGTAATTATGGATGACAACTTAAACCTTGAAGCCATTCAATCTATTTCTAAGCAGATTGATAACCATGTAATTCCATCAATCTCTTACATCTACACAACAACTATTGTATGCTTCATCTGCCTTATCTTGATTCCTCTGATTACAATGGCAGTTGCATACAGATTCTATGCAAGAGAAGTTGAGAAGCCAGTCAAATTCATGGAAGGTATCGCTCACACAAGAAATATCATTGCTATGCTTACAGCATACATTGGTAGATTCTTATTCCAGAAGTTAGATGATCCAAAGAATCCAGGTTCTCCAATCGAAGGACCTCTTAACCTCATCAAAAATTTAGACCTTTCAGCGACAGGTGGATCATCAGATACAACAGAAGTTCTTGAATATATTGCTTCCACAGTTGCTGATGCTAATACACAGATGTCAAGTGTCAGATCATATATGCCAGGCAATTCATATATTGAGAAAGTTAGAGAGTTATTGTTTACCAATTCAGTTAACTTTTCTTTCTATCTGAATAACACATATGCTGATTCAACAATGACATCTGTTGTTGAAATATCATATATGGTTTCAAATCATGTTGGAAAACTTACAGATCTTGATGAAATCACACCGAAAATCGCTTGCGGCCCAGACTCATTAACATCAAGGAACAACAACCAGTTATCATTGTTAGCAATGAATGATGCCTTATTGACAATGATCGAATTCTTAAAGCATATCAACACCCAATATCAATTGTATTTCACAATTGTTATTATTGTAATGATATGCATCAACGTCATTGTTTATCCAATAGTTTACTTTATCCAAGTTAGTAAACTAAGAAAGAACAGACAAGAAATATTGTTCATCTTAACAACACTTCTAAAGACAGTAATCTCATCAATTTCCGCATCATTTAATAAACTCAAAGACGGAAATGATAGATCATCTACAACTGATTCATCTGATGGCGAGACAAACAGACAAGAAGACAGCATTATCAAATTATTCTCATCTATTTCTGATGGTTCTGCTAAAGCATCTGCAGAAATTTCCAACTTATTCTGCTTCTTATTCTTAATGGCCCTTGGATGTGTTGGCTATTATGTCTCAATGGATGCTTTCAGAACATCAATGACAAATCTTGTTTATAACTCCCATCACATCAATTACTTGTTTGGTTCTGCTACATATCTTTATTCAGTTATGGCAAGCTTATTCAAGATTTCATTAGCCATGTATGATGACGTTTTCAAGACATCAATCATATCTCTATCAGATGAAGTAACGAATGTTGGTGAAAGAATTCCAATGCTTGTTTCTTATTTCCAAATGATTAGACTTGGAGGTAGTGATATCAGAGAAGTTCCATTCCCAGAAATGAAGATCTACATTGATCAAGCTTCTGCGGCTTTGATTTGCAGTGATCCTCTTACTCCTCCTCAAACATTAATGCAAAGCACACATTGCCTCTCAGCAGCTCAACAGCTTTATGTCGCAACAACATTGATGCATAAGTACTATGGACTTATGTTATTAGACCAACCAATGTATCCAGATCCATCAGAGATTTCAATGCAACAGTTATGGCAAATTGGTCCTGTTGAATTGTACACAACATTCTTCTATCCAGCAGGTAACCAAATTGTTGGAATCATTGTTGGTGGTCTTGATGATAGAGAGAAAACACAGATCATTTGGACAGCAATTCTTATCATTGCTTCGTTTATCTTTTCTTTAATTATTATACTTTCAGCAAAGAAGGAAGATACACTACTTAAATTCACATTAAGACTCTTCTTAAGATGTCCTCCAATGACAGTTCTTAATAACAGCAGAATAACTAGATTGTTATCCGGCAATTATAATTCAATGGTTGATGAATCAGCAGATAAAGGGCTTTGGTTCACAAATGAAGTTGTTAATAAATTGAATGATGTTGTTATTGTTTGCCAGGAAGAAACAGGAAAAATCATTACAGTTAACGCTGCTTTTGAAGAATTATTCGGTATTAAACAAGCTGAAATCGAAAATACACCTGCTAAAGAATTCTTTGTTCCATCAAGATTCACTTGCAGTGAAAACCTTGAAAAGATCTTCACAACAACACTTAACATGATCTACAAGAAATCGGAGACAGAGAAAGTTTACCTTGAATTCTCTTCAACTTCAGTTAGTGGAAGAAAGATCTTTTCTGGTAGAGATCAGACACAAAATGTTATGCATGAAAAACTTATTGCTGATGAAAAGAAGAAATCAGATTCAATGCTTGCATCAATTCTTCCACCAATGTTAGTTCCACGTGTTCAAGCAGGTGAGAAGAATATTTCATTTTCAGTTCAATCAGCAACTGTTTTGTTCTTAGATGTTGTTGAATTCACACCATGGTGTGGTTCTCATGATGCTCAATATGTTATGAGGATGCTGAACATCATGTTCAAAGAATTCGATGCTATTACTAATGCACATAAGACAATGACGAAGATCAAATGCATTGGTGACTGTTATATGGCTGCATGTGGTATCTTTGATGAAGTTAATCAACCAGCAGTTCATGCAAAGGAAGTTGTTGATTTCGGAACATTAGTTATCAAGAAATTATTAGAGATCGACGAAAATGAAAATGAAAACTTGAGAATTAGAGTTGGTATTAATACAGGTGGCCCAATTGTTGCAGGTGTTATCGGAACAGAGAAACCAACATTTGAAATTCTTGGCCCAGCAATTAACATTGCTCACGAAATGGAGAACAAAGGTGTTCCAATGAAAGTTCACATAAGCAGACCTGTTTATGAGTTGATCTACGGCCAGCAATTCGATATCAAGGAACGCGGCGAAATAGATGTTAAGGGTGGCAAGATGTTTACATATCTTGTTGAACCATAATTTATATTTTTGTTTGTATTAAATTTTTATTTTCTATTCATTAACGAACTCCTATATTAGATTTTTATCTCCTTGAGGATAAATATCTCTTTTCAATAAGCCACATATATAATTCAAGGGACTTTCGTCTCTTGTAACAAAGCATCTGGGGTGAAATGACTAATATTTTATTTCAGTCTGAAGATAAATTACATAAACATTATATAAATGATCATTAGAAAGATTTGTTAAAAAAATCAATAACTGCTTATTCAACAAATGTTTATTCAAGGAAAATGTAATGGAATATAGAATCACTATTATCAAATCTATAAAAATCAGATAAATCGTTATCATCAGCAACAGGGTCATTGACTGGTGGAACATAGTTATCATCAGCATCAGGGTCATTGACTGGTGGAACATAGTTACAAGCATTAATAAAAGCTTCTTCTTGTGAAAATCGCTTGAATGCGCTTTCAATAAGATTGAAATCAATGTTTCTAAATTTGATTCTCAAAGAAAGATATCCCAAACATTCATTTAACAAAGCTTTTACTTAACTCAATAATTGGGATTGAGAGTAAATAAGCTGATCTAACAAGAAGATTAGAATAACCTCTTCTTAATTCCGTAAGCTTCTTATTTTTCTCATCATCTTCTTCACTTTCGAACATGAAAATTAATTGAAGTTTTTGCAAAGCTTCTTCAAGAGTGAATATTCCTTGGAGAATGGAATTGGAAATAAGCATTGCTCCTAAGAGTTGATCACCATGACTTTCGAATGCAGAGCCTTCTTCATCATCGAAATAATAAGAAACTTTCTCTTTGAAATAAGGGATCAATGATTCTGGAATCTTCTTGAGCATCAAAATAGAATTCATAAACAATATCTGATTAGAAGGATCTTCTAATGTAATAATGTCTTCTGTAACTTTTTGTATTTTCTCGAATTGTTCTTCAAAATCAAATAACGATGATCGAATAGCGGCATAAACAAACTGTGGAGTTTCATCCGTTGATAAAATATCTGAACATTCTGATCCAAAGAATTCATCATACAAACTAAACATTTCATCGATGAAATTCTCTTGTTGAACAAAAGGAACTAAAATGAAAAGTAATCTAAGCTTAGAATTATAATGCCTTTGTTCTTCAAATGATGAAGAATATCCGGATTCGTTTTCTACAAACAATGTTGGTTCAACTTCTGGAATATTTTCTTCTTCTACTACTTTTTTAGGAATTGAATGAGCAATTGAAATCAAATGACTAACGAATTCAATAAGACTTTCTTGAGGAAACTCTTGATCTTTAGATAACTCATAAAGATAATTTGTTATCTTGTATTCCAATGTAGTATCCATTGTTTCTTGGCAATATCGATAAATTTGGACAAACATATCATAATTAATATAAAATTGTTGATATTTTGATGCAGAAATACAGATAAAATTGACGCAAGCCAATAATTTATTGACTCTTGATCAGGTGGTGACAAAAGATATTCGAAATAAGCCTGAATTTCATCTCTGTTGTACAAAAAGTGGTAATTTCCAGCAATTATTATCTGATTTATAAGAATCACACTATCATTACTTTTATATCGAAGGATATTAGAAATAATTTCTTTGATGCCTTTATATTTATCTTCATTTTCTTCAGCTATTTTGGATAATCCGGAGATCAAAAACAGACTTTCTTCAGGAAATTCTTCAATTAATTTTTCATTTGCCAAAAAACAGAAAATTGATTCGAAATCATAGAAAGAAAGGTTTTGGAATATTTCAAGAACATAATTTCTGTTGCTTGAGTATGATCCATCATAAAATTCGAAAACTTTATTTTCTTCTGACAAAGAACGAATATCATCCTGCGAAAGTGTGCATAAACTTATAAATTCTATAAGTAATTCTTTATCAAATAATGAAATGTTGTTTTCGTTGACAATGAAAATAATTTCCTTCAAAATTGAATCAATTTCGTCAAGAGCACCTTCCAAATAAAGTGCGTTTATAACATATTCCATTAAATTCCCTTGTGATGCAACAGCAGCTAAATATTCTTCAGAACATCTGTTTTCTTGGACGCATTGATTGATTGCAGTGAATAATCTGATCATTGCAAAACAAAGGTTTGGAGTTGAACTGTTTACAAAAATCTTAATAAAACGTTTGATGATTTCTTTAATTCGGGTGCAACATACAATTGTATTAATACTATCAATAAAGTAATTGATGTAGGATAACTGAATATCACCAGATAAATTGATAATACCATCTAATAAAATCTTGTATAATCGATTAAAATAATTAGAAAAACCTAAACCAATAATTTGGATTAAATATAGTATTCGGTATGATTCGTTTTCAAAGTTATTGACAAATTGATTTAAATATTCAAAGAATTGATCATGAAATTCATATTTATACCAAGCAATGTGAGCTAACTTGATATACTCTTGAACGTTTGGCTTGTTATTGATGTCAGGTGTCTCAATAAAGATTGATTGTGTGTAATTAACAATATTATCTACAATTTCTTTTAACTCTGGTTCATTATTGAAGCGATTCTCAATAAAGTCTGCAATATGTCTTACCAGTGATACCTCCCATGCAGGGCTGTTCTCGAAGCTATAAATTAATAAAAAATAAAGATTTTGACGATTGCTGCGTATTTCATCAAGGGCATTATAATTTTTCTCTTCAGCTTGAGGATCCTGTTGAATAAGTTGGTCAAGTTGTGTTGATTCGGCATATAGATCATCATACCGTTTACCAAGTGCATTTTTATATTGTACAAGTTCTGAATCCAAAAGGTGAAATGAGACAAAAAGTGACAAAATTTTGAAATTGAATATTTGGGAAAAATTTTTGAAAAAAATTGTAGTATGAAAAAAGAAGGTAAAATTAGAAGTGTATGAATGCGGTAATTAAAAAAATTTTATTGTTGGCGTTGGCCGGCACGGCGTGTGAAAACCTCGACACCTTCCATTTCGTCAAGACCGATGGCAGCAAGCATTTCCTTTGTTTCTGGATCAACGAGGATCTTTGGAACGTTAAGCTTGGAGGTTGTTGGCATCCAGTTATCGCGCTTCTCACGCTCCTGTTCCTGAAGCTTGAATGAAATGCCACGAACTGGTCCGCGTTCAAGGCGGCGCATGAGATGTGTTACGTAGCCGGCGATTTTGTTGCGCATGCGCTTTGATGGAATATCAGCGACAGCATCGCAAACGCGCTTGTTGTCCTGGAAATCGAAGGAAAGTTGGCCATAGAAACGCTCGATAACGAGGCGTGCGGCTCTCTTTGTGGTCTTTGTACGAATACGACCCATGTTAAAAGGAAGAACAAACCGTTTTTATCGTCGCGCCATGGACCGAATTTTCAAAGCACTATCGATGATAAGTGTTTGTTAAATTCATGATCAAATGCTCTTTTTAAATAATATAAGAAATCCCGATTTACTGCACTTTTTAATATCTTGAATTTAAAATATATCAGTTTTAATCATTTAACATATTTGTATCAATATGATTTTACTTCATTAATCAATCTATTCCTCAAGAAAGCCCAGATGGTCATGGATATAATTTTGAAATTTCTTTTCCATGCATTACACTAGTATTGATTTTGTGTTTTAAATCCATACATAAATTCCATATTAGTGTCCATATAACTTGCCTCTATTTATATATCAAACTATATTCTATTTCAATAGAGTTTTAACTAATCATAAGAAGCTGATATTAGCGATATATCATAAATATTATCAAAAGTACATCATTATGATGCTATAACAATGGAGTATTTGAATAAATCTAAAGAATTCTTTCTGAAAAAAACTGATTTTAATTATGATAGTGATAATAATAATAATTTTTTTACTTTATTAAATGATTTCGATAACAAAGTGTTTTTGTAAATACATACAAAAGATAAAAGTTAATTATATAAAAAAATTATTTGGTAGATGGTTCTTCAGATTCTGGTTCATTTGTTAAAGTTATGCAAGCTTCCTTCGACCTCATGACATCCAGGAACATCTCCATCATCATGTATTCTCTATCGATAGCTCCAACTGATCTAAATGCTTCGATGGCAATGATGTATTGATACAAGTTTTCTGGTTTTCTCATTCTTTCGAGCCACAATTCATCATATCCTCCAAGAGTTCTTTCTCTTAGGACTTCACCGAATGTGAATATGATCAAGATGTAGATACCGATGATGCCACCACCCATTGATACCAATGTTCCAACTGTGCCGTCAGATTCGACTTCATCCGACCAAATAATGATCTTCAAAAATGTTGCATCTTTTAATTCAGAAATGTTTGGATTAACTGTTGCCAACTGTACAACGTTTGCTGTTGTATCGAACTGGAAACCACAAGAGTAGTTTGTTGAAGAACTTGATGCTGCTCCTTCTCTTGGATTGAAGTAAACAACAGGTACATTCGTAAGGTTCGTGTATGAAGAAATATTCTTCCATGCTTCGAGGTAATCACTTGATTGAGAAATAGTAATTGGATCCATGTTCAACTGGTAGGAAATGACATTTGACTTAGCAGTTGTTGCTGGATACTGGAATGTTGTTGTCAGTTTAACGTATGGTCTCTTGTTCAAGTTGGAGTTTGTCAGGAAACTCTTGATTGAAGCATCAGTTGCAACAGCCGTACTTTGTGATGACAACGGGAATAAAGCTATAATCAGATCATCCCGAGAATAAGTCTTCAGAACACTCAAATCAGCGAATCCCGAATTAGCCAAATCATTGTGTTCTGAGGATGTCAAGTTCTGGAATTGGGCGTATGATCTGTAAATAGCTCCTACAGCTGTGAAACCGATTTCTAACTCGGAAGAAAGGATTGGATTGTTCATGTAAGCGCCAGATCCACCAACCATGAAGAACAAAGGTCCGAAAAGAAGTAAAATGATCAAGAACAAGAAGCAACCACCGATACAAAGATTTCTTTCCAGTCGTTTTTGTTCAGGTCGATGATTGTAAACCATTTGATTTTCAAGCAATGTCTTGATATCTTCTTGTATGAAGAAATGAGCGAATTCTACTCTTGTGTCCTTTGACATCCACATCAAAAGCGAGTGGATTTCGAAAACGAATGGACAGATTCTCATGAAGTTGTTCATGCAAAGAATCTTTCGCCAGTTGTTTTCTATGTCTGGGAACGAGAAGTTTGCTATGATTTTACCAAGATAAGTATCATGGTAAACTATCAAAATGGAGATGTATTTGAGGAACAAATAGAACTGAAGGGAAGAAGCCTTTGGTTTGTAGCAAACCCAGAAATCAAAGATCAATACACATATCAATTGTATCGTGTTGAAAATGTACAAAGACAAGAAGTTATTTGATATTCTCAAAAGGAAGAAAACGAAGATGAAAATTGCACTGAAAATCAAAGAGAAAACGAAGAAGATTGAGATACCAGTTGATGTCTTATCACTTGATGTATCAGTTGTCCAGCTAGAAATGTTAAAGATCATTACTAAGAATGCAATTGCGTCAATGATCATTACAATGAAGTATTCATTTGACGTAGGAATTCTTATGTTATTCGCATTCGCAACGATCTGTTGCCAAATACTTGGCATCTTCTTCTGGCTGAGGCCCAAAACTTTGTCTGGATTATCGAAGTTGTAGAAGTATTTGTCTGGATATCCTTCTAATTTGTTATCTCCGCCAAAGATCTTGTTGTTGTAATGGCTTGGAGCGAAGACACAAGCATTCCTGAGGTTATCGACAACATACCATGTTCCAACTAAGAACATAAGGATTTCAATTGTTGAAGAATCAGCGGAATTGAAGCCAAACAAACTTGGATAAGAAACACGAGATTGTGCAGCTGAAACGGAGTTCAAGTACTTATCCATTTGATCGGAAATCAAATCAACTGTGCAGACAGCTCTAAGAAGTAACATAATGATCAACGCGATGTAGAAGATTCTGTAGACTAAAGGTGTCGCGTAAATGTTTGTTCCAATGAAAAGAGCAAAGATGTAAATGGTGAAGAGGAATGAAAGAAGATATGGCTTGACATAAGTGTAGATAACAGACATGAGTACTAAGCAAGGAAGAGACAATTTACGGATTGTGTAGCCGAAGTATCTTAACAACAATTCTCTGTATTGTTCACGCTTTATCTCAGGGAACTGCAAGATTTCTCCAATACCACCAAGTTGCATGTAAAATGATGGTGGCAGTTTCTTCAAGAAGTTTTGTTCGATCGGAGTCAATTGGTAAGTTCCTCCTGCTGTTAAAGCTGCAGCAATTCTTCTGAGGATGGCATTGACGGAGTTGAATGTGAGGACATTGACACCAGCCTCGCAAGAGAGATTGACTGTCTTTGCATAGAAAATAATGATGTGAGAACAAAGTGGCCAAACAATATTTTCCATGAAAATGTCCCAGAAACCGAGGATACGATCTTTGACTGTCTTTGGAGGTTCTTCTTCCTCTTCCTCTTCTTCAGGGATATATTCTTTACCTTCTGCAGCTGCTTTAGCTTTCTTTTCTTCAAGTATTCTTTGCTTTTCTTCAGCTTCTTTCTTCTTTCTCTCTTCTTCTTCTGCCTGCTTTCTTATTGCTTCTTCTTCATCCTTCTGTTTCTGTTCTTCTGTTCTTGTATCAACCTTTTCTGGTTTCTTCTGCTGTTGCTGTGGCATCAAGAATGAAGCAGATCTGTTCAATCCTGCTGATGATTGGTCAGCAATTCTGAAGATTTGTTCAATCTTTGCGTGTTGAATTGAATCAACAACTTCTTGGTTAAGTCTTGAGATGACTTTGAGTTGTCTGACTCTGATGAATCTGTATGCCAATCTTTGGATTGAATCCTTTCTGCATTCCTGGAACATTGGTGTTTCCATGATGTGAATAACCAATGATTCCAATGCGAAAAGAATGATCCAGAGATATTCAGTACTTGACTTGCCTCTGAATGGTAATCCAAAGGCTTCTTGGACGTAATGTGCATATCCGTTTGTTGAGAAATATGGAATACGACTCAAGAGTCTACCTGCAATAACCAAGAACAGACCCCAAAGATGGATAGAAATTGTCTTGTGGTTATCGAAATCGTGTAACAATGTCATGTAGAACAAAATAGAGATCAATATTGTGAAGAACAAACCATCGAATGTTGGAATGAAAATGGAGATTGCGATGGCAACTGCTTCAATGATCTCAAAGATATTAGAAACAATGAATTTGATGACACCCTTCAAGAATTCTGGTAAATCATTGAATCCGGCATCATAGTTCATTGCCAATTCTCTGAATTGCAAATAGAATGTTAACATGAAAGCGGTGACCATGTTAGTTAACAAAGCTTCTGTTTCGATATTTCTTAATGATAGGAAATCGCCCCAATCGTTATCCAAAGCATCGCTAATGAAATAGAACCTGGAAGGAGGACCAAGCCAGATAACATATTGGAACAAGAAGCAGAAGTTGAAGAGAACGGAAATCCAAACAGCACCTCTTTGTAGAACTTTCGGTTTGAACTGGACAATGATCAAAACTAACAATGAGAAGAACCCGAAAACTGTTGGATTATAAAGTGTTGAAATGCACAATGAAATGTTAACGAAAACAGGTAACCAGTTATGTAACATCATGTAGAAAGCTCTGTACAATCTCATACCCAATGAACCGTCGAATTTCGGATCAGTTTGTTCAGGATGTTCTGCAATCATATTGACAATGATTACGAGAATGAACAACAACTGCCATGTCATTGAGTAGTTTCTATCTCCTTGTCCTTTATCGCCATCAACGAAGTACAAACCGATATATTCACACCATTTACGTGTGCTTGTATATGGTGTTTGGTCTTTATCAGTTAACTTAGGGAATATATCAAGGAACACTTCAATAACGATGTAGACAGTGTTTGTATAGAGCAATGCGCCGACCATTTTATTGAAGAATCTGGCCATTTTAGAACCGAGAAGGAAGAGAATGGAAATGACGCATTTGATGATTGTTGGATAATCATTTGAAATAGAGAAGAAGAACATCAATAGCCATGAGATATAGAAGAACAATGATCTCAATGCTGCTTTGAATTCTTCTCTTATACCTTGTATCCAAATATTTGGTCTCTTTTGAAGTGGATTCGTGTTCATGTATGTCAATGAAATACAGAACATTGTTACAGCAAGAAGAGCTGCTTCTAATCCAGGTGTTTGTGGTGTTCTCAAGTCAATCAAATCTTGCATTGTGAACTTCTTGTTGAAAGTGATTGACATGAGATAATTCCTTGTCCACTCGAATTCGGAGAACATCAACATTGTTAAGTGCAAAGAAACAGAGATACCTGAAACAACAATGGCAATCTTTGTTAACAGGACTTTATTAAGAACTTTGGAGTAGAAAATAAAGATACCTGTTATGACATAAATGACAGAGAAAATGTTTGGTCCGTAAACATACAAATATGCCAAATGTAAAATTGCCAATGCCCAGAAAATGAACATAACAACTGTTGATGGATAAATGACTTTCACTTTACCCATGTGTGTAATTAATACACAAAGGAAGACCATGACAATGTATGGCCATAGGTAGGTGGGTAAATCTGCCTCGCCACTAGCACGCTTCAAGCCCGTCTTTTCTAAGTAATCGAGAACGGTAGAATTGAAGTAGTCTGTCGGCATTGTCTCGAATACTGTGGCTGTAATGATAATGAGACCGGTAAGGAAAAGAATAAAGTAGAAAATAGGACGGTGGAATAAACCAAGAACGTTGGTGATTAAAATGATGACGCAAATGGCGTTGAAACAGTATTGATTCTCTTGATAACCGAATGTAATACCTAAAACAACGACGGCACCTACGGAAAGGTTCTTAAAGATGAAAACAATGACGTCTGTTACGATCTTGGCGATTTTAATGATGAATTTGACAACTGGTCCTTTTTCTTTCTTCTTCTTTGGACGATCGATGATATCTCTGAGTTCCATGCCTTCTTCTTGTTCTCCTTCTGCTTCTTTTGGTGGTTTAAAGTGGACAACACGGCCAATTTGTGCCAAAATTGAGGTAAGTAAGAAACCAAGAAGTACGAACATGAATTCCTTGTTCTTGTTTTCGGAATCTGTATTCTCCTCGTAGAAATGGTAGAAGCCAATCGGTTGTAAGATTCTTGAGAATAATCTTGGATGATTTGTCTTTGCCTTTTCAGCTGAGTAGAATAAGTTGAGGCATGTGACGTAAATGGCACTGAAAAGAATGTTGTGGATGACTGAAAGTAACCTGAAGAAGAATTTTCGAGAGGCATTCAACGAGAAGAAGCAAGCAAGGTAGACAATGAGCTCCCAGACACCTGCTATGTAGCATGAGAAGAACACGGAGTAGACTAAAACTGCTACAAATGAGAAAACTAACAAGATGTCTGATAATGTCACGAGAGACTGAGGAATCGTAGGCTTTGAGCGCTTGAATACGAAGCAGAGCTGTACTGAAAACCAAATCTGAATGACATTGACAGCTAAGCTGAGAGGAGCGTACTTCTGGAAATAACTTGAGCTATGGATCTTTGCGCTGCTCGTCTTTCCAATAATCGGATACAACTGGCCAAGAGGGGATGTTGTATAGAAGATGAAAAGTGAGAAAATGATCGCATAGACATAAATTACGATAAGAATGTACTGGTGCACAAATGGACGACCAAAAATACCCATTGTAATGGAAATGTAAAGGATATATACCAACAACGGAAGGAAGCAATAGCTAACTTCGACAATTTCCATGAACATTTGAACTGCACCCATAACGGCGAGGCAGAATGTCCAGATGAAATCGGAAGCAAAAATCCATGCCATAGAAGAGTATATTTTGGCTCTACGCTCAAGCATGATCTCTGGCTTTGTTTTGAATAAGAGAACAGCAGAGAGAATTTCCAAAATAATTGCAATAACACTGATACCGATGGTAAGCTTAGCGTTTGAGGCAACATAGTTATTAAAATCTAAGCCCATGATTTTGATAATATTAGTATCTTCTTCTTCTCTCATTCCAATTGATGAGGCAAGGCCGAGAAGTATAATATTATAAACTAATTCGATAGATAATATAATTTTGTGACCTGTAATGGATTTTTTTGTCAAGTTAGTAATGGCAACATTTGCAACTAAGATAATAATGTTAATCATGCCCATTACGCCTTCGGTTGTCATCGAATTGATGACGTAGCATATAGGAAGAATAAATTCCAGCAAAACAATGCATGGAATTGGATATGATTTTTGCCTTTTCTTGCGAACTGGTTCCTGATAAACTTTCTTTCTAGGAGCAGCCTCTGGATTGCCATCATCCGGGCCGGTGACTGTGGTGCTACTTGGCTCACTAGAAACTTCATATTCATCAGAGGAATCAGAACTCATTTTTTAGAAATAAATTTCTTTTTGGAAGTAATAAAAATGAACAATTATGCACAATACATGTTGATGCATATTTTTTATCTATAATGAAATTTTATTTAATATTAATATTAATATTAATATGTTTACGCCAATATTGGCAAGATTTTAAAGTATGATAGCATGTGAATAAAACTATCAGCTTGAATATCAAGAATTTTGCCAGCTCTTTGCTGTTATTCTTGATGGATCTTCTTTCAATTAGAAAATATGAAATCAAACAATAAATTGGAAAAATATCCAGAAAAATCAATAGAATTCAAGTAGACTTTCATTTCTGTTCTCTGTAAAATGGAAAATCTTTTTTATAAGATTCATCAGACCAAAAAAATATAAAAGTGACAAGTGAAATGGGAGAGTTTAAACCAATCCTAGACTCAAGTGCAAAAAAAGTAGTATATTTAGCTGTATCAATTTTTGCTGTCTTCTGCGTGGTTGCATTCTTCCTTTATGAGAACAAATCAAAACGTAATTTCTTCACAGAAGTCATATTAGCTGTCGGATCAGCTTGCTCACTCGGAACTGCTATTTTCTTTGCTTTAGTTAAAGCAGATGTTGTTCTTTGATCAAAATAAAAGCCTTTTCATAAAAAATATCGCCGTTTTTATTCATATTGGCTTATACACGCATAAAATTGCGGCCAATCACTTCTAGATCTAATTTTACTAAAGGAAAATATTTTGTTTTCTAAAAATATTAATCTATTTCCAAGGTTTTGATTTCATATCATCAACCTTTCATAACATTACCTAACTCTCTACTTTCGTTATCGTGTGTGTCAAATCTGAATAATGACACGCAGCTCAACTATATATAGGCATAATAACAAATTGAATTGGCAACAAATGCATTACCAATGATATCAGTTTGAATTTTAACTAACTATATAATGCATTAGCTAAATTTGTTATCTGGCTAAATAATTTCATAAATTTTACAAAATTTATGATTTTACTTTAATCACAGGCCAAAATTCATTCCTTTCTTATTTTTAGTTGAATTTATATATGATGTCATATCGCTTTGTGAAATATCCAATTATTGGCGGTTGTCCATTTTCCTGTAAAGGAAACTCCATAGATTGCTTAAGAAAGTTATTGATAAATCAGATATAATTCAAGAGCAATGAGAATTGATTCCAATAATTTCTTGATAATCTACGTTTTACTGAATATAATTGCATATTTTCTTTTCAAGTTCGACCAGGTCCAATTCAGATTCAGAGGCCCAAGAATACCAGAGCTTCTATTAATATTTGCTGGGCTTATAGCTCCATTCGGCGCTTTAATTACATTTTTCTTATTACGTCATCACGCCTATGGATTCAACTTCCAAATTTTCCTATTAATCATGGCAATAGCTCATATTTACTTGCTTCGACATAATTGGCCATTTATTCGTAATTAAATTTAATAACAAAATATTAGACCTTTCTCAAGTAGAAATATTCTTGAAAAGCAAGCTTATTCTGGTGTACTAGTAAAATTTTTCTATTTTTCACTTATATGCTAATATTATTCTAAAAAAAAACATTTTAAGCACAAAAGAATAACAGACATTTCTCTCGCTATTTGTGGGTTAAGCACCACAACTACATTACACAAGGACAGAGTTCTTCCAATACCTGTCATCAAATCATGGACTTCTGATAAACTCTGCCCTATTTGAATAATTACAGAATTCTATGCCTTTTGTGAACCATGAAAGAGTATAAGAGTACTTCAGTACAATATTCATTACGAACTCTCTCAAAGAATGAGTGATTTCGTAATGAACATTGACAATTTCATATAAACTTGAATCCTTAATCCTCAAAGGTACATGGTATAGTACTATAGTCAGCGAGGGTAATAGTGTATAATATCCCAAGAAGCATAATAATTATGCAGCCTAACTACTCTATCCTAGGAGCTAGACTGTATAGATATTGTGCTTCTGGTTTGTAGAACCCTCATGGAAGACTGATTAGAGATCTCCTGCCAAAATCACTTGCAAATGTGGATGGAGTAGCACTTTGATTGGCCAAATCAAAGGCTGCATAGCATCATGAGATTATGACATTGTGTCAGATTTTCGAATTTACAAATGTCAAATTTTTCAAATTATACAAGAATGGAGATTGAAAAAGCTGTCGAAAACTTCAAAGCCAGCACTAATCAAGGGATTTCTGCAGAACTAAAAGAAATTGGACATTACTTTAATTTAGGATCACATGATTTAATCTTAAAACATTCACATTATACATATAATATTGATACACTAATGAATAATTTATCCCGCTTATGTGAAAATGCTCCTATATTTAGAAATGATATTCTTCCAACAATTGCAATTCAAATTTGCGACGCTTTAATTCTTAAAATAGTATTTTCGGCTGAAAATGATGTAATTTATATCCTTGCGCATGCAGTGACTGAATTAGAAAGATCAGAACTTCTCCAAAGTGAGCACCAATTTGCAAAAGCTCTTTCTGTTTATTTCGGAAAAGTTTTTGATTGGTTCCAGGACCAGTATGACGAAAAAGGAATTTATAAATTTGTTCAGTGGGCTCATTATTACAAAGATTTACATACAAAATCCTGCAAGAAGTGTGGTGAACTTATGATTGTTGATTCATTTGGTGCTTTTGTGCCTCCGGTTATAAGAGATCCGACAAATGGAGAAGCATATCATGTTTGTTGCGCTCCAGTGTTTGAAGGCTTAGAGCACCTTGGATTTGCCGTAAAAAAGACTGAATGATCACTAGATTTGAAACATTGTTAAAAATATAGAGTAAACTTTACTATTATACTTCTAATTATTTCACTTTTTTGGTCAGATTACCGAATTTAGAATTAGATTGGAACACTGTGCCATTAATGGAGACATACGCAGGCAATATCTCCCAGAATTTCATATACCGACCAACAATAGGGAACTGTTTCATTTTGTCGGTAAAAGTTTCGCATTCATAACTTGATTGTGGAATATTGTGCCATTCAGGAGGACATGTACAGATGATATCTCCCAGAATGGTACTATAAGAAAGATAAGAGTGCATAGTACAATCTTGTCAGTCAAAGTTCCGCAATCAGGATAAGAATGGGGCATTGTGCCATTCTGGGAGACTTATGCAGATGATATCTCCCACAATAGCACATTGCAATCGCCAAAAGAATTTATGACTATCTTTTCTATCGACTTTCTACAAATATTTATATTTATATTTTCAACGATATGCAATTCACCCATTACCTCTTAAATATTGACCAAAATACATTCAATGATGCCTGTGCGCAGAAAATACCAATCTTAGGGCCATGTGTATGGGAGTCATTCCGTTTTTAGTAGACATTCATTAACATTCTTCAGTGATAAGTTTCATGCGAGAACTAATGGATCCCGACCTGATGATAGCAATTTTTCAACAAATGAATTAAGTATTTCGCGCCTCATATAAAAATTCAAAAATTTATTCAGATATAAGAACAATTTTAATCAGATGCCGCATATATCATAGAAAAAAGATATGATATTTTCCCCGTGTAAGGATTAATACAATAATGAGTTTCGCAATGAAGTTCAAAGTTCGAAAGGCTTGTGGGGAATGTACAGTTAATATTATTATCTACCGTAACAGTCTCATTTCCAAATAATGAACTTGGATATCCTGATGTAACTTTAATTAGAATATTCACAGGAGTCATATGAAAAACGCCTGTCATATTTCGATAGAAAATCTCATTATTCATTTCGGAGGTACCGCAGTATTCAAACAAAGTTATTGAATCAAATCCTCGAAATGTTCTTGGTTCAATTACTTTGACTGAGCTAGGGAGTCTCACAATTTGTACACGGAAGTTGAATCCAAAAGCATCAGCCCCAATATATTCTAACATGCTTCCACCAAAAGTTATGGATAGAGAAGCATAATTATCATAAAATGCATTAGCTTCAATAGTTTTCAAACGACTATAAACTTCGAATAAAACGTACCCAATGTTATGACACCTAAAGAACGAAAAATTCCTGACAACTTCAACACTATAACCTATTACTAATGATTTCAAACCATCACAATAGGCAAAAGCGCATGTACCGCATTCTATCACTCTATACAGCTTGTGTTGATAGATAACAAAATTTGGGATTGTTAAATTACTTGTGAATGAAATAGAAACTGCATTCGGTTGTGAGAAATCATAAACTCCTGTTCCTACACGTACTGTTCTTTCCCTTTCATCTATTATCGAATATTTAACACCTTCAACTTCAAAAATATCTTCTATGACGACTATGAAGAGAAATTCCAACATTCCAATTATGAATTTGACAACATTCAGAACTCTTGTCAATATTTCAATAATTCGATGTCTCAATTTTTTCATTCAATCTATCCGGTTAAGGGTTCGAACTTATTTTTTTAAAGGATACATTAAGATGAACTCCAGAATGCCGAAGTCAATCTAATAATTGAATTAATACACAATTATTTATCCATTTCAATAGGAGTGGTCAAAAATCTTATTGAAGTTATTTAATTATGGAACTCATGAAATAATATAAATGTGTAAATTATTCTGCATTTGCATTATCAAATCTAACTCTTCTCTAACAAATTTACTTCAATTCATAATCGAATTTCTAATCATTCATTCTACTTATAATATCTCATATATGATGCAGTTGGCGTTTCAACAACGAAAGAAAATGATTCTAATCTGCGGCCAGTAATGAATGTCCATAACAATTTTGGAGGAATATACTGAAACAAGACTTAAACTCATCCGAAAGATGTTGTGGCTGCGTCTATGATCAAATCAGTTTGCAGAGAGATATTCTGAATCTCATGTAGATATAGTATGTATGAAGTCATTTTTGGGTGTTCTCTATTACTTGAATAGGTTCTGACATCTATTACGAATTGTCTGGAAGGATGTCAATTGATAAATGATATAGAAGAATTATCCTGGTTCGTTGAATATGACATTAATAAATTAAAAAAAAATTAAATCTTTTTGGACCAATTTTGTATGCAAATCCTTGTTGAATGACGCTGATTGCATTACTAGATGTAAATTTTCGATTATTTCCTTCATAAGATTTGTCTTTTGGTTTTGGAATGGTAATGTATTTGGGGAAAAAAGTATCTGGGAGCTATTGAAAGGTTTATCTGGATGTCTTGCATACGAAAGTATCAGAGTTAACAAGACAAATGTCTAATCATTCACATTGACCATTTAAGAAGTAACCACATTTGAATAACGAATTAAGAGCAAAAGATTATTTAATTTGTCGTCACAAGAACATATCATATGCTTGAGGGTACATAAACTTCATATATGATGCTCTGTAAACTTTATTGGAAGTTCAATAACGTATTTAATGTTCTGTTAGTAATAGCAGAAGCATTAATGATTCTAGCAATCACTAGATTCTCCTGTAATTTTGGTAACTTTTGGGATGGTTGCTTGAAAAACATTGGTAGGAGCAGCAATTAACTCCATTAATTGTTGTTATGTAATTTTGTCTATTTTGCTGAGATTAAAGTGATCAATGAATTTTTTGTTGTTATTGTGTCGCAATGGATTGAAAAACCTCAAAATCAAAAAAATTCACAAAATGCACCAATCGAAAAAAAGTTCGGTAATATGTAGCCCATGAATGATATGAGCTGCACATATCACACATTACTTGTTAATTAATTCATTGTCTGTAAAACCTTATTTGGTTAACCACTTTAAAATTGAGAGCTTTGATTTTGCCAATATTATGAAGATTCAAAGACTATTCAATTTTTTTAATTTATGGAATGATGTTTTTCTTGGCATACAGTAATTTGCTATTAAATTACACTGATAGCTCATCAAAGCAAGGATCATTAACCGCCGGAAATGAGTATATAAGAATTTCTGAAAAAGTGACACCCAAAAAGTGACACTTTCAATAGGGAGTAACAATTAAAAAGTGACAATTTAAAATTCACAATAAATAAAAATAATAAATTTTTTAGTCTATTAAATTATTCTTTTCTTTGAAATCCTCCAAAAATTCTTCGAAATGTTCTAAAATATAACCTGGAGAATTATAACAAAATTCATTAATTTCTAACATATACGTATCTAACAATTCATTTGGAATTTCAAACGATCTTAAATATGTAATTGAATTTTGTATCTTCTCATTTATTTGAGAAAGTTTTTCTTCAGCATTTTCCAATAAAAATCTTAATGGATTCAAATTGGCTTCTTGATTCTGAACAAAATTTAATACTTGGTATAAACGTGATTGAACTTCTCTTTTCAATTTTGTTTTATAATCTGTCAATCGAGGCTCGCGAATTCTAATTGAAGGAATAAAACCTGTTTGAAGTAAATCGTTTTTAATACGATAAAAGTAATTGGGTGCAACTTCTTCTAAAAGATTTTTGACAAAAATATCAATTCTTTGATTTTTAACGCAGCCAAAATCGTGATATTTTATCTTTTTAAATAAAGATTCAGAAACGTTATTCACAACGGTTAATTCATTTGGTCTGGCAGCGGCTATCCACTGTTGTTTATGAATGTCCCACTGACGTGTAAAGTATTGATTAAATTCCAATTGATCTTGAATTTTATCAATAATGTGCTCTTTATACATTTTTGCAGCATCTTCTTCTGTGCAATCACGATAATAACATAAAATGTTCATAAATTTTTCGACTTCTGATCTAATCTCTTCATCATTTATCTTTGAGAGATTCTTTTTAAGTGCGCGTATTACATGTAGCGCGCACCAAAAGATATTGCACTCCGGAAATGAATTCCTAATCCCGTTGAAAATGTTTAGTGCACAGCCAGACATGATAAATTCAGGTTCTGTGTGAGTTGTTTCAAAATATTTACTTAAGCAAAAAGAAATATTTTCACTATTATCTGGATATATTATAAAATAACACAAAGGGATAGAATGAGTATTAGCAAATTTGGTAGCTAATACATAAAAAGGAAATCCATGAATAATTAATTTAAACGTAGAGTCTAAGTGATAAATTGGTGGTTTTTCATGAATTTGAGAGATCATATCATTATCAGAGTAAATAAAAACCAATTTGTCTGGAAAATCAGTATCTTCACCTTGAATGTCAAAATAAATAAGGTCATCATGTTGATCTTCCCATTGATTAACATAGTTTTGTAAAGATTGAAATTGATTTAAAGATATGTCTGGTAAAGATCTCATAAGATCTTTTTGTTGTAAATAATATTTCAATTGATTGATTGCAGTTTGTTTCATAGTCATGTGAATACAAGTATGATCTTTAGGTATTTCAAGCGTTTTGTTGACTTCTTGTGTTGCATTAAGTGGACTTCCGTGATTCATGAGAAATTTTTTAATCCAAGCACGGTAAGTTATGTTGTGGTGGTGGTCCTGAGTGAATATGAGTTAAGTTTGCAGATTTAAAAATGTAATTGTCGAAATTTTTAATAAATTTAAAGCCTGCTGGGCAGCCTTCGTATTCGCATCGGTGGTAGATTAATACTCCTGTTCCAATTGATAGTTTTTGTGGGTCTTTGACAAATCTTATGTTACCATGCAGCTCTGCAGCTATAACAAAACGAGAATATTCTAAATATCCTATGGCTTGATCAACCTCGCATGGAGGATCGGGTGGAGGATGTTGCATTGAGCAGCAAAAAGGAAAAATAAAATTGAAAACTCACATTGAAAAAATAATGGTTTAATAGAAAATATTTTTTTTCTTCTGAAAAAGAATTATCTTTGAGTATCTAAATTGGGATAAAGGATATAGAATAGATAACTAGTACTTAATATATGATACATGTACACGAAATGGAAGAATGTGTACTAAAAGAAAGAGAAATTTTAGCTTAATATTTTACATACGAATCAATTATCTTTGGTTAAAAGGTAGAATTGTTGGCTATGATGTACTGATTCATGATCAGTACATCATAGCCAACAATTCCTTATACAAAATTCAAAAACTTGGGTGCAATCAGTTCTGATTGCACCCAAGTTTTTGAACTTTCTTGAGGGAATTAAAGGGTGAGAGATTTATAGTCTATCTATATATCTCCCACCCTCTAATTCCCTCCCTGACAGCGGGAAACTTTGTCTGAATGTTAAACTATTCAGACAAAGTTTCCCACTGTTTGCGAAGGAATTGTTGGCTATGATGTACTGATTCATGATCAGTACATCATAGCCAACAATTCCTTATATAAAGTTCAAAAACTTGGGTGCAATCAGAACTGATTGCACCCAAGTTTTTGAACTTTCTTGAGGGAATGGAGAGTAAGAGGATACATTATGAATATATACCTCTTACCCTTCCATTCCCTCTCTGACAGCGGAAACTTTGTCTGAATGTTAAACTATTCAGACAAAGTTTCCCGCTGTCAGCGAAAGAATTGTTCCATCTGGTGCATAGAGCGTGAATCTATGCACCAAATGGAGCAAGTCCCTCGCGAAATTGCCAAAACTTGCGTCGCATTTCAAAGATTGCGACCCAAATTTTGGCGATTTCTAGTAGAGATGGAGTATTTTGAGTCACTGACCTATATGCAGTGGCTCAAAGGGCTCCATCTCTACTTTGAAGCAAGGAAACTTTCCTCGAAATTTTGATAATTTGAAGAAAGTTTTCAAGCAATTAACAAAGGATTACTCGCTATGAGGTAAAAATTCTAGATTTTCACCTCATAGCGAGAGCTTCCCTTTCATTGCTTGAAAACTTTCCCCAGCTTCAAAATTGGGGAAAGGGCTGTAAAGTCGACTCCGATACCAGCAGGTACCAGAGTATTTAAAAGAGAAGCCCTCGTACGAGTTTCTATGAAGACCTTCTCATTCAAGAAGATCTTAATAGAAAATCGTACGAGGGCATTGGAAACTCGCGTCTGGTACATGTTGGTACGAGAGTGTTTGAGATTTGAAGACTCTGGTACTAACATGTACCAGAATTTATGATGAATTTAAGATGGACCATTATAAAATGGTAGCGGTTTGTTTCAAAAAATTTTAGATGAGATTTGCATAGATATAGATTATATGATTTATACATATGAAAAATAATATATAAAAATATAATTTTGAGATAATTATGTAAATAATATTTTAAATATTTGATTTTGAGGTATAATTTTATAGTAAAATATATTATAAAGAGTATTTATATATATATTGTAAAATAATATAAGTAATAAAAATTGAGACCCCTCCCTGTTTTTGATGTTTTGTCACTTTTTCGGTAATTCTTATTGTTTCTGTTTTTCTTGGCATACAGTAATTTGCTATTAAATTACACTGATAGCTCATCAAAGCAAGGATCATTAACCGCCGGAAATTACGAAATAGAGTGTTTTGGAGCCCAAGGAGGTTCCTGTTCACATAGCCAACCAGGTGGGCCTGGAGCATATGCAAGAGTTCAATTTAAAGTTACAAATACGATGAGTTATGTAATACAAGCAGGAATGCAAGGTAATGGTATTTCAGGAGGTCTACCTGATGGAGGAAACGCAAGTAAGGATGGATATTGCGGTGGTGGAGGGTCAAGCAGAGCAATTTTGAATGGAACTATAATGATAGTTGCTGCAGGAGGATCTGGTTCCAATTATTTCTATTATGGAGCTCCAGGAGGTGGGAATAACACATATTTTTGGAAAGAGCCAAAAAAAAACGTGTTTGAGGAAAGATCAGATCCTTCATACTTAACAGAAACCAATCATGGTGGTAATGCAGAGGATGGATCTGGAGGTGGTGCTGGATATAGAGGTGGGAAAGGTGGTGAAAATGGTGATAATATCACATCAATTGGAATCAGCGGGACATCATGTATATCTCCATCTAGTTCTTTCACTTTTACAGAGATTATAAATGGGAATAACAAGCCAAATTATGGAGATGGATATGTCACAATAACTTATGATTACTTGTGTATACCTAATTGCATAGATTGTGATAATGGATCATCTTGTAACAAATGTGATTCTTCGCATGTTAAATACAAGAATAAATGCGAATATCAATCATGTCCAAATTCTACTTTTCAAGTTGGAACTGAGTGTTTTGATTGTCCGTCAAACTGTGAAAAATGTCGTGATAGCACAACATGCACTAGATGTGAGCAAGGCTTCTTCATGAAAGGGAATGAATGCGTAAGTTCTTGCGGAATCGGATATTATTCTGATACAGAAAATCGAGTTTGCACTGCGTGCACAGTTTCACATTGCAGCAATTGCTTATCCAATCCTTCCACTTGCGATGCATGCAATAATCCTTTCGTTTTGTTTGATAACAAATGTGCAGATACAGAATGTCCGACTCATTACTATAATAACTCATTTATATGCCATGAGTGTAGTGAGAACTGTTTGAACTGTACTTCGAAGTACAAATGCACTGCATGTCGATCTACTAGTTTTAGAATTAACAAAAAAGGAAACTGTACATTAATCAATACAGCTTCATATAAAGAATTCTTTGATGTCCAGACGTTTTCAAGAAGGATTCAAAAGAACAGAAATGGTAAATCTTTTTTAATTTTAGTGCGGATTGAAATGGTTGAAAATTCTATTATAATATAAATAATAGAGTAAAATTTTGCGACCATGACCGAAAGTAAAATATTTTTGAAAGACTATCATTTGAAATGGTTCACAAAAATTACGGTGTAAATATCTCAAATAAATGAAAGGTTTATGCGGTGAAGAATCTAAAATGAATTGCAACATAAGAGACAATAAGTTTTGTTTCCAGTAGCAAAACCTAAACTAAATTCAATAATGATACTAAAATGCTGGAGAAACAAGCATTCATTAATTTTTATTTCTAATGAAGAACTTATGAACAAATCATAGACTTTCCTATATTTTATTATGCGTATCAAGCAGTTGTGATTGCCGAACTCTTTGAAAACTACATTCTTGCTCGTAAATGCTGAGCATCTGTTGATTATTAGCTCGCGTACGCCACTATATGATCATTTAACTTAACCCTTTCTTATATTAAAAAAATATTCCCCGGTGAACTTGTTATTGTTTTTGGAATGACAAGCTCAAATTATAAAGTTCATTTACAACAAGCTCGTGATAGCATGCTTGGATTATAGCTATTTCGATCTTTATCTTTATGAATGAAATTTTTCAATTTTGTTGAGTCTGTAAATCATTCAAATCAGATTTCATTTGCATTATTATTCCTATAAATAAACATATTCATAATATTTTGGTCATTGAAAATCACTATTTTTTGAATTATGACAGTTGAATAAAAGTGACAAATCGTATAAAATTCATCGATATCGGGAAATTCTTCTCAATTCTGTGATATTAGTGATGAACATACAGAGTTAATAATATATACTTAACCTTGGTCATAAATTTGGCGGTTCTGACATAGTTTACATGTCAAAAATAGTACCCCCTCAATAAATTTTCACTGGGGAAAATGGAAAATTCTTCTGAGAAACCAAAGGAGTCTCATACCATTCTGGTTATGGGCCTCGATGAATCAGGAAAGACATCCATCTTCAATCATTACTTTTTCGGTGAGTTATTTGCACCAGCTCCAACAGACGTTTTTGAAGAAAATTTACATGAGTTTTATGGTCATAATCTCAATTTTAGAGAAATAGGTGGCCGCTATAGATTCAAACCTCAGCGTTATGATAATCTTTCTGGCAGTAAAGCTATAATTTGGGTTTTCGATTCAATTGACCAATATAGAAGAACAGAATCTTTTGAAGAACTTGACGAGTTACTGAAAAGAGAAGAAGTTGCTAATCTCCCACTTCTATTTATTGTCAATAAACAAGATTCTAAATTTGCAATGCCATGGGAAGATATCGAAAATACATTTCAATTTGAAGAAATTCGAAAGAGCAGACCAGTCAACTATATTTGCACTACATCACACACTTGCCAAAACGTTACTGAAGGCTTGTTATGGTTACTTACTAAAATTGGCTTAGAACCAGTTTATGAGCAAGAGGAACCAAAAGAACAAGAACCTCAAGAAGATGAACAACCAAGAGAACTCCAATTTATTTAAAAAATATCTACATTGTTTTCTCATCATGATATCGTTGATGCAATCATTGGTTTGATTAATAATAGCCTTCCCTACATATTTCGGACTACTTTTTGAATTTTTTGATACGAAACCATATAATTTTTTTTTATTTATATTAGTTCTTCTGTAAAACGTCAGCTATTTATCTAAATACTTCAATCGTTATAAAGAAACACATTCTTTACTCATCAATTTTTTTCAACATATTAAATCTTGAAAATTCGATGATGTTTTACTATGAAATTTCATAATTATGCTAATTCCATTCATATTCTTTAAAGGAATATCCTAAGCATACTATAAATATTCAAGATAACGAAAATTTCACCTAATTTAAATTAATTGGATAGTAAATAGTTTGATAGTTATATTAAATCAGGAAGCGTGAATGTTTACTTACAATGTTATACAAGGAAAAAGGTATTAAATTTAAGAATAAAAATAACATAGCTTTATTCACAAACCGTTTGCATTTTATGAAGGGATTGTAACTGCATAATCCTGGTGTAAGAGAACGACCAATAAGTAAGCAACAATCGCGATAATAAATCCAAGTAGAATAAAAATCGAGAAAATGATTAATATATAATATTTGTCGACAATATCTTCTTCTTTAGGATCGGCTTCTGTTGGGGAAACTGCAAGTAAAACAAACGCAATGATAAATACGATTAATAATCCCCAGAAAATTGCTTGACCGAGTTTAGAGTTGTGTCCAATGATTAGGATGATAATAAGGATTGCCAAAAAGAAAAGGAATAAAAATGTGCCCACGCCTACTCCAAGAACGAGACTCATTTTTTTATTATCAACGAATTTATCGTTTGCAATTTTTTATATTAATCCCGTATAAAAACAGAAAAGTAGTCAATTTTTGAATACCTTACGGAATGTTTAATAAATAGAAAACGTAACTGATTTTACGGGATATTCTAGTAAGTTTATGTATACTTGATTCTTATTCACTAAAAAACTTTTGTAGATTAGATAAATTCATAAAAAATTATGTCTCTATATTCTAAATTTTGGTAGAATGGGACTTAGAATCATTACATATAATAGGGTATCAGTTCTTAATATCGCCCAGATACTCCTCATTTCGGAAATTAATATTAATTTTAAGAATTATCTTATGAAATCATAAAGTGGCAGAAAAATATGCATTACACTCAGAAAAGATGCTTCTTAACTGCTAAATAATCATATTTTACTATTTTGATTCGATGGTTGTTCTTATTATGATCATATTCTGATAAGCTTATAAGATTTGTCACTTTTTAGTTACAAAATCATGAATTTCGGTAATAGAACATTGATTAATTTAGTCATGACACTCAATTCCAAGTCACCAATGATTCAATCTACAAGAAGTTTTCAGTCAAGTAACTTTGCATTCTCAAAACTATCATTAAACAGATTTACTTCTTCATTCTTTTCGACATCATCAATAAATCAAAACACAAAGTTCCAATATTCATCATTCTCCAATTTCTTGGATACTCCAATTAAAACAATGTCGATGGAGAAGTATATTAATAAAGTTTTCGATAAAACAATAGAAACTGTAGGTTGCAAAGATTCATTTAACGTATTTCACTGTTCATTCCAGAATTGCCAAACAGAGAACATCCATGGAGGTGGAGCTATTGCGATTTTGAATGAAAATGATGCTATGATACGAATTGGATACTGCTCATTCTCCAAGTGTTCTTGCAAATTGCCTCAGACATCCGGTGGTGCCATTCTTATTACTGATGGCAACGGATTCAACGAAATTATTTCGAATTGTTTTACAGAATGCAAAGCCGGCCTTAGAGGCGATACATTCACAATAAGCTATAATGATGAGACCAACCTCAAAGATGCAGTTGTCGAAAACTTAAACGTAGAAAACTGTGGCGGATCGAAATTGGGATTCAACTGCGAATTACGTGCTAGATCTATTACAGTTAGATCTATTAATATTACAAATTGCGAAGCAAAGACTTGCCCAACCATCAGAGAACTTTTTAATTCAAAATCTTCCTTCAAATACGTAAATTTATACGGAAATAAGGCATCAGCCACATTTTTTATGGAAATAGCCACTACAGATTCAGATAAAGTTCCAGAAGGAATGTTGGATACATTTAATTTTGTTAAATCTTCAAAACGTGACGGTGAAAGTATCATTGTCTTCGAGGGATGCGATATAGTTGCTTTCAGACTTGTATTTGCCTCTACTAGTTCTAGGATTATCATTCAATCTAGGTCAGAATCAGGAAGTGTTCAAATTTACGATTCACAGTCTGATAGAGTGTTCTATTCTTCAGGTCTAGTACAATATGGAGAAGGTTGCCGTCTCGCTGAAATACCTTCCACCTTCGAAATTTCAAATGTTTACGATCCAGGATGCTATCACTCGAAATCTGTTGAGAGAATAGCATATATTAACTGGCAATCCATCGTAACTGGTGTTGGAATCACTGTTGCCTTCTTCTTGGCCGCAATTATCGGAGTTTATCTTACAAGAAAATATAAGAAGTCTGTGACTGATAAGATCGATCAGGAAGTTATCGGTGACCTCACAGCTCTTGTAAATTAAACTAATATTAGCTTTGTTATATATATTTTCTTATCGAAAAAAATCAATTGTTATAAATAACCGCAATTTCGGACTTTTATCTTTTTAAATCTTGATAAAAATCAATAAGAAGCTTTCTGTTCGATATAAAACACAAATAATTTTGAGACAAATTAAAAATCTTCTCCAAAATCTTAAATTGGACATTAAAATACTAGTAATTCCTATAGTCTGTAGCAGAAAATACGAAATCAATCATTTCGAATAAGACTTTTCGATAAAAATTTCAAAATATAAAAATTTATCAGTAAAAAAGGTCAATTTTTACTTAAATGGATGATTTGCTCTTTGAAGCTTTCATCCTGATGTAGTAGTTCTGCTGGATTGTTCGTAATTCGAGTAGTTCGTCGTCATTAAAGTTAATAAGTTCGTTGACAAGCTTTTCGCATGATTTTTTGATTGATTCTATATCTGCTTCGACATTAGCAATCTCTTGATTGATGCTTTCAATGTTGTTGAACTCTCCTAAGGACTTGAGTTTGGATAAATTTATGGATTTCCTCTTTTCAAGGGCAGAAAACTCTTCTCTCAAGGCATCAACCTGTGAAGCAAGAGGCCCATGACTTAATATCTCATTCTCCATATCTTGGGCTATCTTTTTGTAGCTAAAGAAGTCAAGTTCGAACTTATTTTGGAGTAAAGCCATTTTTAAGCAGGTTTCTTGAGCTATTTCGTTCTTCAAGTTAGCTAGGGTCATTTCCTGGTCAACAAAGATCTTCCATAACCTTTCTATAAGGTCAGAATTTGTTGTTGTCTTTTCTTGTTCCATTTGAAAAGATAAAATTTTCTAATTAGCACATCATATAAAAGTGACACCAGTGAACCTTCGTTATAAATGTCACTTTTTGGGTCCAAAATTTTTTCTTTTTTAGATGATCGGATGGTTCTGTTTTTTTCCAATTTTTACATTGCAGTATTCAATTAAGCTGCGCGCTGTAATAGACAAGAACCATCCATCATCTGTAATGTCTCAAATTGTTCATATTCAGATTCCAGAAATAAAACCTAAAAAAATTCTGGAAATATCAATGAGACCTGCTCAGAACAAGGATGTTACGTTCTTTGTTGACCAATCTCGAGGTCTAAAACTACAATATTCAGAAGAATTATTTCATCGAGTAGAAAAATTCTTTATTAAAACAGATACAATACCAAAACCAAGACAACTCGACGTAACCTTCAAAATGGTTAGTGAGTTTAAAGAAAATGACGAGGTTATTGTCGATATTAATTATACTCTCAATTTACAGATTAGAATACTCTTTATTATCTCCGTTTTCTCATTGGCGATTCTTACATATGATAATTTCTCAAGAATTAGTTTATTCGCAATATTTTTCACGTTATTTTGCCAAATTTACGGACTTTATGATGCTGCTGTATATTGTACCGTCATTCTGCACTATTACATTAACTGCAAACGAATGGACTTTCGGAAAATTTTAATTTTTACAATATTTTATTCAATTTCCGCAATATTTTCGCTAAATGGCATTGTCAGCTTCATATTCCTGAACTTAGTAGTCGTCAAAGATAACCAAACTCAATCTCTTACGCTTCCTTATCTTTTTGACATATTAAGACTTTTAATTTCAGATGACAGAAGCTATTCTTTGTCGATATTCAAGTTGTTTCTCATTGCCATTTACGTTTACACTAATGTTGTATCAAAAATTGCAGATACTCCACCAAAAACATTTACAACTGTTATTTTCGTGTTTTACTTATTGTATTTACTCAGTTTATTGACCAACAGCTTTGATGACAACGAAATAACAGCTTACTGTTCAATGGAACCTTTCATTATGACAACTCCCTTTATTAATTACACTTCCAAATGGTTAGTAGATCTGGAAGAGAAGTTAAAGAAGCCAGTGAACTACTCTGAATGTGATTTTTGTAATTTCACCGCTGCAAAAGGTAGATATAAATCGAATTCAAATGTAAATGACACTTTAGTGGTTACTGGCTTTGGTAAACGTGATACAGAGATAGAATACTTTGTAAGGACATTCAGAACATCCCATTCCAAAGCAAGAATCATTCTTTTTACGAATAGTGAAGAACATTCAGAAAGATTATCCAAAATTTTGAAAGGATGCAACGTAATTGTAATAGATATACCTGATTTCAAGAATTTCCACTTCCTTCTCAAGCGAAAAACCAGATTCCCATTGATGTTCGACATGTTGAACACTATGCCGCAATATTTTAACAGAGTTATGTATTGTGATCTTTACGACACATTTTTCCAAGGCGATCCATTCACAGAAGAGATATCTAATACGAGCATCACGACTGCCAGTGAGATTGACTCTCATCTGAACAGATGGTCGTATGTAAGAGCAAGGAAAATAGCTGGTTGGAAATGGACGAAATACGTTCATGAACATAATATTAACTCTGGATTTATTTGTGCAAGTGCACAACACATGAAACTGATTTGTGAATTAGAAATATCTGTTTATGGACCTGATTTCAATGTCAGATCTTCTGATCAAATGATTTTGAATTTCTTGATTTATACTGGACAGTTCAGATACTTCGGTGTCGATGTAATTTACAACGATTCCCCTGTATCTCACTATCCTTCTATCGCAGGTGATGTTTCTGGATATGATACATCTGTACTAGGAAATATTTACCACAAACAAACTGGTGTAAAACCTCTTTTGGTCCACCAATATAATAGAAACTGGAAATACACGAAAACTCTCAACAAATACTGCCCTGGATCAGAATACAAGTTTACTTTGAAGTTATAAGAACCATATGTTATTTTTCATGTTAATTTCCATGTTTTTTCAAAATTATATTTTATACATTTTTGTGTAATTTATTTTTTATAAAGCTATACATAATAAATCGAATTGTTTTTAGTAACATTTGATAAATAATACTATTAATTGTATCAACTTCAAAATTCAACTTATTATAAGAAAAATCATCTATATTTTAACTAAATTAATAGAATTTATAGTAATAACAGAAATTTTCAGGCATGAATGAAAGGTATGTATTCATTCAATTACGAAATAAAGATATCCAAAATGTTTATGGTATGCATAAGATATGTGAATCCACCAAAATCGTGACTTTCGTTTGGGTTTTATGGTAAAACATCGCGTACTAGGCTGGAAAAATGGTAATAAAGTTTTTCGTTTATCTCAGCCGACAACTTAAGGAAATCTTGGATAAAGTAAGAAGAAATGGGAGAGATGATGATAAAGTAATTATAGACGAGACAAAAAGGATTGATTCTTATTTTTGCCGATGAGATAATAAATGAAATTGAATGGAGGATTTCGGTTTTGACGCATCGGAGAAATTTCATAAAAAATTATGCAAAATGAAAGCATGGATAGCGAAGATCGATTTTATGCACAAGAGGGTGATCTTATAGGTACAAACTATCGAGTTATCGGAATGGTTGGCGAAGGCACTTTCTCCAACGTTTATAAATGCGTTAATATTCAAACACAAGCAACAGTCGTAATAAAGATATGTCGATCAAGCAAAGCTTTTGACGAAGCTGCCGATAACGAAATAGATTTCATGCATTTCCTCCGACGCATTGATCCATTTGGGACGTATTTTGTAAAATTTATTGAATCTTTTCAATTCCAGCATCATGAATGTATTGTGCTCGAAAAGCTTGGATTATCATTATACGAAAATTTAAGATATCTAAAATATAAACCTTTTAATACAAATATAGTTCGACAATTAATGAGACAAATTATTGGAGCTGTGGATCTCCTTCATAGAAATGAGAAAATACATACCGATTTAAAGCTTGAAAATATTCTCCTTACTGGAAATCTAATTGACCGAGATGGGATTGACATTAAGACTAATAGGAACGGGGCTTATGTTAAATTAGTTGATTTTGGCTCAATAGATACAGGAAAAGTCTGGCATACTCATCTAGCGACTACGAGGCATTATCGAGCTCCAGAGATCCTCCTCGGACTCAAATGGGGTTACGAGGCTGATATCTGGAGCCTTGGATGCATTCTCGTTGAGCTTGCGATCGGAAATATTCCGTTTGATAGCAGAGATACTCTTGAACACCTTTTTTTGATACAATACGTCATCGGAAAGATTCCGTATGATATGTGGGATAGATGTACAGATAGAGAGATTGTAAGTAGAGTAAGATATGGAAAATTAAGCAGTGACGTTGTTTTTGAAGAGAATAGACAGGCGTTTTTAGCTAAGCCGCCCCTTCGTGAGATTCTTGGTTATAATCACGACATCGCGGACTTGGCCTGTTACATTTTGAGACCAGATCCAAGAAATCGACCAAAAGCATCTGAAATTTTACGTCACCCGTTTTTCCGTAACTGATATTTCAGTATTTTATTTCATTTTGTTTGTTTTTGATTTCAGTTTATTGAAATCTAGCAAAAAATTGTTCTTATTTTGACCGAAAATGCTTGTCAAGCATATTCAAAATCATTTTATAATGATTGGTTTATGATGTATCTCTCAAAATCATATCAAAAATAATTCAATTATTTTGTTTGTTTCCAGGTTATAATAATTTGAATAACAAATTGCATTTATAGTACATTAATATTGTTGTTACCCTGAGAGTTGGATAATAGTAAAATTAATTTCCTAATGTAATGCATTTATCTTTTAGAAACAAGGGAAGCAGATGACACAACAAAGCCTTGTAAATGAAAGAGATCTGTAGTTTTAATTCCTTTTTCGCGATAAACAAAATATTCACCTAATGGGCAGAGCTTTGTTGAAAGAAGATGAAGCTCATGTGAAACTTCTATGTTTGGCCCAATTGTAACATTTTGAGATGGATGATGTAATGCTTCATTAGTATAAATATATGAATTATATACTGAAAATGAACCTCTATTGATAATTTCGAACAAATTTTGGCCATTTTGTTTGTTATTTGCAATGAAACTGTTTTCTATAGTTGCATCACATTTATAACATAAAAGCACTCCATAATTGCTACTAAAAGGATAAACCGTGTTGTTAATGATAATATTGCTGTCATATTTTATTAGTTTTTCCGAAGTCGCGCATATTGTGTGGTTGGCATAATTTTCATCAATAATTGAATATTTTATTAAAGAATTTCCATATCCAACTCCAATTTCAAAAGATCCATTACTTTCGCAATAGTTTCTTGTGATGTTGTTTTGAATAAATGAAATATTTCCATAATGTAAAATCATGGTTGTTGTGGTGGATCCACTTAAATCTCCTCGATTACTATATGTTATCGATGAATCATGGGCTTCATTGACTTCGTGGAAATATTGTACTTCAATATAACAAAATGCTCCAAGTTGTGATTTAGATCCAAAACTGCAAACTTTTCGAATTGAACTTTGACCATTTTTGATGTAAATAGATCCTCCATTGTCATTCCTTGATGAGTTTTCGAATGTACTTGTGGAAATAAGTGACTTAACATCTTCTGAATCAAGAATAATGACTCCATCCTCACCAAGATTAGAAAAATAAATATTATAGACGTAAAAGTCGCTTGTATTTCCTACATATGTCCTATTTTCATTGTAGATACTATTTGTATATGCAGATTTGTAGACTTCTTCCCATTCATCGGTGGATAACTGGAGCAATTTTTATATACCTATTTGTTCTCGTTATTCGAATTTGAATTATTCTATCAGCATGTTTTGATATGACGTAAAGCCAAATTGAATTATTTTAATAATTAAATTCCTAAGTTAATTTTAATATGACGACTACAATTTACAATTTTAAGGTTAATTTTCAATGGCGCTTCATAATATTGATCAGAAAATTGAATGTGTGTCAAAATTAAGTAAATGCATTCTTATTTTATTGTTTCGAAAAATATAAAATAAAATGAATCAATATTTAAAATACAAACAAACAAAAATAATAAAAAAAATATTAACGAATTGTAGCAATAGCTTTGTCTTCAAGTTCTTCGATTTTCTCAAGTGAATCAGCAAATGTTTTTGCATCAGCAAGAATCTTCTTAGCAACTTCTTCTGTCTCTTCTTGTGTTCGATTTGGTTTATCTTGTGTGTTTTCACTTGAAATGATCATGACAAGTTGATTCAAGCTGAGGCAACTTAAATCTGCAGGAGACATAATTCCTCTGTCTGCAAGAGTTCTTGCGATATCTCGTGGACAACTTGGAATTGTCATCAAACTCAAAATGTCTGTTCTTGCTGCGAAATTAAGCCTCTGTCTAAATTTGTTGAGTGCTGCAGCCAAAACACCATTACCAAGAATCTCACAGAACCTGTTGATTTGGCCTGCGTATGATGCTGATTCCATCTGAACTTTCTGTATTGTTCCAAGATCAACTTTGTACTCATAAGAGATGTCTTTAAGAGGTCGCTCGTTAATAAGATCTTGAAGAATAACAGCAACCATAACTTTGTCAAGGCAATGATCAATTTCATCATTAACACGACCATTTCCTCCATAAATATGTGCGAGATCAGGAAGATGATCAATTTGAACATTACTTAATTGAGTAACTAACTGTATGACATGGAGATGGTTCTCAAAGATCTTTCTCCATTGAGGGGAATCATAACTAATTGGTCTGATTGAACTGGCTGTTTTAGAACTGATACACAAATATAATAAATGAACTTCATCTTCAATACACAAACTTTTTTGTGCGCGATTCAAAATCGAATAAATGTTTAATCCTTCTTCAATACTCAATGAACTTCCTGCAACAGCCATTCCAAACTTTGTTGTTCTATGATTACTATCAATCATGTTATTATTCTGCAATCTGGAATATATCGGTTGACAATAACTTTCTATTGTTTTATTGTCAGAAATCAAATCATTTCTACTACTAAAACTAAATGATTTCTCAATAAATGATCTCACTCCGTCAGGTGGAAGAAGACGAATTGTTAAACATTGGAGGAAGTATCTATCTGCTTCTTCTCCTTCTAATATACTTGATTTCAAGTCAGGAATAATATTCTTTGAAAGTTCTAAGATATTATTCATTTCAACAGGACTTTCTGATCTCGCAATTATAAATGATTCTCCTGCTTGTCCTGATCTTCCTGCTCTTCCAATCATTTGTGTGTATTGAGTAGGCGCAATCAACTTCTTCCTGTTGTCTTGTGTTTGCCTATAAATGTTATGTATAATGACTCTTGTTACACCATGGATATTAACACCTGCTGACAAAGTTGTTGTTGCAACTAAAACATTGATGATTTTGGATCTCGCAGCTTCTTCTATCAGTTTCCTGTCTTCTAAAAGGATACCGCCGTGATGAAACAATACACCATTCTTGATACATGTAACAGTAGTATCATCAATGAATCCGGAATTAGCTGCCATTTTTTTGATCAAATCTAATCTTTTCTTCAAAAGTGAATCTGATGGAGGAGGAACCTTCGGAAGTGGTATTGTATCATCATACATGTGATTGGCAATCAATGAACTGATCTTTATAGTGTCCATTCTTGAATTGACAAAAACAAGAATTGTGGATTGGCACTTTTTGCTTAAAAGTGTCCTAATCAATGGCATTAAATGGTCTTTATCGTCCGGTGAACTTTGTAATTTTGTAAATGGAACAATTTGTCCTGTGGAATTAATGGTACAGAGCCTGCCATCGAGTTTCTTGACCATCTGCTTGATGGGAGCAGGTCTGGATTTCCAAATATAGGCAAAGCCATTGATCCATTTCGCAATTCTATTCGCATCTTCTTCATTTACTGTAGCTGTAAGGGTAACAATGCGAGGTTTTGCTTCTAGAAGATTGAGTTTTATAATGAGAGCTTCGATAGCTGCACCTCTGCTTTCATCTCCGATCATATGAATTTCATCAATAACAACTAGCTTGATTTTGTTAGCATAACCGCATGTAATCGCTGAATTAAGTAAAAAATGTGCTTTCTCAAATGTACATACGGCTATATTGCCTCTTCTAAAATCTGATCCACCGATATTTTGATAAAAAGGGCGGACTTGGAAGTTGAAAAACCTTTGTTCGTATTCTGAGTACTTCTCATTTGCCAAAGCAACGAAAGGCAATGCGTATATGATCTTAGCTGTGGGATCTTTTTCTAAAACTTGTGCCATCGCAAGGTCAGCTGCCACTGTTTTGCCGCCAGATGTTGGAACAAGGACTATTGTATTCATTTGCGCTTGCCAAGAAGGTGTTTTCCAAAGGTTTTCCTGCCAATCTCTTAGTTGAGTAATCTTTGGCTCCGGTTTGCCCGTTAAATAAGCATGCTGCAAGAATGCTGGTATGCCAAGTTCATTCATTTTCGAGTCTGTTTCATAATCTATTTCTGTAATAGATTTTTTGAATAAAGATTTTAGATAATCTTTCTGCTTTTTCGAGAGTTTGCGAGGCTTTTTCTTCGATTCTTTAATACTGATGGCCACTCCCTCAGGACTTATGCTCTCATACAAATCTGGCTCACTCGAATTTGGTGACGCCATCTTTGAGATCCCCGAGGAAGTCGAAAATTGTACTGAAATTTTATAGGATTCTAAAATAAACGGGCACCGCATTCAAAAAATAAAATTATAAATCATCAGAATGATCCTACAATGAAGGCGGTTCTTTTTGTGCAACTAAAATTTGATTTTGATGGATCTATCAGCACAATTGCAATAATTCCAGAAAATTGAATACAAGTGCTATTAAATATCTTGAAATTAGGATATCATTGAGTTGCATATTTGTTTTGTTTATATAATTCAGCATATGGCTGATGGCTTAACAAGTTTTGAATACATCTTTATTAATATGCAATGTTGATCCAATTCTAATATGTATCAAAGCATTCTATTCATTGCAAAGGCTGTTTTTTAGAGATAAATGTGTTTTATCATATAAAACAAATTATTCGTAATATATCTATCAACACACTAAGATGACGGTTAGGATTTTTATCATACGCATTTTCTATGAAAATTTTGTGGATTTCAGCATTCATTTACTCAAAAATTTGTTACATTTATACTTTTCTAGGAAACATCCCGGAATCTGGCAATTTCGTTATGTGCAAACTATCTTCAGCTATTTCTTTGGTGAGCGCATATCACTAAGTACTGCCTAGTTTGACTGCCTTACTTTTATGTTATATTATGATTCATTGATTTTGCCATATTGTGACAGCCAAATCTATCATTATGAAGCAGTGAATAATAGTCAATACATTTCACTCATTATGGCAAAGAAATATAATGGAAGAACTGTGAATGCATTCATTTACAGAATTTGCTTTAGGAAGTTATAAGCATGGTCCATGGCATGGAATGTTATACCGTTATAAATAATAAGTTTACAATAATATAAAAACATACAAATTAATGAGAGATATTGAGTATCTTGACAGGATTTTACATGATTTCACTACTTGTGATGAAAATACATATTGAACATTATTTTCTTTGAAATCAGAATTGTAAAAAGAATTAATATCTTGAACAAAAGTTGGATTTTTCTGGCGATAGCTTCTAAAGATAATAATTTCTTTTACTTTATTTCTAGTATCATATAGAAACGCACCTTGAATTATTGTTACTGAATCTGGAAAGATAATTCTTTCAAGATAAACAAACCGCGTCATTGATGCTGGACCTATAGTTTCTACAGTGTTAGGAACAATATATGATGTTATATTTTTATATCTCGGGAAAGCAACTAATTTTTTCATATCTTTACTAAAGATAACTCCGTCAAGTGAGCAATAATACTTATTTTCATTGTCAACTTCAAACTCTTCAACAGGAGATTGATCAAATGGGCTTCCAATAAATGGCTGTACATTTTTTGGCAAAAATAAGTGTTTCATATAGGATGTAAAAATACAGCCTTCGTCGTATATTGTAGTAAGTGATGTTGGAAGAGAAATATTTATTAAATTCTTAAAATTTAAAAAAGTATTTCCAGTAAGGATTTCAAATCCATTCTCAACAACAATATATTTTACAGAATCTCTAACACAATCTGGCGGAATACTAATAGTTTTGTTGCCAGTGAATTCAATTGTAAGTGTATCTGAAGTAATACTTTAAAATAGTTTCATTAAAAAAAAAAGACACTTTTTATCCAAATAAATTTAAATTTTGACGATTAGCTTGAAGTGTCAATGAAAATTATCCTTAAAAATCTGAATTGATGGTCATATCATAGGAACGAAAGTGCACTCTTAAACAGGGTTGAGTCGATATGTGCATTTAAAAAAAATCGATCTCTAGTATTTTCCCCGTTAAATGGGGTAAATATAAGAAAAAAAAAAGATATGAACCAATGTACCAATAAAGGAAAAGTGTATCATCTTTTATTGATCCTAAACAACATGATTAAATGATCTCGTTATGCATTATTTCTATGGGCAAACATTGCGAAGAAATAGGAACCGACTCAGAACGAATTTTCTTAGATATTATATATGATTTTTGCTATTAACACTTCTATTTAAACAAATAATTGAGATCGTTTCAAATAAGCTGCTTACATGATGTTTAGTCCTATTTAAATTTTACTCCTTTAAAATGTTTAGAAGATCGCTATTCTTGTATTTTTCTGCTATGGATTGCGCAGTTTCTCCAAATTTAGTTTGAATTGATTTATCGCAGTGATTTTCAACAAGAAGAGCGCAAATATCAATAAATTTCTTCTTAGTAGCAATGATCAATCCAGATTGGTTATTTTTATTAACAGCATTGAGATCGCATCCTTTTTTGATGAGTAATTTTACAATATTTATATCTCCTCTGATACAAGAAGCAATAAATGGAGTAGTTCCATCTTTATCACGAGTTTCCAAGTTTATTTTATTATTCCTATCTTGAAGCAAGCAACAAACGTATTCAAATGGAGCTGAACTAACAACATAATTCAAAAATGGAGTTGTTTTTGAAACGAAGAAATCAATCTTTGCATGATGATCAAGTAATAACTTAAAGAATTCAAAGTGATTGAACTTCAATGCAGCGCAAATTACTGGTTGTCCATTAGCAATTGTATTAACATCTGTACCTTGATCAATAAGGAAACAAGCCATTTCATAGCTTCTGCAACTGATACAATCAAAAAGATATTTATCTTCAAATTTATGACCATTTTCGACAAGAATTTTTGCAATTTCAACAGAATTCGATTGACAGCAGAGTTGGAATGCATCTTCTGGAATAATTCCATTATCTATCAATAGCTTTGCCATGTTAATTTCATGGCGGAAGAACAACATTGGAGCATTAATTGTTTTAATACTTTGTGTTAATTTCTTGTCAATTAAATATGAAACAAAAGGAGATAAGAATGTATTAACAGCTAAATCAAAGCAACTCATGCTATTAGGATTCTCGGAAACAAAATTACTGAAACAAATTTGATAATCATAATTCAAATTGTATTTTGTCATTAAGTAAACAACAAGATCATTGTGATGATATTTTACAGCATTGTCAATACATTTTTGTGATATTTTATGTTTTTGTTCTAAGATATTTATAATTTCTAAATTATTTCCACAAAATGCTTTATGAAGCGTCTTTTCTGTTGAATTCGCTCCAATTGAATATAAATACTTGAATATTTTATCCGAGCCGCATTTGGCTGCGAAATCAAGAAGAATATCAATTACAGTGAAACGGCTATCATTTGGAGCACAATTTTCAAGGTCATCAATAAGCTTATCGAGATCATCATTGAATATGCTTCTAAAATATCCGTTACTATAAATTTGCAAGATTTCTTCATTCGACCATCCATTATATTCGATTGGAGGTGCCCAACCTGGCAAAAGGCCTTTATCTACTAATAATGCAGTGAATATGCGTGTTCTGAATTTAATGTGCTTTGTGATATTTGCAAATCTTGTCTGAGAAGTTATAAATGCAAAAACTTCTCCATAATATTTGAGATTGTGTGGTCTACGCTCAGAAAATACATCAAGTGCATGAATTGCGTTATTTACGCTTAAAATTTTCTTATCTATTAATTCCATCATAAAACTGCATACATTCTGGATACTTTCCGGTCCAATATGTAATAGCTGTTTACTGAATTCTTCGATTTTTGAAAGGTCATCTGTCAACGGCCTATATAGTTCCTCCATTATTCAATTTCTAATTTTTATAAGTGAATTGACATTATCATTTTATTCTTATAACTGTATATTATCGTTTCAATACAATATATAGATATGAATGGTTATCTTTTTTGATCGATTAACTCAGAATTCCACGAAAAAGCTAATAATATATTATGGTGCATTAAATTATAAAGAACGCTTAAAGATGATGAGTAATTCATTCTAAAATGCGAGTTATGCTATAATTTTTCAAAATTTCAGATGCAAAATTTTGTCAAATCACGATTATATTCTTTTGATTCAAATGCTCGTTTTTGATAGTTTCGATTAATTTCGAATAAGGCTCTTAAAGTTTGAACGGATGCCACTTTTTATCAAATTTTACTTCTAAATGGATGGCACTTTTGAGTGATGGATCAGAAGACGTTCATTTAGCAGAAAACCCTGAAGAAACATGCTCTGTCAAGGATATCCCTATCACAACTTCAGAGATGGATCAGCAAATGAAGATATGTTTCGAACAAATTCAAAAAATTCGTTCGAAAACAGGTGTTCTACAACGATTTTCAATACTGTGTCAGATATATCCTAAACTAGCAAACGGTAAGAATCAGAATTACGAGTTCAATTACCTTCTACAACAAAATCCAGATTTATCATCAGATTGTATTTTGCCACAGCATGTTCAATTCATCTCCAAATTATACGAGTTTATTACTTATTCGCCAGATGACCTAACTAAGATAGTTATTAATGCCAATAACATTTTTTCAAAGGAAGATTTTGTTATTTTTACTTGGTCAGTTCTTCCATCGTTATTTGGCTATTTTACATTTGCTGAGCATTGCTACCTTGCATATCAGTTCTTTACAGTCTTCACTACGTCAACACATTCAAAACTTTTATCTCGAGAGATTTTAACACCATTTTTCAGGTGTCCAGCCACTTATCTCTTTCATGAGAGTATATTCCGTGACGTGATTGCCTTTTTTTGCAACGATGCAAGACTTTCAGCCCGAAATTTTTCGAAATACGAACAAGAATACGCTCAGCTGTTCTTTAACAGTTTTATCAATCATATGAGCAAACTACCTGTTTCGCACTTCAATCTTATCCGGTTTATGCGTAAAATAAACTGGAGTTCGAAAGAAATCAGACAATTTTTGATTGAAGACTGCTGTATTCCCATGATCAGCACGCTACTCAAAGCATCTCCATTCTCATACACGCTGCCAATGTTTGAGGCCTTTGTGAAGCTTATTCCGCCCGATTTCGACCAAAAACTCGATTTAAACATTTTCAAAGTACAATCAGTTTACGAAATACCGAGTGGATTCTTCGGATTCAACCATTCTTACATAGAATTCATTGCTTCACCAAATGACGCAACTATGCTCGTTAAAGCATCAAATGTCATAAAATTGCCAAAATTAATTTCGATGATTATGTCTCCTAAGTACACAGAAAGCACATTGACGGTGCCTATATGGTTCAAGATATTCCCAAAGCGAATATTCCAAGTAGATTCTCGAAATTTGAGAAATGTCATTTTCCCATCTTCGGAACTAGTAGAAACTAAGGTCCAGAATATACCAATTTTCGATCGCTGGTGGAGAAGATTGGAGTCTGAAGCCTCAGATAGTAATACAAGCGTTCTAAAATTATTATATGAAAATCCTTACAAAAACTACTTGAAAGAAGAAGATTCCGGTATGAAATTCGAGGACTACATACAGATTCACGAGCTAAACTCCATGAAAGCCCGCGCAATTAGGTTCGAACAGTTTCTTGCTTTGGAATTATCCCTGAAGTCCGTAAAGAAGTACAACCACCAGGTCAAGGACTTCTCCAACTGCGAGATCTTTATGATCTCCAGGAATATATTTACAGATCTCTTCAATTCTATCAAAAAACCAAAAGTTATCGTTCATTTTAATTACGATAACTTTTTGTCACTTTTTTCTGTTTCGTATCAGTCAGCCCAATTTGCATACGCTCTTAAGTACCAGAACTACATTGAAACCCTCAACAAAAGCTACAGGACAAGAGCTAGTAATATCGAGAAAATGTGGCTGAAAATGCTTGAAAGCGTCGAATACAACAAACTTCCAAAATGCTTGCAAGTTACGCCTCAAACAAAAGCTCTTATCATCAACAAAGCTTATATATCAGCTTCTTCCTCATTAAATGTGATATCTCAAATTCCATTTTCGATGCAGTTCTTCGTAATCATCGAATGCCTTAAGCATTTGGAAATTGTATCTGGTAACGATGATAAAAACTTCGTAGAACTCGTTATTCACGCAATCAGATCTTGTATTTCCCCAGGAATCATTGTTTCCCTACTTTTCTTGAGCGGTGCATTGATGAATCGCCAGGATTTCCTCGCTGTTACGCCTAAATACGAGTTGACTTTGTGGTATACTTTAATGGAAGGTCTCCACAACTTTATTGGCAGTAATAGCGAGCTAGAAAGAAGCTTTTACCAGCTGCATGATGATGTCAATATGCTTTTTTCAGATCTGTGAATAAATCTATTTTATATTATGTTTGTTCTGAAAAAAAATGATATATTTTTATTTACATGTTATACAAAAGAACCAAAAATTCATAAATTCCAAGTTCCTTTTGGAAATGTTCATATATCATTAGCCCTTGTTTATAAAATCCAACTTATAAATATTACAGATCTTTCAGTCTCGAATACTTATTGAAGAACTCATGAAGTTTCTCTTCTGAAACCTCTTCGCCTTGGCGCTTTGCTAGATCAGGAGGTAAATTATAGAGATGATCCTCAGCTTTAGCATGTTTGTATACTTCTTCTCTGGTTTCAAAGCCTTCACCGCAATAATAACAGAAGCACTTACCACAAATGCAGGTAATAGCATTTGTTCCACCATTCTTGGTTATTGGTACACCACAATATGGGCATTTGCGTTCATACAATGATTCACTCATTGATCAAAAATGATTTTATTATCGAAAATTTTCCAATTTCTATATTTTTTAATTGTATCAAAATTCCACCGATTCAAATTTTGATTGAATTGGAATTTTTCTTGGAATTCCTGTTGTATGGTGGGTAAGTTATTAAGGGTGCGCCCGGGAGGATCATGTAAACTTCAGAATTTAGAACCTTAATTTTTAAGCAATAACTTGGTACCTAAATAGGTAGGAAAACTCTAAAAATATCAAAAAATACAACTTGGCTCCATAATAATCCTGTCATGGTGGCTGTTTGTATCCCCTAGTATTTTCCTCTTGAATCTCTTTTTCTGTCGAAATTAAATTCAAATCTCAGAAGTAGAAGTGAATAATCGACTTATTACTGCTATTATACGAATAAATAAATTCATTATATTATTTTTATTTACATAATATCTGTTTGAAGTCCATAATTCTATAAATTTTTCTTCAAAAACATTACAATCTTGATAGTTTTGATACTGTTTAATAGGTTTTTGGCACCTTATTTAGTATTTACTACGTATAGAGTCGATCTGAACTTAATTTTCGGAAATTTAAAATATTTATTATAAGTAAAATCTGATTTGAAATTTATGTTTAACTACTCATATCTTGCATTATCCTGAGTAGCTTTTGTAAAAATTCATCAAAAAAATTTTAACGTGCTTTAATTTTTATTTTTTAAAATAATGCATATTATTATATAACTAGCATATTTACAAATTTTAGTGCTTTCAAAAATTTAATCCTCCTCCTCTCAAATAAACGTACATCCGGGTGGCCTGTTTTTTGCAAAAAATAAAATTTCATTTTTTATGCTTAAAAAGTCAGAATTTTTATTTGCTTCTGGGATATATGATGGCTATATCAGATGCCCATTCTTTTTGATACTCAACATTAAACATAAAACTTAGCCGTTAAGGCTCTTCTGAAAATATTTTTTTTCCGAAAAATTTTCGAAAAAAATCAAAAAATTTAAAAATCCCCGAATCTGCAGGGATTTTAAAAAATTCTTTTTAGTAAAACTTAAGGATATTGTATCAGATATATTGGTATGGGCAAATTCAATTTTAATCCAATATTCATCGAGATATTAAGTTAACGAAGCTTTCAAAATTGAGAGGGTAATCCTCCTCCTCTCAAATAAACGTACATGCGGGTGCACCCTTAATTAATAGTATGCAAAAAGGGGGAAACTCATTTTTTAGACCAAAAAAGTGGCACCTGAGTATATTGTTTCTGCTTTATCTGATCATTGAAACGGAATTGATCCACGTTATTAGTATGAAACAATGATATAGTAGGGACTAAAGAATATTAATATTACAAAAACCCAATTATTCGATGTTCAACTCATCATATCTTGCATTAAAGTTGATACCTTTATTTTTTCGAAATATTACAACAATAGCAACCTTACGTATTACCAATGATAGCCAGAGTACTATTTTGGCATAAAAAAATTAAAACGATATTAAGACAACAGATTGACTAGTCATTCTGGTATAGTATCATGCATACTACCAGGTGATAAAATCTCAAATATCTTATCTTAACTTCCGTTTGATTATGAGATACAGATCTAATGTTGCTTGTTTTGTAGCCATAGTCACTAGCTGATAACATTATTATGATAGGAAGACTAAATGTGCGAGTTTAATATACATTTGATTCAGATTTATTATCGAAAATCAAATCACAATATATATCTTGAACTCATCTGTTAATAAAATCATGATATTATTGATTGTTTTCTGGATGTTTACAATATTTTCTAAACATGTGAAGATAATCCTTAATTTGAACCAGAAATAATTTTAAATTGCTAACAATGGATGGTTATCTATATAGAATAATATATTATTTTTGATAGTAAACTATGACTGATTTATAATTTAGGAATATATACTTCTTTTCAATATATTTGAAAAATAGTTATATGATTTTGCTGTATAAGTGATATATTTTAGTAGAAATATTATAGAATAACAAAAATAAAAAGGTTTCCTCGATTTATAACACAATGAAAATGGTTTATTTCTCTCTAAATTATAAATTTTCAAAAAAATTAACCTCATTTTTCCAAAAAAAATCGAGAATTGAAAAAAACGTTATCATTTTCTAGAAAATTGCAAAGGCTTTTTCTAAAATGGAAAAAATTTGGAGAAACTCACCAAGGAGAACTTCATTCTAGGTGTCAAAAGCAATTGCTATCAGTCAAAAAAACCTCGAAAATTTTAAATATTGATATCGATTTTCATCAATTACTTAAAATCTATTGTTTGCAGTCGATGTTATCATATATTATTAAATTCTAATATACTTGAACATACTACAAATCGTTTTTGAAGCTTATCAACATTTCGCGCAATTTAACAATACTGCAACTCTCATACACAGTTCCCATTACCACAGTCTCATTTTAAGAAGAAATGATTAATAAAATCTAAGATCTAACGATTTAATTACCCAATTCGAATAATTTTTTTAATTATAAATACTTATTTGTGCATGTTTTATATTCAGATGTAGAAAGAAAAACGAATAAAGTGTTACTTCAGAAAAATACCTGAAAGCACCCTAATCAATAAACAATTTACTTTTTTAGCATCGAATTTTGCTCGTCTTGAGCCATATTTTTCGTTTAATTTTCATAATACGATAATACATATGGGTTATCAAGTAAAATATGGATATTTTAGAAGATGATAATATATCTCGAAATCAAACGAAAGTCATTCTATGAGTCCATACACACTATTACTATACTTCATATGTCAAGCATAATGGGAACAATTTTGGTCGATACCTTTGTTGTCGACGAAGTTTCCCCCCTTTTGTATGCAAAATGAAACTGAAAAACTAGAAGAGGAATCAGATATTAAATTGTTGCTGTACCAATTTTTACTCACCTTCAAAGAATCTTTTATAATTTTTCAATCAACTGCGATTGATTTATCAATTTGCTACTCAAATTTTGTGAAGTATTCAAAATAAAAATGAAAAATTTTATTGAAAAAGTGAACAAAGAATGACAACCTTTTTTACACTTTTTGAATTGAAAATTTTTTCATGTAAAAAAGGTGGTAAATTTTTTTCATGTCTGATGAAGACATTGACCTAAATAAATTCAATGAATTGCAAAGTATCTACAAATACTGCATAGATTTGTATACTGCATTGTATCAGCTAAAAACTGAAAAAGAAGAAGAATTAAACTCAATTTACAAAAATATCAGAGTAGTATTGATTGATTCAAATAAAAATTCTCCACAAAATATACTCAAAGATATTTTAGATATCATTCCGTATAATAATCGCTATACAAAGTCATATTTATATCTTGCCAAACTCATATCTGATGAATATCAAGTCAAAGAGATCAGCAATGTTATATCTATCTAAAACTTCCTGTTTTACAAAGAATATGGAATTAAATTAAACAAATCTGATAACTTCGAAAAAGATCTTAAAAATCTCGATATTCATATAGAAAATACAATTTACAGAGCAATTATGTATAATGACTTAGAAAGATTTATTGCATTCACTGAAATAGATGGATTTAATCAATATCGAATACTTACAAGCAATTTATATCTAGATTCTGATGAAAGTTATTTATTACTTGAATTATGTTGTTATCATGGAGCAGTTGATTGTTTCAAGTTTTTAAGAACGAAATTTAACTCAGCAATAACTCAAAAATGTCTAGAATTTTCATTTTTAGGAGGAAATCCAGAGATAATGAGTGAATGTTTGAAATATCAAAAACCAAATAAAGATTGCATGAAATATGCAATTATTTCACATAACATTGATTTTGTTACTTTCTTGATGAATGAATACAATATAGAGATCAAATTAGATTATTGTAGAAAGTATTATAATCTTGAATCCTTATTAGTTTATTTCGATCAAACTAATGATATTAGCAAATTCTTTGTTTATTCATTGATGTTTAATATTTCATCCATTTTCAAATATTTCTTTTCACATGGTGCAAATATCAATGAAAAAGATGAGGATGGAAATACAGCTCTTCATATTGCTGCAGGTTTTAATTGGAAAGAATTAGCTGAACTTCTTATTTCACATGGTGCAAATATCAATGAAAAAACTAATGATGGAGAAACCGCTCTGCATCATGCAGCACGTAATAATAGTAAAGATACAGCTGAACTTCTTATTTCACATGGTGCAAATACTAATGAAAAAAATAAATATGGACTAACTGCCCTTCATATTGCAACAGTTTATAATAGTAAAGAAACAGCCGAACTTCTTATTTCACATGGTGCAAATATCAATGAAAAAAACTGTGACGGAGAAACTGCTCTTCATATTGCAGCACATTTTAATTGGAAAGAAATAGCTGAACTTCTTATTTCACATGGTGCAAATAACAATGAAAAAAATAATTATCTAAATACCGCTCTCCATATTACAATAATTTATAAAAGTAAAGAAACAGCCGAACTTCTTATTTCACATGGTGCAAATAACAATGAAAAAAATAAATATGGACTAACTGCCCTTCATATTGCAACAGTTTATAATAGTAAAGAAACAGCCGAACTTCTTATTTCACATGGTGCAAATATCAATGAAAAAAACTGTGACGGAGAAACTGCTCTTCATATTGCAGCACATTTTAATTGGAAAGAAATAGCTGAACTTCTTATTTCACATGGTGCAAATAACAATGAAAAAAATAATTATCTAAATACCGCTCTCCATATTACAATAATTTATAAAAGTAAAGAAACAGCCGAACTTCTTATTTCACATGGTGCAAATAACAATGAAAAAAATAAATATGGACTAACTGCCCTTCATATTTTACCACTTCATCATCTTTATTTCATGGAATGATTCTCAACATCAGTGTTGTTTTAATGTTGCAATTAAAAAAAATTTTTATTATTATTGATTGATTAATACCATCAGATTCGTATGTAAAAGCATTGACTTACTCATGATTTTTGATGAAGCAAATTCTATCAAGAAAAGTGACATAATGAAAAATCATGCTCCCTCAAGAACAAATTGAAAAAAAGCAAGACGAGCCAAAAACAGATCAAAACGATAAAAAAGAAGAAAACAATCAACCAGCTCAAGTAGTTGAGCATAAAAACGCCCAATTATCAATTGTTGTCAAAAATCTTCCAGAAGGAACAACTTCTCAGCAAATTTCTGAGTTTTGTAAGAGAGTAGGAGTTCTTGCAACACATCCAGAAACTGGTGAAGATTTAATTTTATTAAATCCTCGCGCTCATAAGGCCACCGTTACATATGCATACCCAGAAGCAACAAATCATGCGATAGAAATTCTAGATGGTGAGCAATTTCTTGTTACCGGTGAAAAAGTACAAGTAGAAAGAGCAGTTCGAGAGCCATACGACTTTTCCAAATGGAAAGGCGCAATGAAATTATCGAGAAAGTTTCATAGTTACTTTGGTGGTGAAGAAAAACTAGATCCATCAGAGCAGAAAAGAGTTAAAATTATGATTATGAAAAACGTTTTCGATATGGATGAATTAATCAAAGAACCCGAGTTATACGGCAAAATTATAAAAGATTTGACAACTCAATGTGAACCATTCGGAAAAGTTACCCTTGTAAAGCCAATCGAGAAGAATCCTGAAGGAATAGTCATAGTAAGATTTGACCAAGCTCAATCGGCATCAAAGGCAATCGGAGATCTCGATCAATGCGAATACAGAAATAGAATTATCACTGTAGAGCCATGGGATGGAAAAGAAATACCAACTATCGAAGAAACTGAAGAACAACTTCAAGCACGAATCGATAATTTCCACAAATTCCAAGAAAGCGGAGAAAACAAATAATTTCTTTTCTATCGATTTAATTTCGGATCGTTTAAAGACTCCCATACACTATTTTGCGTATTTTGATTCCGATACTATTACAGTTTTTAATCTAAGCCAAAAATGAAATTTTTCATTTGATTTTTGGTTTTGATTGTAGCGATTACTTGTCAGTAGCCGTAATATACTTTATTCAGTCCAGCCCTTTTGTTAATTTCCATAATATCCTTAAAGATAAAAATTATGACCTAATGCCAGACAAAAACTGGTATTTTACAAGATTTGTTTATTGCTAAACATGTTTTATATCGTACTTATGCACCACGCTTGCTGTTTTTAAATTTTATCATTTGAATAATGTCATTGGAAAATAATCTAAATATGATAGAAACATTTTATAAAGACAAAATTCATTCATTGATAGAATGCCGAGCATATATGATGTTCGCGATCTACACAAAACATAAATGAATCTTAGCAATTTAAAGGTGACCAAACTATTTTTTGAAAGTCCGCCATAACTTTAATGGTACTATTTCAGCGTGTACAATGAATACAAAAATTCTAAGAGTGCCACATAAAATAGTACTTTAGACTTGAGTTAATGCTACCAAGCAAATGTTAAAAAGATGACTTTAGTGTTTTGATAATCAAAGATTAAAATCATTATTGTCTAAATCAATAATCATAACGACAGAAGTTAATGTTTTTTCATAAGTGCTTTAAATCCACTTTTAAAAGTATACCTCAAAAATCAAAATATCAAAAAAAAATTGGCCGATAGGTTTGGCTTTAATTTTTGTCTGCTTTTATGATTTGATATGGATGTTATAATTTTAAAAGTTGAGCCAAATTCACCAATAGATTTTTGAGATTTGCAAATACTCAATAATTTTCAGCGTGTTATCTTTTATTAAAAGAACTATTTGGTTTCAGTATCATATAAATTGATATTTACTTTCTATTTGAACCTTCATTTAGCTAATGATTTAATAATACAGATTTCATCTAGTCCTTATAAGAGAATTATGAATTTGTTATAATAAAAAAACAAACAGATATAGCTTACACTTCTATAATAAAGATACCTTTTATAGAAATCAGTATGAAATGTGTTTTGGCTTATTGGAAGCATATCAGACATAATCGCCATAATCAAAAAATCTATATACCCAATAAGTAATAAATTTGTCGATATAGATTTTCCATAAAATTAGTTTTTAGTCTGATCTTAAAATAAATTTAATTTTTTATAAAAAAAATCACATTTAAAAGTACCTTTTTAGTAGCTCGAAATCCTGTTGGTGGATTTCGGGCGTACTTCAAAATTAGCTTTTCTTCTACATATGCAAGCTATATTTTAAATATGGAGCAAATCGGATCGGCGAAAGTAGTTTAGTTACCTTTTAGCAATTTTTTGTTTAGCGATAGTAAAATTTATCGTTCCAGCATATTCCGTATATATTATAAGAACGAATAAAATTTTAGTAAAATTGAGAAGATTCAACATGTTCGGATCAGTTGAATCCCCAATTCAATTTTAAATGGAGAAAAGTAGTTTTTGAAAAGAATCTGTTCAAATTAATTGCATTATTTTTAGCATATTATTTCATTTGAATATAAAAACATTTGAGAGCTTTACAAAAAGTGCTTGATTTAGATTTAAAATGCTAACAACCTTTCTAGGGTTTCGATTTAATTTTTTCCATAGTAGTCCTCCAAATTATCTAAAGCGCATTGAAGAAATTCATTCTAACATGATTTATCTTCCCATTCCAACGCCAGATTTCACAGGACATTATACTAACATAAAATTTAGAGATTTTTACGAGCAAAATCAAAGTTCACAGGTAGGTTACAGTGCTGGAGAAAATCCTTCATTTGTCTACCCAGTAGCATACGGCATCATTACTTATATTTTTGTTTGTCTTATTCACGGTAAATCCGACGCAAGCATTGTCGAAAATTCTGCAGAAGAAGATTCGAGTCAAGTTAATGCTCATTCCTTTACTAGTATAAATGAATCTCAATTTGAAATTTTTTCACAGACAAATGATCCGAAAATTAATATGAAAAACCTCAAGGAAACTTGGAGTGATATTATTTCTGATGAGGAAATGCAAGAATATTCATTTTTGAACTCAAAAGATGCAATAGGAAGTATTGGATCTGAGGTTGTGATTAAGGATACAACCAAATGTATACAAGATTGCTCGACAATACAGTCAAAGAGCATTTTTAGCGAAGATAATTGGTATTAATGTAGTAATTGTTGTTTGTCTATATATTTTTTGTAATTTATGGTGCGTAAAATAAATATATTTAAAATTTATGAGGGTTGTAATTATTTTTTAATTAGATTGATAAATTTCGATTAATCCGAAAAATCGGCAAAATTTCAAGTTATTTTTAGAGAAGAATATTATAGTTATTATGATTTCTTCTTGATCTATGTTGTAAACAGAAATTCATCAAAAGTGACACCTCAGAAAAGCTAAAATATTGAATTTTTGGAACTTTTGATAGAGCACGTTTTTAAATATTAATTAAAGTAAATGTATATTTTGTAAAGATTCTTTTTAATAAAAAAATAAAATTTTGAAGAAGAACACAAAATCTTCTGAAAAATAATATCACATAAACTCATATTATTTTCTAATATATAACTATTTTCTAATATATAACTATTTTATATAAAAATCAAATTCAATGATCTTAAAAGCGAATGATAAACCTCAAAATTTACGAATATAATGAGTGGGAATATAATGCTTATCTATCATAAAACCATATGAAATATCAATTTTTGCTTTACGCCTAATTTTTGACGACAATTAGCAAAAAATGTTAAATGTTAACACTCAGTCCATTTGAATATGAAAAATAAAATTGACTTTGATTAAATGTTTTTATTTATCATGCAATTCTTCTTGCGACCAAAGATTTGAATAAAAGTTCAAAAAATAAGATAGCTTAAAAAATAATATACGGTAGGAGTAGGTGCCAAAAGTGCTTACTCTTAAACAACCGTCGGATTTCCGGGTGAAATCGTGACACACTTTCGTCTTTCGTAGGCGGTGGTGGTTGTTACAAAAGGTAACTTCGAATGTAGCGTGAAATCTGCAAAAAAAAATTCTGAAATTTGAATGGAGAACACAAAAATTGAATAGTTTACGTCAATAAAAAAGAGAAAAATGAAGCCAATGTGTCTCGAACCTAGGACTTAGAGCAGCAATCCCGCTGTTTATCCCATTACACTACATGCATCTCTCTCCTCAGTGAATGAGATCAACTATATGATAACTTTTTTCAATTATATTCTTGTGGAAAAGTGGCAAATAGCAACTTTGACCCTCTCTCTATACGGTAGTGTTTACTAATAGATGAATAGTATATAAATTCTATTAAAATGGATTTGATCCAAAAAAATATAAAACCAAAAATAATTGTTATAATTTAAATGAAGAAGTAATTTAAAACGATTTTATTTATGATCAAATTTTATATATTTTTTTGGATCAAATCCATTTTAATAGAATTTATATACTATTCATCTATTAGTAAACACTACCGTATATTATTTTTTAAGCTATCTTATTTTTTGAACTTTTATTCAAATCTTTGGTCGCAAGAAGAATTGCATGATAAATAAAAACATTTAATCAAAGTCAATTTTATTTTTCATATTCAAATGGACTGAGTGTTAACATTTAACATTTTTTGCTAATTGTCGTCAAAAATTAGGCGTAAAGCAAAAATTGATATTTCATATGGTTTTATGATAGATAAGCATTATATTCCCACTCATTATATTCGTAAATTTTGAGGTTTATCATTCGCTTTTAAGATCATTGAATTTGATTTTTATATAAAATAGTTATATATTAGAAAATAGTTATATATTAGAAAATAATATGAGTTTATGTGATATTATTTTTCAGAAGATTTCATTCTATATGCCTATGAAAAGTACTCTCAAAACTAACTTTTTCCTAATTATAATTAAATCTAGAATATTGTATTATGCTTAGTATTATTTCATTTTTCTCATCCAATTTAGAATTTACAAATGTCAAAAAATTGAGAGCTGTCACTTTTGATGAATTTCTGTTTATTACAATCGATTGCATTTAAATGTCATTTAATTTTTGGAAATATTAAGAATATATCATAAAACTATAAAATTAACTTTAAACGAATAGCTTCTGTAGCCTAGTGGTTATAGCGTTCGCCTAGTAAGCGGAAGGTCGTGGGTCCGAATCCCACCAGAAGCAATTCTTTTTTCCTTTTTCATTCATCTATCGGTGCGTCATAAATTCCGAAATACTTTCTCAAAGCAATATCCATGATTGCATAGATATCAGATTACAATAAGACTATTTATATTTCAAATACATTACAACCGTTTGCTATAGTTAAGAAATTTTCTTCATTTATGAAAATGATTTCAGCTCTAATTTTGCCAAGTAACAAACTGATCTAATGTCTTCTCGAAGTGTATTCATTTCACAACAAATTCTTAATAAATGCTTTGCTTTCAATATTTCTTTCGAAAAATCTTTATAATCTCAAAGTATTCTCTAAACCACTTCGATTTAGCTAAAAATATCTCTTATGTTTTACATAATAATCTTTCAAACATAATATTAAATTCTCAAAATCAAATTTATTTGTATAAACTCATATCCTATAGTCAAAATACATCCACCCTACAAATCACTAAACTTTATTTATTTCATTCTAACAAAAAGCTTCATGATATGCTTGTTTTTTTCTTAGAAAATGAAATTTATCTAATAGAATATAAATTGAGTTTATTATAATGAGCATTTTAATCATTCTCTTTCGTAATATTTTACTTCTTAAATTTTTTAATGTCTGATCAAGACAGTAATCCGAACAAATACAGTAAACTGCGAAGTATCTACAAATACTACATTGATTCATACGATGCGTTGTATCAGCTGAAAACGGAAAAAGAAGAAGATTTAAACTCAATTTACAAAATGATCAAAACAGAATTGATTGATTCAAAGAAGCGTCTTCCACAAATTATAATAAAAGATATTTTGAATATCATTCCGTATAATAATCGCTATACAAAGTCATATTTATCTCTCGCCAAACTCATTTCAGATGATTATCAAATAAAAGATGTCCACAATGTTAATCTTGTTTCAAACTTTTTGTTTTACAAAGAATATGGCATTAAATTAGACAAATCTGCTGATTTCGAAAAAATTAAATCAGAAAATCTCGACATTTTTAAAGAAGATACAATTTACAGAGTAATTATGAATAATGAATTAGGAATATTCATTCCATTCACTGAAAGAAAAGGATTTAATGAAAATCAAAGATTTAAAAGTAGTTTATATCCATATTCTTACAGTGCATTTTCATTACTTGAATTATGTTGCTACCATGGAGCAGTTGATTGTTTCAAGTTCTTAAGAACTAAATTTAACTCAGAAATAACAAAAAATGTCTAGCATTTTCATTTTTAGGAGGAAATCCACAGATAATGAGTGAATGTTTGAAACAACAAAACCCAGATCAAGAATGCATGGAATATGCAATTATTTCACATAACATTGATTTTGTAACATTCTTAGTGAATGAGTACAACATAAGTATCAACGTATATTCTTGCAAAAAATATAATAATCTTGATTCATTTTTAGTTTTTTATGATCAAACTAATCTTTTAAACATCTGCTTGAGGGTTTCACCGATGTTTAATATTCCATCCCTTTGCGAATATTTCCTTTCATTAGGTGTAGATGTCAATAAAAAATTTTCAGATGGAGAAACTGCTCTTCATATTGCAGCAGAATATAATAGTAAAGAAGCAGCTGAAATTCTGATTTCATATGGTGCAAATATCAATGAAAAGAATAACCATAAGGAAACAGCCCTTCATATTGCAGCATGGTTTAATAGTAAAGAAACAGCTGAACTTCTTATTTCATATGGTGCAAATATCAAAGAAAAAGATAAATTTGGAGAAACCGCTCTTCATAAAGCAAAAAAATATAATAGTAAAGAAACAGCCGAACTTCTTATTTCGCATGGTATTAAGGGTGCAGCAGTATGTACGTTAATTTGATGGGAGAACTACCCTCTCAATTTTGATGGATTCGTTACTTTAATTTCTCAATGAATATGCAATAAAATTTGATTTTTACCTTGATGAAGGCGGAACATTGAACAAGATTACCGGAAGATTTTCAAATATCAGAACTTTTGCAACTACAAACAGAAGCCCTCCTTATTTCGTTGGAGGTAACGATTTAGGCGATATAGCATTATTTGATTACGTCAAAGGCAAAGTTTTTCAGTTTAACGAGAAGACATTAAGCAAAACTAAGGTATGCGCTGTAGATGCAGATCCTCAAAGTGGCGCTGTTGTCATTATTTGGCGAGAAGTAATTTGAGCGACGTTCGACATCGACGGCCAACTATTACTTATGAATACAAATTCAAGAGCAGTATCGCAATTCGGTGCTTGTCAAATATCTATTAGAATTAAATTGGAATCTGATCGGATTTGAATTGACCGATTTAGAAATAATATTTTGCTAGAAAAGACCAAAAAAAATTCAAGAATTAGGATAATCGAATCTGTTATTCTTGAGAAATAAATTCTTTCTTCTTATTGTCTTTGCTTGAGATGAATAGTATTGGCTATTTAAACTACTGTTTTTGGATGATTTGCACCTAAGTAGAATTCTCAATTAAAAATTAAAAAAAAATATACAAATAATAGTACAAAGATATATCTGAGTGTGTGATAATCAAATGTATTATTAATATGCATTAACAGATTTTCAAATAAGATTTAAATAAGTTTTACAAATACTTGATCAGTCAAAACATAAAAATAACGTAATATTATAGATACAAATTAGCTGTTGTTAACACCTTTCCAGTTGAATGGAAGCCATGAGTCTTCATCAGCTTCTGAAGATGTGTCCAAAAAGTTTTCACTATTTGGAAGCTCGAAGAATCCAATGTGACCAACTACATGGGTTCCATTTATGAGCCCCGCATGAATTCCTTCGGGGAAGTCTGATGTAGTTGTATTTACTATAGCAGAATCAATAATATATTGTGGAGCTGGTTTATAGTCTGTAGCTTTGTACAATATTGATATCGTAAGTCCAAGGAAGCTTGTTGCAGCAACGTCAGTACTATTAACGCTGAAATCAATTGTTTGAGTATTATTTGGCATAATTCGAATTGTATGATTTCCTGTGGAGTCTAATAATGAAATTGTTGCATTTGGATTTGTTCCATTTGGAATATTAAATTCAAAATCTGAATTTACGCCGAATTCAAGTGGAATGGAAACAGAACCAGAGCTAGCATTGATGGTAAACAATTCTCCATCAGCATTGAGAATTGATTGTCCAAAAAGATAGCCTCTATTTGATTTGTCAGCTCCTGTAACAGTTGTAACGTCATCTTCTGTTAAATAACCAAAAGATGTGACGGCTGAACTTGCTTTGCTCTGAACTGTATAATTTAACGCTGTATTTCTGTATTTTGAATATGGTACTGAATAAATGATTCCTCTGTTTGTTAAAGGATTGTTTTCGCGGTATACGCAGAATATTACACGCTTGAGCCAGTCTGAAACTGAGCCAACTGAATCTTTTGAAAAGCTATCACATCTTGTAACGATATCAGCAGTGGGAGCAGAGTAGCATTGTGTATATGTAGATGCATTATAGAATGAAGCGCACTTTGGAGCGCAGCAACAGTCTGGAATGCATGTGTAATTGTTAGTTTGGCAAGGGCAATCTGAAACGTCCCCTTTTTGGAGGGTTGAATAGTTAGAATTTGATTCATATGAGGTAGTTCCATTATTGTCATCGTAAGTAATATAACTTCTAACACGGCGAAGTCCTAATATTGGAATAATCATTTAATTTAATAAAACTAACAGAATTAAAAACTGACAAGAAAAATAATTTTGAAAACTCGTTAGTATTAATTCATCCTCTCTAATGATATCATTAAGATTGTCACAAAGTAGGAAATAAATTTTATCATATGGAATCCTTCCAAGAAGAGTTTACAGTCAATATTTGAATTCATTTAACTCTAAATATTGGAATTGAGATAATTTTTGAGTGTAAATATTCTCAAGTACATTACAGCAATGCCATAATTCAAAGAATAAAAGGAAAATACAAGTCTTACCTGTCCTGCAGAAATTGGATTCAAAATTGAATAGTTTACATTTATAAAGGGAGAAATTATCTTGTAAAAAATGTCCAATACTCTTTGATAACAAAGCCAACCAGTTATAATTAAGAAGTTTATATATAATACTCATTAGAAAAGAAATCAGAAAGTCCAGATCCAAATATTTCGGGCGATTCCTGAATGGATAATTCATATAAAATAATTTGAAAAATTTACATAAAAATTTTAAATCGAAATGACGACCAATAACTTTGACAATGAGATGTATGATATTTTATTCGAAACCTTTGCTGATTACATCTCTGTTGCCACTCAAATTTACAGATTGAACATTTTTACTCCTATTTATCAAGATGATGTTTCGACATTAGCGCAAACAACCATATATATTGTACGAAAGTATCAAATACCATGCATTTCGTTCTTCTTGATGATAGATAAAGCATGTTCCTATAACAGAAAGTACACAAGAGTATATTGGAACTTGTTCACTAAATTAATGGACGAATTTAAGTTCGACAAGTTTGAAAACTTCGACTTCTCACCTTTATTTTCAGCTTTCATCAAATATAAATACAATCAGACAACAGCAAAATTCTCTCACGAAATACAAAACGATGACGAATTTAACAGCTTAATGGAAGTTTTTAAGAGCGATACACTTATGCATGCTATGCTATACGATGATGTAGAAGAGTTTAAGAAGCATGTAGACTTCAATTACCTCGAAAAATTCGATTATGATCTCGAAGATAAGCTAAAATTACCGTGGTTCATACCATACAACTCGAATTCGATCTCAGATTGGGTTTGTCAGTTTGGCGCAAAGAATTGTTTCGACTTTTGCGTTGAAAAAGGATTAACAATTACAAAAGATCATCTTAACTTAGCTTTTCTTGGAGGAAATTGTTTTATCATTGATAAGATAATCGAAAAAATAGGCATTGATAACCTCAAAGACTTTCCAATGACTAATGTTATTATTAATCACGACAATGGCTACAAAATGAAGTTCTGGAGCCCATCAAAAGTCAGTTTCGAAGAGATTTCACAGCATCATGACCTTCTTTTATACATTTACAAGCTTTGTGAAACAAAGAATTTCAATTCTGCTCTTTTATATTGCGTTCCATTTGGTATTTTGCCATTTGTCAATTATCTCCTTGAGAATGGTGCAGATGCAAAGTCAGGTGCAGGTGCAACAGCTCTATATATCTGTTGCAAGGAGAAAAATCCTGAAATTTTGTCACTTTTGGCATCAAGAGGAGCTAATTATGGTGTTGTCACTGTTTGCAACTTGAGTGAAGCCGAGATTGCACGTAAGACGCGTGATATTGACTTCAGACACTTCATGCTTCTTGGTGGTGGTTCTCTTTTAGATTATTGCGCTGTTTTCGATTCTGTCGAAGTTGCTACAATTTTAGCACGAAAACTCGATGTTAATGGAAAGAATTCAAGAAGAAAACAGACAATACACATTGCAGCTATGCACAATTCCGATGGTATTGTCAGACTTCTTCTCCAAAAGAAGGTGAACGTCAATGCTTTGAACAAAGGAAAAAGTACTCCTTTACACGTCGCCGCTCGATATAATTCTGTCGATGTTTGCAAGTTGTTGATTGAGAAAGGTGCAGACACAAAACTCCTAAATGCTAAAGGAATGACAGCTCTCCATAAAACAGTGAAAAATGAAGCAATTGATGTTGCAAATTTGTTATTACAAAAAGGTTTGAACATCAATCAAAAAGATTCAAATAATTTGAATAGTTTACAATTGGCGGTTATTAAGAATCGCGAAAAGATCTGCCAATTGTTTTTATCGAAAGGTGGAGATATAAAGGTCAAAGATGATGAAGGACGTTCGTTATTACATTTAGCCGCAAGGAACGATGCACAGGATGTTGCACTTTTATTAATTGAGAAAGGTCTTGATGTCAATATCAGGGATGCAAAAGGAATGACTCCTTTATTGATATGTGCTGTTTTAGGAAACTCATCAATGGCTAAATTGCTGATCTCGAAAGGTGCTGACGTGAATTTGGCATCGAAGGAAGGATCAACAGCTTTGCATCTTGCCACAAATCATCAGGAATTGGGTGTTTTACAAGCAGTTTTAGAAAAAAACCCAAAGACAAATATTCAGGATTCTAAAGGAAAAACACCACTTGATATTGCAAATGAAAAAGGAAATGAAGAAATAATAAATGCTATCAAAAATTCCGCTGATCCAACTGAAACAAATCCAGATGGAAATGAACTTGAAGATATTTAAAAAGAAAGTTTATACTATTGTGCAAATTTTAATGTAAATATTTTACTTTTTTCTTTATGAGATATTAATTTATGAAGTATGATTATTTATATCACAAGAACGAATTGTATCATAGAGACTAAGCATACGTATAAATCTGTTTTCATAATAATGTTCAATGGCATATGATTGAGATATAATGAATCTAAAGCTATTCAAATAAAATGAATTTTGAGCTTTATATGCAAAATCCAAAATAAATTTTCTTATTAATATGCGGCAAGTCTTTCGTCATCCATGAAAGCAACGTATGATGGAGTTGTTCTGTTACCCATATCATTGGCAAGAATATCAACACGATTGTGAAGGAATTGACTGACACATGAGTATGTTGTACCAAGATCAATACCAAAAGCAGACATTATATAAAAATGAATTGGAATTTCTTTCTATTAACACTTCTCAAATTTTTGACAATTATAAAAATTCAATTTTTATCATTGTAAACATGTTTTATATCAGTAATTACAACATTTTTACTGCTTTTTTTTAATTTGAAATATAAAATAAGATAAACTAATATTTTCTTAAAATAATTAAAAATGTCACTACTGTGTCCGTGGAAAGTTACCATTGGGTCTCGCACGCGTTTGCATAGCGAATAAGAAGTCTGGCTGTCGCTTTACAATTATAATCTGTTGCAAGTTGAAGGGCTGTTTGTTTATATTTATCTTTTTCTTTAATATTTGCACCATGCGAAAGAAGAAGTTCGGCTGTTCTTTCACGGTTATATTCTGCCGCAATGTGGAGAGCTGTTTGTCCAAAATTATCTTTCTCATTGATATTTGCACCATGTGAAAGAAGAAGTTCGGCTGTTCTTTCACAGTTATATTCTGCTGCATAATGAAGAGCTGTTTTTCCAGATTGATCTTTTTCACTGACAGTTGCTCCATGTGAAAGAAGTAACTCGACTATATACTCATTTTTATTTCTTATTACATAATGAAGAGCTGTCATATGATATACATCTTTCCCATTGACAGTTGCACCATGGGAAATAAGAAGTTTAGCTATTTCAATATAATTTTTTTCTGTGGCGATATGAAGAGCTGTTTTCCCAAATCGATCTTTTTCATTGATGTTTACACCATGTGAAAGAAGAAGTTCGGCTGTTCTTTCACAGTTATATTCTGCTGCATAATGAAGAGCTGTTTTTCCAGATTGATCTTTTTCACTGACAGTTGCTCCATGTGAAAGAAGTAACTCGACCATATACTCATTTTTATATGTGGCGATGTGAAGAGCTGTTTGCTCATATTTATATTTTTTGTTGATATTTGAACAATATGGAAGAAAATATTCATAAAGCAAAAGGACATTAAAATTAATTGAATAATAAAAGCAAATATCAGCATCATTAGTTTGATCGAAAACAACAAAAAATGATTCAAGATTTTTATATTTTACGCATGATTCTAAAACAATCTTAAGATTGTATTCATTCATTAAGAATGTAACAAAATCAATGTTATGTGAAATAATTGCATATTTCATGCAATCTTTATTTGGTTTTTGATATTTCAAACATTCACTCATTATCTCTGGATTTCCTCCTAAAAATGAAAATTCTAGACATTTTCGAGTTATTTCTGAGTTAAATTTCGTTCTTAAAAACTTGAAACAATCAACTGCTCCGTAGTAACAACATAATTCAAGAAATGAATATCCTTTTTCAGAATATGGATATAAATGGCTTCTAATTTTTTTAACTTCATAAAATCTTCCACTTTCTGTGAATGAGATGAACCTTTCTAGATCATTATTCATAATTGCTTTGTAAATTGTATTTTCTTTTAGAATTTCGAGATTTTTTTATCCATTTTCTTAAAATCTTGACTTTTGCATAATTTAATTCCGTAGTCGTTATAAAACATGAAATTAGATATGTTGGGAATATTTTTGACTTCATTTACTTGATAATCATCAGATATGAATTTCGCTAGTTCCAAGTATGACTTTATGTAGCGGTTTTTATATGGAATGATGTTTAAAATGTCGCAGATAATATTTTGAGGTGAATATTTCTTTGAATCAATCAAAATTGTTTTGATCTTTTCGTAAATCGAGTGCAATTCTTTTTCATTTTCCGTTTTTAATTGATATAACGAAATATACAAATTATTGCAGTCACTACAGACTCGTTGAAATTTACTATATTTATCTTCATTAATGTCATAATCAGACATTAAAAATTTTAAAAGTCACTTTTTAAATAAATTCCACTGAAAGTCGTATTTTAAAAATTGTATTTTAAAAGTCAACTTTTGTATGCATATTTTTATTTCCATTAATTTGAATAACTCAACAAGATTGTCATGTAGAATTTCGTGATGGCAAAGGTTCAAGAGCGGGTCTCCTTATTTTTTTATTTATAAATAATAATAAAGACTCTTATTTCCAGACTATACTTGTTATCATTGAGAAACATATTTCACACACTTTGTATGTATATTGAATTAATTCAGAAATACAATATATGTATATTCCTCCAAAGTTCTTTCAATTGCATTGAAAGGGAGGGAAAAAAGAGAAAATCATTATTTAAACCTTCTAAAAAGTGACATACTTTTTGTATTATTCCCCACAAAATTTTAATCTAATTGTATTTTAAGAATTTATATGATGAACGAATTGAACCTAATTCAGATTTCCTAGTTCAGCATTCATACTTTTCGAATTTAACAGGTGTTTCCCGAGGTGGAGCGATTTATAATGATGCAAATATTAATATCAATGTTGAAGAATGTTTATTCACATTTTGCTCATGTACAGATAGAGGAGGCGCTATTTATGCAAATCAAGGTGAATTCTTCATTCAAAAATCATGTTTCATCAAAAATTCGGCGAATTTAAACAGTGATTTCCAATGTTCACCCAAAAATAACATTGAATCAGAAATAACTGTTGTATTTGGAACAACAATTCTGCATTCGCTATGGAATTCAGGAACTGAATCTTTGTATATTAAAAATTTAAATTCGTCATATGCAAAACTTGAAAACTCTATTCTATATTATGGTGTTCTTTTAACAGTAAAAGCTCCATTTAACCATTCAATTAAATTCTTGCAATGCTCTAATTCAACAGGGAATAAAGCATTGTTTAGCTCTGAATATACTGTTACCACAAAAATTGATCATGTTAATCTGATTAATAACGAAAATTCTAATTATAATTAACATGATCTTTATTAATCTTTAATGACGTTTATTTATTTGGTAATAACGAACTAACTGGAATACTTACTTGTGATGAAACCCAATCAAAAATATCATTTTATAATTGTTTTTTCGACAAAAATTCTGAATTTTTTGCAGGACATACAGAATTAGATTGTAGCTTTAACTGTAAATATAATGATTTTAAATCTAATTTTGGCTCCATTAAGGTTTGCTATTTTGTGAAAATTACTCCTTTACATTCGTGCCCTGTTAACAGATATTTGTTTATTAACCCGTGTTGTTTTTATTTGATGCTAATTCAGTGAATAAATTTTTTTTACATTTTAAACTTATTGCGCAATGAGAAAATGTTATTGTGCATTGTGTCTTGAATAATAGCAGAACTTGAAAGAAAAATAAATATATCCATTATTTTACTTCCATTATTGAGTTTTAATTGCAGAAAATTATAAGAATATATTTTTGGAGAGAAGAACATCGGGAATGATAAAAAGAGAGTAAAAAATTATTAAAGAATAATGGGCATTAGACCAAATTAACAAGCAATTTCTAATTAGCACTAAGGGTTTCGTTTTGCGAAAAAAACGTACAATACGCAATTTCGCTAAAAAACATTTAGCTAGCAATTTCGACCTTTGACTCCACTCAAGACGTCACTTTTTTAATTTTGCGGTATCATATTTTTGGAAAATCTTTATGAATATTATATAAAAAGTCTCTTTAATATCTATATTTCATATTTTTATCGATTTTTAAAGTTTTTGCGAAAAGTATTCAATTATTTTTGCTATTTGGTCGGGTAAATGTCAGATTTGCGACATTTTCTGATATGATATTCAAATTCTACGTTGATAATAATGCTTATAGAACCCTCTTGCTATTGTGTCAAAATTGCGAAACCGATAGCAAAAATATCTCGCAATATCAAAATTGAGATATTGAGTGAATTATGCATTATAGAGATTAAAAATCTGATTTGTGAAAACATCTCATCAGTTTCTAGCTAATTCAAAAATCTTTACTATCTTATTCGATTAAAATGAAAAGGGAATAGTTTCATTATGCTTTAAATGACACCCTTATAATATAATCATAGTTTTCGCTCAATATGCAGCATTTTTTTTTCGAAATCTATGGTCAATGTCCTAAATACTGATTGCTTTGCATTCATATCTCTTACATTTTCTATACCCACATCACTATTCATTGCTATTCCTATCTTTTTCATTTTTGTTTGTTTCTCATAATTTCTCAAAAAACATGATAACTTGATATTTGTAAATATCATACTTTATAACGTAAATAAGAACTTGACCTATTAAGAAAAGCAGTAATGAAAAGAAAATCTGAAATTCATAAAAATTACAAGTTTCTGATGACAATTAGCTTAATTAAACCAGGTACAAGATTATATAATTGTATTTTCTATCCAATTATCCATATAATATCTTATCCAGAAAAAATAACTTGATCAATACCAAATGATTTTTTAACTAGTAAATAAAGTATTTTCTTTACACACACATTGTATATCATAGTTTTTTTTTGGTTTCGCAAAACATCCAAAAACAAATATGCTATAAAAGTGACAATTTTAGCAAAACGAAACCCTTAGATGAATTGATAACAATAACTAATACTATAGATACTTTAAAAATAATTAACTATTTTTTGTTATGAAATTGAAAGTTTGCAAATTACCTCAGACTTTTCAGAGGATTGAGTGGCAACTCAATCCTCTGAAATAGTCTGTGGTAATTTTTAGTCTCTACACTATTTCAATATAAGCTCCATTTTTAAACAGTTTTTAAAAATCAAGCATTGAAAAGTGTGATGAGACTATTGAATTCTTCAACGTATTCATCGTATCCTATTAATTTGCAGCTCTTACATATTTATCAAATAAATGATATTAACTTTTATTTTCAAATTATTCACAAAAGTCCAAATTTTTAAGGTGTGTCTCAACCTATTTATTTGATAATTTGTAAATAGTTGTAATTTAAGCAAATATACTCCAGCAAAATCTCTCAATAATCAATTTTACATACTAATTCAATTTATTCTTTACAATAAAAGAATCGAATTATATATTTCGTTTTTATGTTCAATGATATAATCAGACGATCGAAAAAAAATTGAGAACTGTCAGCAAATATTATCAATTTTTGGATGAACCGTACTCCACTCAGTGCTACAGTTCGAGGGAATATGGGAGCCAGAACGCGTTCGATTTCATCCATAATGGGTTTCCATGCATCTACTGCTCGTCCTCAGATCAAAATTATTAACTCTGCTGCTTTGAATAATGGAAGATCATCAAATCAGTTACTACCTGCACTATCCGAAAACAAGGATAAAGGAATCTCTTCAACGTACTACAACTATAATAATATTCCAGCGGTTACAATAAACAAAGAATTAACATCCAGAATTATGTGTCTAACGCCAAACCTTGTTCAGATATCGGAATTTACACAAAGCTCACTTGCAACAGATTCTTTCAAGCATATTTCAGATGAAACAGCCCTTCATTTGTACAATACAATCGGCCAAATTATCTTTAGACCCCATGAAGACATGTCCTATCTCGATTTATATAATGAAGACCCATTTATCAGAGTGTTGATCAGTGGAAAGATCTGAAATCCATATATACCCTCCTTCAAAATATGTTGACTGACTGCTATCCACGAGTTTCAGTTAAGTGGCTTGAAGAGAAGAACGCAGAAAATATATTTTATAATTTGCTTTCACCAGATCCACGTGAAGTTGCTATAATCGAGTCATTGGTGTTATATATTTTCAAATGCTGGTCGGAAATATCAGTATTGTTCATCAAGGCCGCCACAACAATTATCCAAAACTTTATTGACGGATTTCATACTTTTTACGGAATCAACTCAGTTCTCAAATTCCTTGACCTTTATTTCCGAACTTGCCAGTCCAAATGGGATGAATCAATGAATACGATGGTTCTTACCAAGTTTCTCCCAATTTTCCTTTCCAATTTCGCTTATAAGTATTATCCTTCATTGAATCGTATTTTGTCATATGCCTATTCAAAGAATGATAATTTGGCAGTCCAAGTCATGTCCAAAATGATTCGTTGCTGGCCAATTACATGTTCTTCGAATATTGTCTGTTTCATTCATCATTTCTCTTCAATTGTTACATTGGTTGGTCCTGTTAAGATTGCGCCATACGTTACAACAATGTTCACAAGAATCATTGAATCAGTAAAAAGTGATAATCAAAAGGTCGCTGTTTCAGCTTTAACCATTTCATGTAATGTTACCTTCATATTCGAGTTCGTTACCAAGTTTTCTCCACTTGTACGTGCTTTGTATGCTGCTGCTGAAGAAACTGCTGCAAATCATTGGTCAGAAGAGGCCAGATCTGCTGCAAAACAAGCATTAATTTCAATTAATAACGCTGCGCTACAGATTAAATTAGTTTCTCCACCGGTTCCTCAAAATGATAAACCAGAAAAGCTTTCCTCATGGAGATCCCTTTCTCAACAATTCGGAATTGAATTGATTGGAACCGTCCCTGCTTGCTAATGCATTATTATTGTTATTTATCTTTTTTTATCATGTAAATTTTTTATATTTAAAATACCTATCTTTTTTTGAATCATGTTGTGATAAATTCATTCCATGTGTTATTAGACAAAAGTTGGATTTCTATCAAAATCAACAATTCTGAATTTTTATTTCAATATTAACATTTTTTGTATCATTTCTTAAAGCGTTGAATCATACAGTCACATAGAAATTCCTTTTATGTGATGCGATATGTTAAAATATGAATTTTGTTGATTGTTTTGCTTCAAATAAACACTTTGGCTATATTTTATCTAAATGTTTTATGAATAAACCATAAAATATTCTAATCCAATAAACTATTTCAAGGATTAATTCAGCGCATATGAAAATTCTATTATTAAACGTACACTTTTTTATTATCAATGGAAACACAAGGTCAAATATCTGATGAGATATCTCAATCTGCCCTGACGATGGCAATTGATGGGGGATATCTTAATGCAGAATTTATTTCTAATCTAGTTTCAATTGCAGAAAACAAAATCTATTTATCAGCAAATGATAGAGCTTATTTAGATGCTGTAGCTCAAGCGCAAGATGTCGAAATAGAAAAAAGAGAAAAGGCACTAATGTTTAATCAAAAAGAAGAATATGACGATTTTCAAATAACTCGCTTACAGCCAAAAAAGAGCAAATGGCGAACAGAAAATGCAAATGATCTTGATGCTCGAATTAATCGCGTCAAGGCATCAAATAATAATAGAAAATTTTCGGTATTCTAAACTTTTGTATGTATTTGCTTAATCATATAATACCAATTTTATGAATGAAATTATATTACTAGATTTCCTACTATAATTTAAAAAAATACATTTGTTTGAGTAATTTAAAATTGGAATTAGCTCTAATGATCTGAAAATGAGCTAACCAATTGATAAAAACCATAGGCCATATCTTTAAAAGTCTCTATAAAGGATAGTTATTAATAGCAAACATTTATTCATAGAATACATGATAATAATTATTTTGTGGGTTCCTTATTTTCATGATTTTCTTTTGTGACTTCATGTTCGACCTTATTTACTTCGGGGTTTTGAACATCAGCAGCCCCTTTTTGTTCTGTTGGTTGAGGTTTTGTTGCTGAAGTTGGTTTGTTCTTACGTGGTCTTGGAGGATATTTTACTCCTTCTAATGGAAAGTATGCATGCATTAATTGAGAGTAAACTTCGACATCTTTATCGTTGAATACTACAAAAACAATTCTTTCTGTTTTTTGTAAGTTTTCTGGTACTTCAAGCCACTCACGAACTGACATCAATGCAATATGAGTTGCTTTTTCAACAGGATAGCCATATTTACCTGTAGATATTGCGCAAAACGCAATACTTTTAATTTTATCATTATCCATGTAATTTAAAGTCGACAAATATGTAGATCGAAGCTCTGATGGCTGCTCACCTTTCGGGCCAACTGCGTGTATAATATATTTTGAAGGAAGTTTAAATGCAGGTGTTAATGCTGCATGACCTGTTTCTGTATATCCTGCCTTTTTGCATGCGTCAACAAGTTCATTTCCTGCGGCTTTAAATATCATTCCGCAAATACCGCTTCCTGCTTTAAGTTTAGAATTTGCTGCATTAACTATAGCATCGCATTGAAGTTTACAACTATCTCCTTTAAACCAAACAGAAATTTTCTTGTTAATCTCATTATTCGCCTTTTTGAGTGGATAAATTTGAGGAAGGATTGGATGGGAAGCAAGAACATTCGGTCCATCAGCATCCCATGTTGGTAATTCTGCTAGTGTAACGATGTGCTCAGAAGACATTCAGAATTTTTATCGCAGCGATCGCCCAAATTCTTTGGAAAATAGCCGAACGTTTATTCACATACGATTATTAATAGGTCATAAGGGTTATTGCCGAACATGATAATATGTATCAAAATATAACTGGAGAACATTCTTTAATAGTAGATGCTGAATTTTGAGATGAATGAAACAAAAATTAATAAGATTAACTATAATTTATTGAAAAACCATAATATATCTAGGATATTATTGTATGTTTGACTGATATAGCACTATTCTGATGGAGATCTCTATGAAATACCCATTTTTTATATGAAATAGTTTCGATAATTAACTCAAAAAACATTGTTTAAAACTTGAGTGATAAAGAACCATGGTAAACTTATATCAGATAACGTAAGTATATGTCTTATTTTAAGATAATATGATGTTTTTGTTTCCAAAAAAATTATGAAAAAAATTAAATCTAAGAAAGAAATATGCTTTTTAAGGTCAAAATATGCAAATTAAAAAAATTTTGGAAATACAGATATATATTTTAATAGATGTTTATGCAAAATCGATATGAAATACCTCGAATTAAGCATAAAACTGACTAAAATAATATTTTAGATTTGTTTTTTTGATGATAATTAAGTTTCATCTAACTGATATGCAAGTATATAGATATTTATTATTATAACACTTTATAATTAACCAATGATTTTATTGTAAGCTGGCAAAAGAAAAGTTTTTATTTTCGATGAAATCACTCAAAGTCATTACAGTTGGAGAAGTAAGTATAGGAAAAACATGTTTAATTCGAGCTCTCATTGGTGAACCCTTTAATGAAAACGAAGGTACAACAATTACTTGCGATTTTTCATTAAAAAGAGTTGATTACGAAGGTGATACGATAGAATTTAAATATTGGGATACAGCGGGACAAGAAAAGTTTGCTAAATTAAATCAACACTATATTCGTGATGCAGATGTTGTTTTGCTAGTTTGCTCTCCAAAAAATTTCGAAACAATCGAAAAATACGTTAACTTTATTAATGAATCGATAGATGACCAAAATTATGAGCTCTTTATTGTCTTTTCTAAATGCGATATTTACAAAATGACCGAATCAGAAAAAGATGCTATTTTCGAAAAATGCAAAGCGTTTAACCCTCGTGGAATATATGAAACATCTGCAAAAGCAATGTATAATATCGAAAATCTCGAATCAGACATCGCATCCTGTACAATGCACAGATCTCAGACCCAACATACAGTTTCATCTGATAAGAAGAAGTGTTGCTGAATTAATTGTTATGTATTAGTAAATAATTACCAATATAATTTACTTTTTATGATATTAGTTGAAATTTACATTATCATCATATTTTTAAGTCTATGCATCATCATCTCTCATACCTTTTCATTCAGAATGATTTCATCATCTAGTCAAAATTCATAAAAAGATGTGAATTTTTAAAATCTATGGGAGGCAAATTATTACTTGCATCAAAGACTTTCAAATTACATCAAAATATCGAAGATCATTTCCATGAAAATTGTCTTTTAACATGTCACTTTTAATTTTTAGTGAATGGAAAAAGATAATCAATTTGTACTTCCTGGTCAGGTTATTTTCGAAAATAGTGAAGGACTTATGCCAGGTAATGGTGTAGTTTTGTCAAATGGAAAAATCATTGCCACAGTTAGAGGTTTTATCAAAATTATCAATCAATTAGTTTCCGTAACACCAATGACATCTATTTATTCCCCAAACGTAGGAGACATAGTTGTTGGTCGTATTGAAAGCATTCAAAAACAAAGATGGAGAGTTCAAATTGGAGCTGCTGTTTTAGCTGACCTTAGGCTCTCATCAATCTTTCTTCCTGATGGAGAATTACGTAGAAGAACTACTACAGATGAAAGAAATATGAGGCAATACTTTGATGTCGGAGATTTAATTTGTGCTGAAGTTCAAAATATATCAGGCGGTACATCCTTACATACTCGTGAACAGCATCCTAAAAAGCTTGAGAATGGTATAGTTGTAGATGTCCCATCCCGCCTTATTAAAAGAGTTCCTAACCATATTGTTGTTCTAGCATTTTCAGGTCTTCGCTTTAATGTAGTTTTTGGTCTTAATGGATCTATTTGGATTTCACCAGATACTGATGAAGCTTATCCATTAATTCCAAGAATCAGAAATTGCATCTTACTTTTAGCTACATATGAGCAACTAGTATATAGCGATAATGTATGCCAAGTCTTCGACAAGACATCTGAAATACCTATTGCTGATATTTTAACAGTTAAAACAGCTCAGATACTTGGCTTTGTTCAACATGATGAAGAATAAACATATAGAGATATCAACTGTACTTATATCTAAATTACTAATTACAATTCTATGATTTTTTTTTAATATGAAATTTTTGGTAAATTTAATGAGGTTATTGGTAATTTCATATTAGAAACAAAATCTCAATTTTTAGCAGATATAAAAATAAAAAGCTTATGAAGATTTTTGTATAATCAAATATGATTTTGTAAATAAATCTAAGCAAAATAAAGTTTTACTCAGCCTTCTTGTCAAGAACGATAACTTCAAGGGACTCTGGGATAGAGTTCTGAACGAGCTCGACGAACTTTGGCTTGACTGTGAGTGTGTAAAGATACTTTGTTGTGCGGAGTTTGAACTTTGTGTTGTCATCGTTGGACTTCTTTACCTTGACCCACTTGGCATCAGAGCGGGCGGCGAGAGCAAGGAATTCCTTTGGTGTAGTAACCTGTTTTGGCATCGAGCTAAAGGCCGACCAATCGGACTTTACAAAACCGCTTTCAACTCAACCATCAATTATTTCGAATATAATTAATGTTATAATATAACCTGCATTAAGGAAGTCAATTTGGAAAATTGTTTTCACTTTAGGAGAATATAATTTTCCATTTGGAAAATTTAAAAAGTGAGACGCGCAGGATTCGAACTTTTTTAAAAGTTGATTTAAATGAATTTTAGTGTGGAATATAAGGATAATATCATATTTAAAATAAGAATATACTAGTTTAGGTGGTATTAATTTTTTCGATAAATTTGAGAGTATGTACGTTTAGGGCATGAAAAGTGTCAATTCGTTCAGCGAAAGCTGAGCTAGCTTCGTTCTCGAAAGAATAAGGAAGGAGTGAAGGAGAATGATACAGAAGTTGACACATTCATATCATTTCAAAAAATTTTGATCAAATTGAAATTCAATAAAATTCAATTCAATTCATATCCTTCAGTCAGTACATTGATATCCTTCTGCATCACAATGATAACTCGGGCATCAATAGTTCTACAACTAACTCAGAAAAAACAAGATTATTACTTCCTGCTTACAGCTTTTAAAAAGTTTCGATGATAAAAATCACTCTACTCTCGTTTATCGACATATGGTGATAGTAGGTAAACATATTCTTATCGATATTAATAAAAATATTTGTACGAAAATCTTATCCAATTAGAGAGTTATTCATAAAGTATATGATAATTATAATTACTTTATCTTTGTTTTATCTTTGAATAAACAATTTAATTTAAATTGCATAATATTTTTTGGTTGAAAGACAGGAAACTTAGTTGAGTTTGTATTATTTTTATCGTTTAATTCATCGTATCAGTGAGTGATCCAGATATTTAAGATATTTAGAAAAAAAATTATTAATTTGATTAACAAATTTTAATCAAAATAGCAAAAATATATTTGATAGCTGTAAACAAACAATAATTTTTATTTCAAGCAAAATCACTTATTTTCATCTAAACGTATAAAATTGTCAATTTTATGAAAATAAATTGAAAATCTCATGAAATGTAAAGGAGAGTAATATTTTCCAATTTTCTTTTTTTCTTTGTCTCAAATATTTTCTGTTGGGAATTTTCTTGTTATCAAAAAATAATTTTAATATTTGTTTATTTCATTACATACAATAAAATTTTAAAAACTCTATTTCTTCTCAAGAAAATTTTTTCCTTCATATGAAGACACATTTTGTTCTCCATTTGATACTGAGTCTAAATCTCGATTTTTGAATTTTCTTCTTTCCAAATTTCTTTTTTCCAAATTAGAAGTTTAATTCAAATTTTCAATAGTTTATATATTTTCTCAAACCGTCTCAGATTTTCTCACTTTTTAGGGATTTTCTCTCAAAATATACAAAAATAGTAATATCAATACATGTGTCTAATATACTTTAAAACCATCGTGACAAAATTCAAAAACGAAGAGTTCTTCTCTCCAAATTTTTTTCAAAATCAAAAAAATGAGATAAAAAAGTACGTTTGGAAAATTCATTTTTAGCATTTTAGGAATTTTCTCACTTTTCTTCCAAATTGACATCCTTACCTGCATACACAAATACATTTTCTGAAATATTTTTGGCTTAAAAATTACTCTAATACTTCAATTCAAATTAGATCTTAACCAAAATTAAGTATTTCTGGGCGTGTATTCATTTATTATTATAAACGTATACTTTTAGATTGATTTATTATTTTATTAAAAGAAATTGAGAGGAATTTTAATCCTGAAAATGAATACCAAATATTGATAAAAATAACTATATGTTATAAGAGCATTACACTTAAGGCGCATAAACCTATAAAATGGTGCATGTTACACCATATACTATACAATATTGAATGAAAAAAAAGTTTCAAGATCAATATGAAAAGAATAAAATTGAAAATAAATTGGATACTAATTAATTTAATTTGTTTTCTCAAAAGTGGATAACTGTCCAATGAAGTTCAGGAATTCGGCGATATCTATTCAATTTCCAAATGCTGAATAATGAAGAGATGCTTTTCAATTTTTATATTTTTCATTGAAATTTGCACCATGTGAATTAAGAAGTTCGGCTGTTTCTTTACTATTATTATTAATTGCGGCTTTATGAAGAGCCGTGTATCCAAATATAAATTCATCGTTGATATTTGCACCATGTGAAATATGAAGTTCAGCTATTTCTTTACTATTATTACGCACTGCATGATAAAGAGCAGTTTCTTTCTTTTTATTTTTTTTCATTGATATTTGCACCATGTGAAATAAGAAATTCGGCTGTTTCTTTATTATTAAATACTGCAATATGAAGAGAGGTATTTCCATATTCATCTTTTTGATTGATATTTACACCATGTGAAATTAGATATTTGGCAGTTTCTTTACTATTTTTGTCTGCTGCATAATGAAGAGAATTTTTATTTGAATCAATCAATTGTGTTTTGATATTTTTGTAAATCGAGTGTAATCCTTCTTCTTTTTCCGTTTTTAGCTGATACAATGCATTATATGAATCAACATAGTATTAATACTTACTTCGAAGTTCACTATATTTGTTTGGATGACTGTCTTGAATAGACATTCAAAAATTTAAATTTAAAGTAATATCTTTGCATTTTCCCATATAAAATATCTTGAATGGGATTGATTAAACTGTAGTACACCATTCTCGTGTATTGCATGCATTCTTTCGTTGCTTCACATTTTGTGAATAATAAGGGTTGCTGAAATTTTTTCTATGTTTAAATCTTGGAGGATCTTAAGGGTCCACGGTCTGGCCAAGATTAGGCTATCGTTAATGTTCAAAATTTGGATGGTAATGCTCATATCTAATTATAGATTCTAATTTGATATCATATTTATATACAGTTTTTAAAATAATTTTTTTTGGATTTCTTTAACCAGGAAGCTCCAAAAAATAGATTAAAAACAAAGGCGATAATTCTCATTTTAGCATTCAATTTTTGAATAGTATTGAAAATGTACCATGGACCCTTAAGGGCTCACCGCCTCTGTTTACAAAAAAATACGCTATTTACACACTGAGTCTTTTTCTAGAGATTTTTTTAGATTTTGAAACAATGAAAAGATAGAGTATGATCAATGTATATTATATTTAAGTTTATTTATAAAAATATCAATTCTATCATAGAGAAAAAGTACATGTAAGCGCAAAAAATTGAATAGTTAAGTATAATGGTCCCAAAATCTCAGTACTGGGGACTATTTCCACGTATTGCAATATGAAGTGCGATTTGTCCATTATTATCCTTTTCATTGATATTTATACAATGTGAAATAAGAAGTTCGACTATTTCTTTACTATTACTTAATACTGAAATATGAAGAGCGGTTTTTCCACCACAATCTTTTTCATTGATATCTATACCATGTGAAATAAGAAGTTCGACGATTTCTTTACTATTATATTTTGCTGCATAATAAAGAGCGGTTTTTCCACCATAATCTTTTTCATTGATATCTATACCATGTGAAATAAGAAGTTCGGCTGTTTCTTTACTATTACTTAATACTGCAATATGAAGAGCGGTTTCTCCATCATTATCCTTTTCATTGATATTTATACAATGTGAAATAAGAAGTTCGGCTGTTTCTTTACTTTTAAAACTAGCTGCAATATGAAGAGCGGTTTGTCCATCATCATCTTTTTCATTGATATTTATACCATGTGAAATAAGAAGTTCGACAATTTCTTTACTATTACTTAATACTGCAATATGAAGAGCGGTTTCTCCATCATCATCTTTTTCATTGATATTTATACAATGTGAAATAAGAAGTTCGGCTATTTCTTTACTTTTAAAACTAGCTGCAATATGAAGAGCGGTTTGTCCATCATCATCTTTTTCATTGATGTCTATACCATGTGAAATACATTCATCATCTCCTTCATTATTGTTGACTATAATTTGATTGTATGACTCAAATAATAATCTGCAAATATCAGAATTTTTCGATTTACATGCAAAATAAATAATTCCACATTTAGTGTGATTATGTTTGTTAGAAAATGTATTGTTTTTGAAAATATCTATTGTTTGCGGAAATGCAGCACCCCATGGAAAGATGTAATTTTTGTTCCTTTTGAATAGAAGAAATACAGCATTAAGGTTTTGATATCTGATGATATCTTTATAAATAGGTCTATAATTTACATCTCCCATACAATTATCTTCTATTCCCCATTTCCAATTCTCACCGTATAAATCATCAAGCTCGAATATCTCTCTATTTAAAACATATTCAAGCAATTCGTGATTGTGTGCTCTTATAATGCTTCTGAGACAAGCAATATCCATTTTATTTTCTTTCAAGCATTCGTTGATGATGTCTTGATTTCCTCCAATTACTGAGTAGCAAAGACATCTTTTAGTTATTTTACAGATTTGATTCGAAATCAAGAAATAAAAAATGTTAACAGATCCAAAGTAGGCACATGATTCAATTAGTGATAACTCTGCAGAATATTTTAGATAGTGATTAGCATTGTACACGAAATTAGGAATTTTGAGAAAAATATTACCAGATATTGAATTTTGAGTTAAGTATTCCTTGAACTCATCAATTTGATCATGCATAACTATAAATTTAATCGAGCCCTCAGTTTCAAAATGATAATCCGAAACTCCGGCTAGGTCAGCCCCGATCTGTTTGAGTATTTTGACGTAATTCGCTCCAGATGCATAATTGTATCTAATTGTCTCATGAATTAACTTTGTAAGTTGATTTATTGAAAGTTGATACTTCGAAATCAAAGTATTTGCAATTATACTGCACATATCTTCGATAGGTTCATTAGATTTTATGTGGAAGAGCTTTTCAAGCGCCCCTATCAAATCCGTATATTGTTGTGAATAGTCAGAACTCATAATAAAAAAAAGTTTACATAAGATCTTTAGGGGTGTGAAGTGAGCCTCAAGGATCCAAAAAGATCATCCAAATTAGCAACCCTACAATAGTTACTATATATTTATAGCTTAAATCCCAAGTATAATAGGTTCATATAAAAATGAAGTTTTAAATAATTTAAATAATTATTTTTTGCTCATCAATAGAGTGCTCAATGCGAGAGAGAAGGATCCTGTGAAATTTGCTTTGATGCGTCAAATGGACCTTTCAGACGTTGACAAGTACCTAAATTTCGCAGTTTTCATATCAATTCATTTTCACGAAAATTTGCTGTTTCGAGCCAAATAATGAATTATTTTTAAGTAATTTGTCAAAGTTTTCTTCAATTTTGTTGTAATCCAATTCATGATAGTGAAGATTCTGCTATTTTATTGGTTATATTAAGCAAACAATGAGCACAATATGGAGTCTAGCTTATCATGCAATGCAATGCTAATTAATTCAAACTTGCGATAGTGAAGATTTTTGTCCTCTCAATAAAAAAAAATTTTAGAAATGTCAACATCATCAATCCACTACTATTGTCCAGTTTCATTTAAATACAGACTTCCAGCACTTGTTGAGTTTGTTAAATCACACTTTAATAAAGATAAAATAGTCATTATCTGCAATGGCCCAAAACAAGTTGAATTCCTTTCACACTATTTCATTCTTCTTCAAATGACACCATGCCGCATTGTTGCTACAATGTCACAAGAAGACCGTCAAAATGCTGAACAGCGTTTCCAAGGAGCAATCAATATTTGCTTGGTATCACAATCAATTGTTGAAAATGTTAAATTAGGAAATCCAACATGGGTTGTTGAGTACGCCGTTCCAACAGCACTTTCATCATACGTTAAGATGGTTCAAAATATTAAGGCACCAAAATGGATTCTTTTCGTAGAACCAAATAATGAAAAAGCATTCATTGAACGTTGCAAGTCAGCAGGACTCGAATCTAAGGAGCTTCCTGTTACAGTTAACAAATTACCAAACATTGTTCCACGTCTTCTTGGTTTTCTTGATCGCCGCTATGAGTTTTATATGTCATCACAGTTTGGCTACAGAGAAATGATTAGTGCTTATGTTAATTCAGAAAATGAAGAATTTAATGCTCAAAAGTTAAATCTTTTGGAAGCATCAATTTCATTCGGTATAGAGCACCCACCAAAACTTCCTTTAACAAAGTAAATATAAATATAGAGTATTATTTAATAAAAATATTATTTATTTAGAGCTATATATTATATAATATTTCAAAAACTATCATACTTTTTGATCGAAGATTTTATGGTTCAACATTCATGGACCATATTAAGAAATTTAATTATCATTTGATATCATGGTTTTATCGATATAAATCATTATACTTATTTGAGTAAATCAAAATTTATTATAAATTGTTTACTCCGGTAGGCATTTTTATAAAATAAAATAGCTAATGCTAGATTCATCACCATTTTCAATAAAAGATGTTGAAGTTCCTGAATACTTAAAGGATGAAGTACAACTCCAAGATCTGATTGATGTCATATTGGATGCAAAATTGGACCAAATAACAGATTTAACTAATGATCTCTTAGAATTTCTTAAATCAAATCCATCATTTGTTCTGCTAGCTTATAAAATGCTGATACGAATTCAAACTGCATGCGTTATACCGAATAATAATTTATTTGCAATTTTAGAAGCCTTGATAGTAAACTACAAAGAAGAATTTCTTAGTTTAACTGATATACCATCATTTTACTTTGACTATTTCAGCGAAATAGGAATTCTTACTAAAATGAGATGTCACAGAATTGGAAATTCAAATACCATACCCATCAAAAGAAACAATGTTTTATCATACATGTATTCAGAAAGTCCGATTTTTAATGTGATAGCCGATGACGATCTTGAAAAATTCATAGATTTGACACTTAATACTAACTTTCACGAGAGATATGAACAGATATCAATGAACACCGGTTTCTTATGCGGTTACGATTTATTAAATTACTCAATGAAGTGCGGTGCCGTCAAAATTTTTATGTTTTTGGTAAACAATGACTGCAAACCTAATGATTTTTCTTCTGCAATTATTGGAAGAAATCTTGAAATCATCAGGTACTGTTCAAGAATCAATGAACTTGATAAAACATACGCGTTATCAACAGCAATTATGATCCATTCAAATGCTGTTTTCGATTGGTTGATTGAAAATGAAATCTCTCAAGTAACAAACTTCTCAGATCTTTATTCATATTACAATTGCCGTGCATTTCTATTTTTCAGTCAGCATGGAATGGTACAAACGAATATAAGGGAGCTTCTTAATAATGATCTTTCAAATTACTTGAGATACTTGATTGAAAAAGATCAAATCAAATTAGATAAATTTATGATTTATCAAGCAATCGAATCAAAAGGTTGTTTGAAGATTCTACTTGAAAATGGTCTCAAAATAACACCAGACCAGTTATCTCGTTTTAAAAATGTTGATGACTTTGTGCTAGAATCAATTAAAGACAAAGATACTGAATATATAGCTGCAGCAGTTAATATGAAATCTATTGATCTTATTTCGTACTTCTTAGAAAAAGGTTATGACATATCCGGTGAAAAAAATAGACCTTTGATTTTAGCTATCCAAAATTCCGATCTTCAAATTGTAAAATTCCTTGTAGATAAGGGTGCAGATGTTAATAAACCATTGATGGGAGCGTTTACACCCTTAATGGCTGCAGTTTCTCAACAAAATGCTGAAATTTTTAAGTTTGTTATCGAAAAAACAAATAATGTTAATGCACAAGACGAATACGGACTAACAGCATTACACAGGTGCCTTTTAAGCAATCCACCTATAGAATTTTTGAAAATTTTGATTGATTCAGGGGCGGATGTGAATTTGCCAGATAACCATGATTTCACTCCTTTAGTTTATGCTTTGAGAGCATCCAATGCTGCTGCAGTGAAATTACTTTTTGAAAACGGTGCAAAATCTGATGAAAAAACACAATCCGTCATAGAATCATTAAAACAAACTCTGAAAGATATAACATCCATGGTACCTGAAGAAGTTCAAAACTAATTACGAGTATATTACCAAAATTTCATTTGTATATTGATAAACATTTATTGTTTTTGCCTGACAAATAAACAATATGATTTCACCATGAAGTTATTATGAATTTCTTAGTTAATACTGATGGTTAATTCAATTTTTTTCATATTCAGAGGAAAATTTATTACATTTTTGCTGTATCACAAGAATATAAGCAGAGACTTTGGATGGAATTATGTGTTGATGTTTGAGGTTTGAATATTACCGGCTATAAATTTTCCAAAAGAACGTTCATGAATTTTTTGATTTGACATGTAAAAGAAGCACGCCAAATGTCCCGAAACAATTTCACATGATATTTTACTTCACAATAATGCTCACTGTTTAGTTAGAAATTTTTCAGATAATGTCAAAAATGATGGTGATTTTGCCTATCAAAAATTTTTATGAATGAATTATACTAAGTAACTATTTTTGAAGCATATTTGTTCTAGAAAAAATCGGACTTCTAAGAAAAAATAATAATTCAAAGAAAAAAATTCAATTCATTGAAAAGTTCGCATCGAACAATTTTAATATTTATGTGCTCAAATAGATAGATTTATTAAATGAAACCGCAAAAAGTTTTCAATTATTGACCAATGAATTTCACTGTAATGTATTCAAAACTGAATATTCCTTTCTTTCATGGAAACATCCTCAAATCAGATGCAAACCCCACAACCAAGTGATCCTGTTAATGTTCTTATATCTGCTGTTTCAGAGAGACGTCCAGTCCTAGTTTTAGATCTTGATGAAACTTGCGTTTTTTCAACATCTCTGAAACCCCCAGAAAAAAATTTTCCAATCCGTGTCGGTAAACATCAACTATTTATTCAAGTCAGACCCGGAATGCCAGAGTGCATCAAGCAATTATCATCAATGTATGAAATTTTCTTTTTCACAGCTTCAAAACCAAACTATGCAAATAAAATCATCGATAATATTGCTCCATATGTTGACAGAGATCATCGCTTTTTTGTCACATCATCACAAAAGAAAGATTTAACAGTAATCAATCGCCCGCTAGCACAGGTCCTTCTCTTGGACAATGCTACTTGCAGCGAACAAGTTGCTAACTTGCTTATCATCTCAACATGGGTTGGTGATACAGAAGATAAAGTGTTTACAAACGAATTAATGCCTCTTCTTACCGATATTGTAGGCGAACAGGACTTATTGACAGCATGCCATAGCATCGTTTCTTCGAAGAGATATCCATCTTTGAAAGTTGTTAGCTGCTGAAATTTTTTGTTATATTGTTTTTTATAATTTTATTATAGATTGCCATACAACTTTACCCAGTAATTCTTTATTTTCAAATTATATGACTCTTAAATTGTTTGTATTTTCATTTATCAATTTTTTATTTAATTATTTTTTAGGCATCTAGTGTGATGCATCTTTGATATGCCTTAGTTCTATTCTAGCTTTCTATATTACATATCTTTACTTCTTAACAAACATTCAATGGAGGATTTGATATCTTCTTTAAAGACGGAAAATCTATGACGATTTAAATTTACTCTCACTATTGCCAATATAATGATATGTTAATTGCGGAAAATATCAATTCCATTGCAATTTTATTTTGTCATGTAAAAAAGTGACAAATCAAATGAGCTCAAAGCAGCTTCCTGATAAAAAGACAATCATTCCAAAACAAACATATGCATTATTATTCAGTGAGATTGTCCAGTATTGCCACCAAAAATCAGAATCTTCAGAGCAATTTTCTCAACAATTAGCCGATATGGGCTATCCAATTGGCTGCACAATCTTAGAAGTCCTCGAGCAGAGTAGCTCAACAGGCTATAAACGCCAATCAAAGGCTGTCCCAATGCTTCTTCAATTAAAAGATAAAATATGGCAATATCTTTTCGGTTATTCCGCCGCAGATCTCGAACAACAAATTGATGATGCAAACTGCTATATGCTTTATGATAATACCCCAATGATAACAACTTATATTTCATATCCACAGGAAATTCGTAAGGGATTCACATGCTGCAGCTTCGTTGCTGGCATTATTCAAGGTATTCTTTGCTCCTCTGGATTCAAATGCAAAGTTACTGCTATTCCTAATCCGGAAGAAAATACATATCCGGATAGAGTTGTATTTTTAATTAAGTTCGAAGAAGACTATAAATAAGCGTATAATTTATTTTACTTCGTCGTAAATTTAATTTACTGTTAATCAATATTTTCAATTTTTTACTTAATTTATTTAAAACATGACTTTATATGTTTTGAAACCAACGTATACTTACTTTATATTTATTATTGATCATTCAAATTCCTTAATTTTCAACTCAAATATCAAATATTTGATCAATATTGATTGTTATAATAAAACTAGCTGAACATATATTAAGTTTAACATTTAAATTTTAAAACTATGTTTGATTCAATTCTCCTTCAAAATAGAATCAAATTATGTTATTTTCTATTCAAATCACAATGCATCCAAATAAATTCTAATATCCATGATGAATATACTTTGTTTTCTTCTTATTGAATTGTTATTCCAAAAGATAATAAAAAAATTAATTTATTTCTCATAATAATATTTATTAAACAACTATATTATAACAGCTACTATGCAATAATAAATGACGACAGTAGCCAAACCATCAAAACGAAAGCTCCTGCTGATGTTATGATTTCATAATTAAATTCAAGAGATTTTATGCCAATCATCACGATGACATATCCGTTCAGAAATAGACACCACTTTTTCAGTTTAGAGGTCAATGATATTGGAGGATTTTCTACTGAGTAGTTTTTAAGCGTCAGAGCGAGAATTGCACCGCAAACGGCACATATAAAAAGAGATGTTCTTGCCATCAAATAGGTGAAGCTATATGATAACTTAATTGTTAATTTAATATAAATTGATTCAATTAACGAAAAAATCACGCCAAGAGATAAGAAAATCAGATATGTAAATGATGGAACATCACCAGGTTCTATTCTCTTGATTAAAATAGGTTCTTCTTCATCTTCATAATCTAATATAACTTGTCGATGTCTTCTTCGCTTGAAAGGAACCAAATTATGAGGATCTGGTGTTGCAGATCTGTTTCCTTTGTTGATAACAACTCTAAATCCATCACGCATCGTATCTGAGTTTAATAATTGTTTTAAATTCTGTATTTCCGTTTTTCCAGCAAGCGTAATAGATTTTTGTATACTAGAGATGTCTTCAGAATCCAAATCTGCTTTCTTTCCTTCAAGAATTTCTGTCAGAATAGGGACTAATGGCGCAAATGTTGTAATACTTGGGTCAGGTGGAGTCTGGTATGTGGATTCGAAATGGATCAATCTAAATCCACCGTTTGTATCTATGAAATCGTTTAAATGTAAATTTGAAAAATTTAAATTCGCTTCAGCAATTGATCCAGCTGCAGTAATTACTTGTCTAAGTCTTCTTTTGATCAAGTTTTTCTGTATATCTTGTGTTTTTATTGGTTTTCCTGATTCAAAAATTATCAAAATTTTATCTTGTAAAATTTCATATTCAACAATAGAGGCTACACATTGTTTTCCTCTAAGTTTCTTCATTGTTTCTATAAATTCTTTAGATTCTGGGTGATTGAACACTTTCAAAGTGAATTCTCGACGAATATCGTCACGCACTCTGTATGTTGAATAGTCATCTGAGAATTGGAGAAGGATTTCTTTGCGATATTTGTGACCATTGACGAGGATTGCATTTATTGGTAAGCTATTATCATCATATTTCGTAGTTTCAGTACTATTTTCCTGTGTAGATGTATCAGAGATTAGCTTTGTTTCCCTTTCAATGATCAAACTCTTCGTCATTGTTTGCTGAAAATAAAATGAATTTTCTGAGGGATTAGCGGTTTTTTAATCGGAGATTTTGAATATGAAATCAAAATCACTTTTTATGAGGATTTTCATAGTTTGAGTCATTAGAATTGCAATAAATTAATGTCCATATGGGCAGAAAAAACATGTTCAATAACTAATCTTGATATCACTAGTCGATTAAACACTTCTCATTAAAATTAACTGAACAAAACCATGAATGATAATTAGTTCAGGAGATTTGACTTATTGAGATTTTTTTGGAATAAAACTAGCAATAGACTCCTTTATGAATTGAACATGAGGCAGATCTATGATTTTAATCTAAATGTCATAAAAAACATTGATAAATATTTTTGGATGAAGTCCTGTTGAGGGGAGGAGATTTTCAGTGGAATTTGATTAGAAATTTTCGATGTTATTTGATTGATAGAAGATTTATATATACGCTCATCGTGCCCAGTCTTAAATGGATGAAGTGAGTGGATTCTAAGTTGGCTTAAGTGGACAGTTAATGATTTTTGCAAAGCATATAAATAGTATAACTGCTCTCCATATTGCATCAAAAAAATTCAATATACTTTTTTGTTTATATTCAAGTGCCATTCTCGTTTTTTTACTACTTTTCCGACAAAGTTATCGAAATTAAAGTTTGAATATGAATCAAATAGTTGACTTTGATTTTAAATCTTCTCCCAAAAGATATAAAATAGTTACCTTGATGGCAAAGTCCTGTTGAAAGAAGATAAAATGCAAGTGAAACTTCTTTTCTTGGTCCAATTTCAACATTTTGACCAGATGCATATAATTTTTCTGTTGTATCAATAAATGAGTTTGAAACCGTAATTGTACCTGAACTGATAATCCCAAACAAATATTGATCGTTTTGTTTGTTATTTGCGATGAAACAGTTTACAAAAGTAACATCACATTTCCAACAGCTAAACATTGAAGGAAAACGGCCATCTCCATAAACAGTGTTGTTTATGAAAGCAATACTATGATAAGTTGTTGGTTTGAGTCCTGCATATATAATACCGGATGCTGCATAGTTTTCATCAATAATTGAATATTTTATAGCAGAGACTCCTGGTCCAGCTGATATTCCAAAAGCTGCACCATCTTGGGCATAGTTTCTTGTGATGTTGTTTTGAAAGAATGAGTTATTTCCATAATTTATATAAGCTGCATATCGACTAACAAGATTTTCTCGATTACTATATATTATAGATGAATCATGAACTTCATTGACGCTTATGGCAACATCTGATACTTCAATCCTACAAAACGCTCCATCACCTGTAGATATAGATCCAAAACTGCAAACTTTTCGAATGGAACTCTGGCCTTTCTTGATGAAAACAGATCCACCGTCACCATTTCTTGCCGAGTTTTCGAATGTGTTTGCAGAAATAAGTGACTTAATATCTGACGACTCGAGAATAATAACACCATTATCGCCAAGATTTGAGAAATAGACTTTACAAACATAAAAATCCCCTGAATATCCGTTGTATGTCTGATTTTGATCATAGATTTGTTTCGAATATTCCGATTTGTAGACTTCTGTCCATTCATTTATTGCGTAATGTAATGCTTTAGATATTTAAGAGTCTTCCTAATTTTTATTGTACTTCATTTATTATAAAATTTTGTCTGGATGAGAAGTTTTTTTTTGAGTTAGAACTATCAAAGTTCTGACAAATCTTTCAAAATTCTGTGATATTTCAAACTTATATCTGACTTGATATTATTGAATTAGTAAATAATTGTGAAGAGATAATGTAGAGAAGCTTTATAAACTTTTTACTTCCATAAATATTATGAGTCAAATGCCACATTTTGCACTAGAGGAACATTGATTTATGCTTTTTGAGCTTTGGATTGGGAAATTGAGGTTCACGTATTAATAACCTTTCTTATTTTAAATAAATTGGCCCTAAACATACCTAATTCTAAGAATGATAATGTTCTCTTATCTGTGATAAACAAATCAATTTGGTTATCATACATAATCTTTACTGAAAATAATCAAATAAAAATTAATAATTTCATGTTTTTACGATTGACATAGTCCTCTACTCTCAAAATTATGTTTATTTTTGTTTTCAATACCGAACAACATTTGAATCAAAAATAATCGTTATTTAGAAATTTTGGATTTTTTATGATATTTGGCAATTAGTATTCATTAATCAAAATAATACTTTCTCTCTTATTTTATGGACGCACGAAACTGAACTTAGCAAATAAGCACTATAACACACTTTTAAATAAGTATAAGGGATACATTGATACATGGGATGCAATATATAAATTGGACTCAGATGAAATAGATTCAACAATAGAATTATACGAAGATATCAAGAGCAACTTGATTGATACTGGATATTTTACAGCAATAGACATGATTGATATGATAGGAAAAATTTGCAAAAAGAGTTTACATTATCGTCATGGGTACATTGAGTTAATGAAGAGAATAATTGAAGGATATCAATGTACAGACATTTTTAATATCTCATTTCTTTCACAATATGATGATATTAAAATAAATACGCCTGAATATGCAATAATGAATGATAACGAAGATGAATTATTGTATCACTTGAAAAGTAAGAGACTTGACCTCACTAAAATCCTTGAAAAATGTTGTTTAAGAGGAGCAGTTAATTGTTTCAAGTTATTGCAAAAAGAATTTCACGTAAAAATCACCAAAAAATGTCTTGATGCTTCACTTAAAGGGAACAATCAACACATCATTAATGAATGTTTGAAAGAAAATGAGCCTGATCAATATACAGTGGAAGCTGTGATTGCATCTCATAACTTCGCTAATTTTTATAAACTGATAACAGAATACGATGTAAGAATCAGAGCGAAAAACTGCGCAGAATACAAAAATCTTCATGCATTTATTTATATTTTAATTGAAGATAATTTCAACCTTGATTTTCTGATAGCTCCAAGTTTTCATATACCATCTCTTTGTGAATATTTCATGCAGTATGTTACAGATATTGATTATGCGGATGAAAAAGGCGTAACAGCTCTTATATATTCATGTTTTCATTATTCTACAGATGTTGCTGAATTTCTGATTTCACGTGGTGCAAATATCAACAAGAAAGATAGTACAGGTCATACCCCCATTCATTTTGCAATAATTAGTTATTGGGATGATCATGATGATTTATCATTGTATAATAGCAAAGTCAAAGATTTGGTAGAACTTCTTCTTTCAAATGGTGCAAACGTTAATGCAAAGGATAAAGATGGACATACGCCACTTCATTTGGCATCATTGTTTGGAACAAAAGAAATTGCTGAAATATTAGTTTCTCATGGTGCCAAAATCAATGTTTTAGATGCAACAAGAGCGACTCCTCTTGATCTCACTATTCAACGAGAAAAATACAAATATAAAATAAATAGCAAACCAGAAACGGAATACCAAGAAGCAAAGAAAATACAGGCTCTCTTGAAATTGCATGGAGGAATAACCAAACATATGAATAAATAAATATTTGAAAATGTTGAATGCAATCTGAATAAAGCGTCAGTTGGATAAATTTACACTTTTATTGCGTTTTTATACAGCATTTGAATCAAAAATAATTGTATGTTTGATAATTTTTCGAATTACCTCAGACAACTCAATCCTCTGAAAAAGTCTGAGGTAATTCTTAGTCCCTACACTATTTCAATATAAGCTCCATTTTGAAATTAATTTTAAAAATCGAGCCTTGAAAATTGTGTTGAGACTTTTGATTTAATAGTAAAAAAGTATAGTTAATGTTATTAGAAAACGGTAAGTATATCCTTAATTAAATTTGTCACTAAAAAAGTTGTTTAATTAATTATTTTTTTTTTGAAAAAGAAATTTTGAATGCAAAAAAATTAATAAAAATGAGAGTTATTCAGAAGAGAAATATTTGGCAACAAATCTTTGGCCGAGTTCGACACCATTGAATGCTTTTTCTAAATGTGCACCTGTAGATGTCATTATTTCATCGCCAGCTCCATCACCAAGCATTTCAGCGAGATCAGCCAGTTTTCTAATCAACGCTTTGTCACAGACATAAACATCTGCGAGTGATGAAATCGCTTTAACAGCGAGTGCTGGGACATTCTTCTTCTGTACAACAACACCTTTCTTACGGTAGTTAGAGAGCATATCAACAAACTTAGCAAGCATCTGGTTAGACACAGAAAGACCTCGTTTGATGTATTCTGGATTTCCTGCGAATAAAACATCGTTTGAGTCGACATTAGGAATACGAAGAACAAACTCTGTACGAAGCATGTGACCAACGATGATGATTGACTCCAAAGCGAATACAATTGGTTCTTCATCTTTCCATGAAATGTTCATTACTGCCTTGATCAAATTACGAACACTCTCGAATGGATCAACACCTGGAGGAGCAGGAAGAACTAAGAGAAGTGTCAATGCATGTTCCAATACATCAAAGAGTTCTGGTGTTGGAGGAACATCTTTAACACTCTTCGTGAATTCTTCGAATGATGAGAATGCAAATGATGTAACACCTGCAATCAATGCGACATTCGATGTGTCAATGTACAGTTTCGCACGTGTGAGTGGATCAGGGAGAGAAGGAACAGTAACAAATGCAAAAGCAAGTAATGAACGAGTGACGACATCGATGTTAGAAACCTTCTGATTGACTGCTTGTGTGCAAAGACGCAATGCAATCTCTGCAATTGCAGCGAGAAGGGAATTGGAAGTAGGGAATGCAGTGCGTGCGGAAAGAAGGAAGTTGAGGTGTGCTTCGATGTTTGTTCCGAAATCAACGTGGTACAAGAACCACTCGATTGTTTTGTTCGTCTGTGCAACGATGTCTGGAGGTGACAAAACAGAAAGAGACTGGAAAAGAATCTGTGAAAGCTCCAAGAGAATTCTGATGCAAAGAGGATCATTAAGAGGGAATGGTTTCGCTGCAACGTCCTGAAGAATGAACCTTGATACTTCGACAAGTGATGATTCATCGAGGAAATCCATCAAAGCAACAATTGACGAGATATGGTTCAAAACAACATGGAAGTTCTGTCCGCTCTTAACTGTTGAAAAGATACAGTCCATGACTGATGTTGTTAACTTCTTTGTAAGAGAACGGACACCTTGAGAGTAGTTGTACGTCATTTCTCTGGCGGCGAAGTTCTGTTTGAGCAATGAAACAACGTTGGAAAGGAAGAGATTGATGTAATGAGGGCTGCAGAACTTTGCAATGTATTTTGTAAGAGGAGCAGCAACATAAATGAAGTCATCAATGCTCTTGAACTCTTTCATTCTTGTCCAGATCAAATTCATGACATCAAGGACTCCTTCGATCTCTGGTGCTTCGATCAATGATGTGATCAACTTGTAGATCAACTCTGGACGTGGAATGACGGAATCGGAATGGTCGATGATGTGCAAAATGACCTTGAAATTCTTGGCAACAAACTTTGGTTCGAGTTCTTCAAGGAAAACAGATAAAATGAAGGATGATGGTTCTCCAATGCTGTAGAACTCTTCAAGAGCTTGCTTGATGAGTGGGGAATCACCAATGGTAACCATCTGCTGGATGAAGAAGCTCAAAGCGGGTTTGTGCGTTTCTACGTACTTTTCGAAAGTATAATCAGGAAGATTAGAGTACTGGCGCTTGAATGAACCGTTCTTGAGGTGGAGGAGATGGCGAACGTAGGATGTAAAGAGAGGAATGAAGACATCTGTGGGGTAGTTCGGTTTCAATGAGAAGATTGTGTAAATTAAGAAAGCACGAACGAAAATACCGGCTGATCCTGAGCCAAGACCGTGAATACCATTGACGACTTGCTGGACGGAGTCATCAAATGTCTTGAATGGATGGAATTCAATGCACTTTAAGAATGTAGTCTGAAGAAGGAGACGTGGCAAGAGCTGGGATGTTCTAGAAAGAATCATGGACCAGTTCAAGCAAAGAACTTGGGTTGTACCGTTTGGATCTTTCAAGAAATCGGCTTTGCTCGTTGGATACTCAGCAATGCGCTTGTAAACCATCTTTCCGAAAATTTCGACAAGTTCGAGAACCATGATGAACTGTGCTGGGTAGAACTGTGGAGATTTTGTGTTTGAAAGGAGTTTGCAAGTTGTTGAAACGGTTTCAATCATTTGCCAATGCTCGCCGTCTTGGTGGAGTTTTTCTAGAACTTTGGCTTGCTCGGCGATCTTAGAACGAAGTCTTTCTTCATTTTGCTGCATGAGAGTAATTTGAGCGGCTTCATCACTTGTAACGGCAAGTTCTGCAAGGCGGTCTCTAACGCGACGGCTGAAAAGAACTGAAACATCACTCTTGGCGAAATCTGAAGCGCGTGTTTGGAAACTGGCCAAGCAGAAGTTTTTGTACTTGCTCCATCTGGACTCCATGCCACCAGCAGTATTCCTGCGAGAGGATTCAGTGAATGGATCAACTTCTTTCTTGGCACCTGTGTCAAAGGCTTCATTAACTGAAACTTGATGCTCTAAAATGTTAAGTGGTGATTCTTTGAGAGTCTTGCGCTCAAAACCACGAAGGACATCAATGTCCTTGTTCTGGGCTTGAAGACTTTCTTGATTCTCTGACATTTGATATAAAAAAGTGACGGCTCGGGTAAGAATAAGTTCACATAATCTATTTATTATCATTGAAATTTAAAGTACATCAACTATCCAAGCTATTTCCCAAATTATCTGATAAAACTAAAGAATAATCGAATTTCAGAATCTTGGCAAATGTGAATTACAGATCATATTCACTATATCTAGCTCTCAAACAATAAATTGGCATTAGTATTCTTTCGCACTATTCAATATTTATTTTATACTTTTTGAAATATCACTATTCTATACATAGCATCATGAAATCTAACAGCAATATATTGTTTTGGCGCTAATTATTTTACATAATTTTTGATGGCTGATGAAGAATTTGATAGCTTTCATAAAAGTTTGGAAGTTATGACAGATGGATCTTCATCAGCTGAGAATATAAAGGAAGTAGAACAATATTTGTTTACTTTAACGCGAGAATACACTCAGAGTTTCTTAACATTTTCAATTCGAGTAATAAATAATCAAAATGAAAGCACAATCATTACAAAATTCAATATTATATTGCTCAAAAACTTCTTTACTATGATATTGAATACAGATAAGCTCCAATTTCGAAAATATTGGAAAGATTTTCAGTCAACAAATGTACCATCAGAGTTAAAAGCGAATTTACAGAGACTGATGCTAGAAGTTGCAGAGTTATTTGACATTTCTGCAGTCACTTTAGCAAAAATAATTTGTCTTGAAGATTCAAATCAAGAATTCATCAGAAACATCATTGACACACACTCCATTTCGTTATTTTATTTGATCAATGAATTGATTCGCATAAATTTCTTCAAAAACACACCAGAAAAAGTCGAAATTTTATCATTAACTTATCAAACGATGCTACAAATATTCAAACTCGAAGATAACTTCAAGGAGAAGTCCACATATATTGTAGATTTCATCAAAAATACTATAGAATTCAATATCAATTTGCTGAAATTTTGTCCATATTTTTTCGAAGGAATTGACTTCTTTAATGAATATATTCAATCAATGCAATCAATATCTTCATTATTTGATGATGTCATTGTCGACAAATACTGTTCATTCTTGAGTTTATTAACTAAAGTATTATATCCAAGAAGTGTTGAATTTATAAATCAAATTATAGAAATCATTGTTAATTGTCCCGAAGAATATTTGAATTCTATTATTAGTTTAATTACTGATATCTTAAATGAAGAGAACAGAATAATACAAAGAAACATTCCTTCATTCTACAAGACGACATTGTATGAAAGCAAGATAATTATTGGTAAAGATAATAATGATTTCATTCATCAAAACATTTGTTTGAAATTTGAAGAATCAGGAATTTTCCAGAATTTACTTCAAATCATCGAATCATCATCTATTAATGATTATTTCAACTCCGAATTGTGCCAATTAGCTTCACAATCATTGACATCATTCATGAAAGATTCACCAAGATTCATTGAACTTATTTTGAGTCAAATTGAAAATTATTTCTCTATCTTCAACTATATTAATGGAATGAAACTTCTTGGAAGTGTTTTGAACGGATATCAATCTAAATTTGTTGCAGAATTTTGTTTGAATCAAATTACATCAATCAATGGTGATATTGGTGAAACAGATTTTTCAGTATTGAAACTTAAATTCCACATTATTGGTAAATTGATCAAAAAATACGGAGATAAAATGATATTTGAAAATTTGATTCCATATTTTCATAGTTTTATTGAAAGCTATGATATAAACAACGGTCAAGAACTCCTTATTTACTGTCTTAAAGCTGTTCTGAATGTTGTTAAATCGATTTCTAGCCAAGGAAAAAGAGAATTTTTCACTGAATTTCAAGAGATTTTGTTTGAAACGCGAGAATCATCTACATTTGAAGTATTAGAACTTATTGATCATATTTTTATCTTTTTAATTCCATTTTGCAAAGATAATAATTATCTTCAAGAACTCTTTGACAAATACATTGAATATATGCGAAACATTGATTCAGATGTTGAAAACAGCATCGACAAAGTTTCATCATCTGCTCGATTTGTTTGTCATTACTTTTCAATATTTTGTGACAGTGATGTTGATTTAAGTATCCGACTCAATGAATTCATTTCTCTCACAAACCGGTTTACATCATCACATGATATCAATCTTGTTGAGAATTTCTTAATTATCTTTAGTTTATTACTTAATTATTTAGGCCAAGGCATGCACGAACATATATTTTATATTTTCGAAGTTTGTAAAGATGCTATTTCTATGGGGAACCAACGATTGATAAGTGTTTCTGTTGAAACGATTGGATATATTATCGAATATTTCAAAGAAGAATTTTATACTAATTATTTAGTTGTCTCACCAGAGATTATTAATCTTTTCAAAGATTGTACTCTTGAAATCACAACAGAAATGCGATCACAATTTATTACTGGAATTAGTAATTTTATCTGTGGCATTTCTAACTTAGAAGATTCATTTGAATATCTTAATAACTATTATCGTATTATCACAGAAACCATTGACACTGAAATTGAAGAAATTAGTTTTGAAGAGAAAAAGTTGTATATTGAAACATTTGATTGTATTCTTCGTTCTCTATCAAATATAATTCGATGTCGAACATTTATCCACAGCCGCGAGCAGTATTTATGGCTTCGTAAAATCATGCTTAAACTTGTTCGGGACAAGTTTATTAAAGGCGAACTATATGATGATAATTTAATTCTTACATTTATTCATTTTATTGAATGCTGTTCAGAAGTTTTTGGCAACCAAATTGACCAACTTCTCAAGTCACGTGTATTTATATCATTTTACAATACCATTCTTTATTCATGCCAATCAATGAAAACGCAACAATTTTCATATGCTGTCTTAATCGAAAACTTAAAATTGTTTGTAATAGAGTAAATTATATATGTATAATTTTTATATTTTAGTCTATATCGTTCATTTATATGCTTATATTAAGAGAATGAACTTAATCTTACTTTGAATTTTGATTTTTTTCTTAAATTTTGAGTATTATTCGTTTTTAAGATGATATAATACAATATAATTTTCTAGAACATATTGATTGAAAAATATTTAATTTACATAAAAGAACTTATTTCAATTCGATAATTCCTTGCATTATTTAAAGAGTTATAAGGGATATCAAATTGCAACATATGAAGATACATATTGGGTTCGAATATTCCATCAAAACGTCACAAATGGAGCTTTGTTCAGTAAGGACAGATCATTGCTACAAAAACAAGTCTCATTTATCAATGAAACCGATCTTTTCAGTGTCCTAGGATCACTCAATGAGAATTTCTATATAAACAACACATTTAATTTTTTATATTACCAACCTGATGATTTTCCTCATGATTATTTCTTTTTTAGCCAGAAAAACAATTCACTCACATCCAAAATCGCTATCGAACCTATTTTTAAACCAAACTTAACAATTTGTAATTTAGATAATACAGAAAACGGTGAATTCACAGGATTAACAATCGCTAATGATACAGGGGCACTCATTGATGGTAACAATTTTTCAAGTTGGTGGCATTACCCAATCGGAGTTTTTTCTTATTAGCCCACAGACAATTCTATCCCAGGAGCACACTGCACAGACAAAACTTCTACGAAATGCGTTGAACTTTGGATTCAATACGAAAGTCCTTGCATTTTTGATTGGCTTCCAACAAAAAATTATTGTTCAGTATGCTATTGTCGTCCATTCAATTCGCTATTTTATTCCGTTTTTATTGCTTTATATCTTGAATAACTTTTGAATAAAAATAAATTCTAATCATTTTATTTTATTTTGTAGCAGGAGTAAATAACGATGACAAACTCTTGAATATTTTTTAAATTGTGCGATAAATTCACACTTCAGTTTCTCAAATTCAAAATGCTTTCGTTATAAATAATAAAGATATAATGATATCTTATAGAGTACATTAAAATTAATAATTTGGACAATTAATGAAGGCCATTTTGCTTTCAAATAACATTTTCTCAAAGAAATTATATGTTCTAGGAATAAATTCTAGCACAATTAAAATTTCTATATTTTTGTATGTTGTGCATCCATTTATGACACAACAAATGGAATAGAAACAATAAGAAAGACTTTTCAATGTAACAATTAAATTCCTAAAACGTGACAACAGGAACTTCTTCCCTAAATTCAAATATATTAGTGCTGTGAAGAAGAACTCAAAACAGATCAGGCTCTTATAAACCTAATAAATATTTTGTATAACCATGACAAACCACAAATAATATGCCAGTTATAAATTAAAACATATATTTACATCAAAAAGAAGTAAAAAACACAACAAGTCTTTCATTTTAGAGAGAACAGAATATAATTAAGTATATTATGCACAAAATAAGAATGATAGCATCCAGATTTTGCAAATATCGATATCCCTAATAACTCTTAAATTTTGCAAACAAAAATTTTTGATTAGATTTGAAATAGTGTTTTAGTTAATAAAAACGCAAATAAAAAATTCATGTCAATTCAATATTTGAAAGCTTTATTGTAAAGCATTCAAAATTGAATAGGATGAATCCGAGATTATAATATTACTCTAGTAATATGACACAGACCAATAAATACAAATTTATATTTAGTAAGTCCTAACTAACTTATGTTATGGATTATATCCTCAAAAACTAAGAATTTTTGATTGAATTTTATATTTTATCTAAAATATTCACAAGGCCTATATATGAATGTATATTAGATATATATTGTCTAAATCATCTTTAAAATATCAATAATATTTAAGTTAGAGGTAGAGGTATATATAGTTAATGAAATAGTCATTTACTTTAGGTTAACGATATTATTCATAGAAATCTTTATTAATGCTTAATATTCATATCATATGTATTTTTTTAAGAAAACACATAATTATCAACGATTTTTCATTCATCCACCGATGAATGGGAAGAAGTCTACAAATCTGAATCCACAAACACAGTTTACAATCAAATTCGGACATACAATGGATATTCAGGAGACTTTTATGTCCATGATGTATATTTTTCCAATCTTGGTGATGAAGGAGTTATTATTCTTGAATCTCCGGATCTTAAGTCACTTATTTCTTCAAACACTTTCGAAAATTCATCTCGAAATGATGTTGGTGGATCTATTTGCATCAATCAGGGTCAAAGCTCTATTCGAAAGGTTTGCAGCTTTGGATCTAGAGCGAATTACGGTTTGTTTTGTAGTATTCAAGTATCAGATGATCCTACAAATATCAATGAAGTTCTTGATTCATCAATAGCGTTCAGTAACCGGGGGATCGAAGTGGATCATTTACATCCTATTTAATGCATGGGAAGAATTCATTTTTACAAAATAACATTACCAAAAACTATTGCGAGCTTCAGACAGCTTTTGTAATAGGATATGGAGAAGGATCTATTTCAATAAAATATTCAATTATTGATAATGATTATGCAGATTCCATTATTTGCTTTACAACGTACAAGATAACATCAATAATAGAATACAACAGCGTTGTTTTTATAAATAACAGTATTTATAATCCCGATAAATTGTTTGGAATGATTCAATGTGATTATTCCGATTCTTATGGTCTTAGTTGTGATGTTATTTTAGAAAATTGTTTCATTGCAAATAACAAACAAAATGGTCAATATTTGTTTGGAATGGGTAGTTCAGGTATGTTTACAGTATCTAATTCATATATTGATACTACAGAACTATTATATAATCCAAGTCATAATGTAATAATAATAAATGAAAGTGATTTTTTCTTAATTGAACCACATTGTTTCTCAACAGAACTGTGTCCAATGGGCAAGATTTTTATTCATATCGAGAAAAGAGATAAAATAAAATGCACAGTTCCTCATTGTCAATGTTTTGGAAAATCTATATGTATTACAACACTTGTCTTAAAAAGATGATTTCTTTAAATCGAATAAATACATTAAGATATATGGAATTCCTCCAAATCCGTTTTCATAAAACAAAACTACTTTTGAACAATGATTGCCTAAGCATATATAGAAAATATTTCTTTTTCATAATACTATATCCATTTTTGAATGTGGATGAGACAACAAGAGCACTTGCCCCTCCTATAATTCATATGAAAACTTAGATCAATGATACAAATAAAATCAAATTTGTTCAATAATTTTTTTATATCTCAAAAAAGTGATGTGTTTCACATTATCTCAAAAATACATGTACATTTCTAGATTTAATAAAGTTACTTATAACTTATTTCGCATGCTTTACACATATAAATATATATGTATTATAGATCTTGTATTAAACTTATAAGTATTATGTAGATACAATAATAGACTCGCTCAACCATTGGATCTTATAAACCAAAATTATAATGATGTCACATAAATTATATATAATCCATGCCAATACGTAAGAATTGATCAAAGTAATGGTATTTCATTTAACTTCTTCATTCTTTCAGAAGAGTGCTGTCAAAAAAAGTAGCTATTTTGTTTATAATGACAAAAGAGAACAAAATCATAGATATTGTTCATGCCTATTTGTTTAAAGAGTCAAATGCTACTAGAGATAAATAAAGATAGTTTCTGTAAAAAAAATAATATAAAATAGCTTTTTTGCATAATGATAAGCTATTGGAGTGTTAATTTAAGTTGTTTTAGAATAAATTTATTAATTTTGCCGTATAATATGTCAGAAGTGTTAATAATGAAAAGAACTCATTCATTACTTAAGTTTTCCTTGATATTTTTGTCAGTTGGCAATGTTATTCTTCTCTTATCAATTGTACTGAATAAGAACTCAAACCAAATTCAAGTTCTTCCGAAATTTAAACAAGAATCTTTCAAAGCTTCATCATATTCAGAATTAGTTGATCATTACAGATTTTCTAGTATTTCCCGTACAGAGAATAATGCATATTTAGACTATGCAAAAACAAATTTTTATCCAGATTCTCAACTCAGATCATTTGTTAATGAATTACACGAGAAATTATACGGAAACACACATTCTGAGTCTCCATCTGCTAGATTGTCCTCAGATACCGTTGCAGAAATGCGTTCTTACATTTTAGAGTACCTTGGAATTACAGAAACAGCGAAATACATTGTTGTATTTACATATAGCCATGCTCAAGCATTGAAGCTTATTGCAGAAACATTCAATTTCACTATGAATTCAACATTTCTTTACAGTAATACAAGCAGCAACAATATATTAGGACTTCGAGGCTTTGCAACACAAAATGGAGCCAAAACAGCATCATTTGATATTAAATCTGAGCCGAAATTCGAATTTGAAAATAATACAAGAAATTTAATCGCATTTCCTCTTGTTGATGAGTTCGATGGCTCAACACTTTCTACACACAAGATGCAGGAAATCATAAAAGCTGCAAATAAATACAATAATACGTATACATTAGCCGATGCATCTTTATATCTTCCTCTCAACAACATTGACCTCAAAGAATTACCATTTTCAGCACTAGCAATCAGTTTTGACCGTCTTTTCGGTTATCCTTCCATGGGAGCTGCAATTATTAAAGATGATTTTGTCAAAACACTCAAGAAACCATATTTCGGAGGCGGAACCCTTGTTTTCGCACTTCCCAATGAAGATTATGAGAAACTCCGTGTCAATCCTTCCTTTAAACTTGAAGATGGCTCATTACCATTCCTTTCTATTGCAGCACTTAAAAATGGCTTCAATTTGTTGAAAGAAACAAACATTGGAGGCAAAGTATCGAATATCAGGGACCTCAGATCCAGACTGAAGAATGGCCTGACGGCTATCAAAAGGAAATCAGGTTCAAACGCTGTTTCTCTTTATGAAAATGAAAAATCAGATTCAATTCTCACTTTTAATGTTTTGGATGATGAAAAAAGACCATTGTATTACAGGGATATCGTTGAATCTGCATTAAACGCGAATATAACATTGTCAGGTGGATGCATGAACACACCAGGAACATGCATGAAATATCTGAATAAGACTTCTGATGATTTGAAGAAAGAAGATTTCGGAGCAATCAGAGCTTCCCTCGGATGGGCTTCTACAATGCAAGATGTTGACACCTTGATTAATTTCATCAAGGATTACATAAATAAATAAGGAGATATACTTGTTTGTTAAATAAAATAATTCAATTCTTTTCCTTATCATGTTTTTTTTTGAATAATTAACCTTATGTTCTTTTATAATTCATTAGCATAAATCATTATGAGATTTATTGGCCCAAATTTCCCAGAAAAATTCATTAATTTTTGAATTTTCATACGATTTATTGAATATTTTTTAGTTAAATGTGGGACAATAGATCTCATTCACGAGAATATGCTTTTCTCATTAAAATCTCATCAATATACTGCTCATGAATTGGAGAATTTTTCAATTAACAAAAATTTGATTGTATTGATATGCAAAATTGCAAATTTACCTCAAATACGTGATGATATGTATAAATTTTATGCTAGTAATTATAGGATGATAAAATATTTCAATGAATCAATTATCTTTTCAGATGAGCTAATTAAAAAGTTATAGGATTGATTAACTATTAAAAACATTTATAATTCTATTTATTTTGATTCTTAAAAACAAATTTCCAGAGTTCTGTAATTTGTTCTGGAGTTAAATCCGATAATTCTACTGATTGGTTAGAAGAAGGTTTCTCTACTTTCATTATATTAGCTACTTCTGCTGAGTTTTCTGGAGTAATAATTTCATTAAGTTTATCTGCTAATAATAAGAGACCAGGCTCTTCAAAAGCTTTTCCAACTTTTGTAAAATCTGTTAATTCTTCTGTATTTTGTTCACTAGTGAGTTTTTCGCGTAAAATCATTAAATATTGAGCGTAATAATAGGCTACGTTTGATTGTCTTTCAAAACGATTTTTGTATTCTTTTTCAAGTTCTTTTTTGAGGTGTTTTGCAATTCCAACAAGCAATGGTCCGTTTCTTTGAGAATAATATGAAATACAGTTGTCATAAATTAAAGAAAAGTCGGCCAAAAACTCTTTGGGGGACTGATACTTTCCTCTGCTAAGATTATCCTTTACTGTTTGAATGCACATCGGCGTTTTAACAATAGATCTGTAATCTTCGTCGAATTTTGGATCTTGAAATTCGACTGGTAGGTTGAATGATTCTGTCAAAGGGCACTTTCTGCATACCTCAATTAAATTATAGCATTTATCAACCCACCTTGATTTACTCGAACTCATGACTTTTTTTAGTTGTCACCTTTTTTGCAAAGATGCTTGGAAAAATATACACAAACATATATAATAAATCGCAATGAAAATTAGAAATTTCAATTTCATAAAAGTGACATTTTTAGTTGAAAAAAATATGAGTAAAGACATTCCAAAACAGACTAAATGCGATGTTTCAACAGATCTCATAAATAGAGTAGCTTCAATTGAATGCAGACATGAAGCATTAAATGAAGATATTGATACACCTTACGACCATTATATGCAATTCAACCAAAAAATTGAAGAAATATTTAAACCAGATGATGTTGCCCGTATTTGTCAGCAATATAACGTGAAGAAACCAATGAACAATTCTATTCCACTTAATATTATTGTTATTTCTGCTTTCAGACAACTTCAAAGTGCAATTGAATCCCAAAATAAGTAATATAAAGATCCATCTTGTTATATAAAATTACTTTATATGCTTAACTTCATCTATATGATTTTTTTTCATACTTTCATTGAACTGAATTAAAAATTGATAGCCAAATCTGCATCATCTCAGAGGGTATTTTACAAGTAGTTGCTTGGTCTGAAAAGTAATATAAAAAATATTTCGATTTTTTAAAAAAGAATTTAATTAATTCGTAATGAAGATTTTATTTCAACCAACATGACTTATGTTGTTTAAATGTTCATCTTCCTTCTGCGCCAGTGGCGTGTAAGTGGGTTGCGGATATGGCGAACACCAGTCATCTGGCGGATGAATTGTGGCATTGGGCGGTTAACCTTCATAGCCTTGCAAAGAATGCGCTTTGTTCTAAGGGTCTTATGAGCAGCCATTAGCGCCGAATCAAAAAGGAGAGGCCAAAACCGTCCGACGATTATTTTTTTGTTTCGGCTGATTTAGAAATAACCTGCCTTTATTCAAATATATATGAAATTTGGGCGTCATAGAGTATAAATATTTCAAATTATTATAAATTTTCCTTAGATCACAAATTTCTTCAAATTTGAAATGTATTAAAAGAAGCTATGGTTCAACGGTGTTGATATAGTGGAATAATTATATCTAAACTTAGTTGATTCCTTTGATTTTCTGTTCATAGATATCTCTTCTTCTTTGATATTTAAGTCAACTCTCACATCATATTAGTATTAATATAATAATGATTCAATTAGCATTTTTTAGTATGAACAACAGATAAAACATCTGCATTAATTCATATTTAAAAAATCATTACAAACATGTTTTTATTATTACAGAAGGATGATCACTTAAGGGAATATTATTTCATAAATCTCGTAATGAAGCTATTACGCAAGTTTGTAACAGTTTCTTGAGAAACATTTGGAATAATATGTTCTAAATCCATAGTCTTAGCAACATAGTCAGTAACAGCTACAGTAAACAACCCACAATCATAAGTATTATCCTGCTGAGGAGATTTCGGAGCAAAAAATTTATAATATTTGACACCATAGTCATCAGCCAATTGCTTACACACAGATTTTGCTAGTTTGGTTGTTGAGCCACCAATTGAATCGTAATGATAAAACTTATTTTCTTGATTAGGAGAGTATTCGGTATCCCAAATTATTAAACTCCAATGGGATCCATGATCTGCGCCAAGCCCTCCATTGTTTAATGGAAGAAATACATACTTGGCAGTAAAAACTTTAAAATTATTTATAATATCATCAATGAATGGTTTTTCAAGCATTCTAAGAAGTTGTAGTGTATTTGGTGGATAAAACATTATATTTTTCTTGCCATCTTCTGTCTCTTTTAGATTTTCAAGTTCAATTTTCCTTCCTGCTAAATGAATTAGAGTGTCATTAATCCATTGGCAGTTTTTAATCAGGTCTGCATCTGTTTGAGTGATAAGAAGGTTTTCGAATGAGTAAATATATTTTGAATTAGACATAAATGTCACTTTTGTATAATAATTTATTAAAATCGGTATTGGTTCGTAATTGTGTCCAAAACTTTATTGTTTTAATTTCAAAACTTGGAAATTTCTTGGATTGGAAATTTATTCATCATAAATCTGGCAATTAGTGGGGCAAATCCAATTATTTTCGCTAGAGATATTAAATTCATTAATTTTGATCAGAATAAATCTCTACATAGACTGTACGTTTAATTAGTAAATCATGCGTCCAAGAGATTCTCAAGGTTCTAAAAACAAGGAACAAACTCAATCAAGACTTGAGAAGCTCCACCAAGAAGCTGCTGCAGCTCTTGCAGAAAAACGTCAAGCTATTCAAGAATTAAATGACCAAATTGATGAAGCAGAAAAGAAATGCGCTCAACTTAAAGCCGAATTGCAATCTAAAATGGTTGAAATGCAAGAATCAGAATCAGAAAGCTCCGATGAAATGATGGAGGAAGAAGAAGATCTCCCAGAATTTGCAGAAGCTAAACAGAGACATGCTGCTGAAATTGAAAAAATTAAATCAGAGCAGGATGAAGAACTCAAATCATTACAGATAGAATTCACACGAAAACTTAAAGCCGCAGAAGAATGGAATGCGCAACATATTGAAACGCTCAAAATGGATAAGCAAGCTAAAATAGACGAACTAAAGTCACAATTAGAAATGTTAAAAGCCCAACAAAGCGAGGTTTTGTATACTCAAACTCAAGCTCGTAATAAGTTCTATCAAGAGTCAAGAGCCATATCTGCAGAGAATGAACAGAAGATCCAGAGTCTTGAAAACCAACTTTCAGAATTACAAGCACTATCTCGACAAGAATTAAGAGATGTACGTCTTAAAATTGATGAATGCTTAGCGACAGTTGAACTTCGTCAGCAGGAGCATCAATCTGAAATTGCTCGCTACGAAAAAGAGATAGCCGATCGAAATGAAAAATATCAAAATCACATTGCTGCATTTTCAGAACAGTTAAAGAATGAAAAGGCTAGAGTCGATCAAGAAGCTATCGTAGCAGAGACAAAAATCCAATCCCTCGAAAAAGTTCTTGCCCAAATGGAAAAACAACATCAAAAACAAATTGATGCGACCCAACAAGATATTGAACGACTTAAAGTTTCAATTAATTCGGCAAAAGCACGTGGCGATCAGTCAATTGAAGTATCAAGAACATCCGCCACACAAGTTCAATCGATTTCTAGAGAACTTAAACAACTACAAGAAGAAATCGATCTTGTTGACAAAGAAATTGGAGAATTGCAATCAGAAAATGATCAACTCAAAGCTGAACTTTCCCGCCTTTCGAAGCCTAAGTCTGATTCAAAAAAGATGTAATAATGTATCATTTTAATACTTGTGTTTTATTCATAAATCTTGTGTTTAATCTTATAATTTGCATAGATTGTTTTAAATAGTAAATTTGGCTCCTCGGATAGAAACGCATTCTTCACATTTAATTTTAAATGTAACAGAAACACATTAGATTATCTCTTATTTCATATTGTAACCTAATGCATTTCATTTCAAGGTGCCAAACAAGTACGAATTTACTCTATTTTTTCGTTTATTTTTTAATTGATTGATGATTACAAGATATTTTGATATCACATGGTCATAAATGAAACACATTGAAAAATATGACTACAAATGATGCAGTATTATGAGCTATTTCTCAATGTTCGTTTTTTGAATAGATATCTGAACTATCGGAAAGGAAATATTCTTGAAGGAATATCAAATAAAGCATTTGTTATTATATCATTAACATGATCAATTAAAAATGAAAGAAGAAATCTCCCAAGCGAATATATCGATCTTCATATTGAATTTATCATGATGTGAAAATAACATTAAGTTTTTACAATTTTAGAATGTTCAGTCGAATGGAGATATCACACATTTACACTTGACTGTAAAGGTATTGTTTTGTTGAAATATAATATAAATTATCATTACCTTCTTCTATGGATAGCAAATTTAATATGAAAGGAATCTGTGATTTTATTTTCATGGCCGAAATAAGCAAATTTAAAATCGTTTGGACAGAGTTCTGTTGAATGAAGATAAAGCTCAAGTGAAATTCTTCTGTTTGATATAATAGTCACTTGCTTTTTGGATTGATATAATAATTCTGAAGTATCGATATATGAACTAGACACTGTAATCGAATTATTTGAACCATAAATTCCGAACAAATATTGTCCATTTTGTTTGTTATTAGCAATGAAACATTTTTCTAAAGTAGTGTTAGACTCTTGGCAATATATCATTCCCGTTAAAACATCAGCTTCAGAAACAGTATTATTTATGAAAACAATGCTTTTGTAATTTGCTGATTTGAACCGTGTTAAACAAATATGGGAGTCACCATAATTTTCAGATATAATAGAATATGTTATAGAAGATGAATATCCATTTCCCATTCCTATCATAAAAGCTGTATTGTATTGGCAGACGTTTCTTGATATGTTATTTTGTAAAAATGAAATATTTCCATATGACAAAGAGACTGTACTATATTCATTTTGAACTTCTCGATTACTATATGTAATCGATGAATAATGAAGTTCATTGACTTTTCCATGTATTTCTGGATTTGACATTTCTTCACGAGAAATAAAGCAAAATTTTCATTCAGTTCCTTGAGATCCAAAACTGCAAACTTTACGAATGGAACTTTGGCCTTCCATGATGAAAATAGATCCACCTTTATCACTACTAAAAGAGTTTTCAAAGATGCTTGTAGAAATTAGGGATTTAATCCCAGATGATTTAAGTCTTATAAGGGTCCACTGTAAGGCCAAATAAGGCCTATCGTCGTCCCAAAAATATTGCTCGAGATGGTGTTTTACTAAGGCCCAAAACTTAAAAAAACACAAAAAAATTAACTTTACTCTTTTGAGATCCTTATCAGATATGCATCAATTTGATGCAGTATCGCAGTTCAAATCTGATTTTTTAATGTAGATGTACTCTAACATCCTTTAAAAAATGCAAAATGATATTAATTAAGCTTTTCATTTCTGTATCATACACGAAACAAAATCGTTCATTATACTAAAATTTATCAAAGTTTGATTAATGAAAAAATAATATCTAAATTTTTACATTGAGTCGGCTATTGATATGGTTAATATTAAATCTTGTAAAAATTGGCATTATCCAGAATAATACCCACTAAAATACACAATTTTTTTTAAAAAAATTTGGTAAAAAAGGGAGTTGGCGTCCTAAGGCGTCCTAGTGTAAATTTCTCAAGATTGTGATATTTACATCACATTTTTGAGAGGTTTATGGGCGTCCTAAGGGAAAATTGAATAGCTAGGGCGTCCCGAATTTTCATTCTAAGATTTAAATATATTATATACTTAAGTATAATACAAGCAATATAAAAATTAAATTTTTATTATGTTAACTTATAAGAAATTTTTTTGAATTATCGTTGATTTATTGTAATCTTTCCAGGCTATACTTTTGAAATCAACTTTACCTGTCATACGCATTAATGTAGTAGATGTCCAGGTGTAGCTATTATATCCCAGCAACATTGGTATTTTATCATTGTAAGATATCAAAATGAAGCGTTTTTTCAGATATAATTTTTCGTAAATTTTTCAAAAATAAGATGGTAAAAAAGCCTCGACTTGCTCGAAAAATAACAATTTTTTTACTTGTAAAAATAACCCTTTTACAGCATGGGCAGCTATTCAATCACTATTTCTTTTTCTAAAAGTATATTTTTCAAAAAAATTAAGATCAAATTCGACAATTTCTTGATGAAAGCAAAAATATTACACATACTTCTAGATGCATGGGATAAAATATGCAATTATTCAATCAATTCGCATGATTTGAAAAAAAAAAATCTAAATTTGATAAAAATGTAGAAATTTTTTATTTTTAACTTGAGATTCGATTTTTTTGATCCAATTTGTGAATTTTTTTTGATCGGAATTTCAATTAATTTGTTGATCAAAAATGACCTCACAATGTTTGATCATAAGTGAAGTCATCTTCATGGGTATTTAGAAATTCCAAGAGAAATTGCTTATTTCTCGCAGATGTAATATCTGAGAAAATCGAATTTAAATATTCATAGAAACCCAAATCATTCTCCGGTTCGAATAATTCATCTGTTGCTTTTTCTGTTTTTTCTATGAATTTTAATAATTTGATTAATAAATCTTCATCAGGAAGAATTATTGCTGCATTTGTGATAAAATTCCATATTGAGGTAATATGGCAATAATTACATTTATAAATGTAATTTATCCAAATTTTTTTGGCAAATTCGCATAATAGCATTAATATTTGAAGCTGAGATTAAACCTGTGATTACTTCTGTAACTTTTGGAAAATCAGCAATTTAATATCTCTTTATATTGAATTGAGAAATAAAAAAAATCAAATGGATTCATTTCTTCAATTTCAAGGAGATTGTAAAAATTGATAGAAGTGTTATTGCAACAAATTGTATTTGCAGCAAAAAATATCATTTGCTCGATTCCATTTTTGGAATAAATTTGCTGGAACAATGTTAAATTAAAACAGTTGCTTAATTTTTCTTCATTGTTTTCATAAAAAAGTAACAAGTTTGCAACTGAAATTTCAAAATTTTGATAATTGCCAGTTATTTCAGTAAATATATATATTTGCTTTTCTTCATCTAAAAATGGCAAATATTGATTTGCAATATTAACTAAAGTTTGGGATAAATTGTTCCAGTTTGATTTTACAATTTGTGAGCACATTATGTAATATGTAAATTTATCCGCTTTGTAGGAATTTAAAATTGTTTGTTGTTCTGTTTCAGTTAAATTACTGAATTTTTCAAGATTAATATTGTGATAAAAAATAGAATCCTTGAAACATTCTGATATCTTTTCAATGTTTAAAACGGATGCTAAAAAATGTAAAAGAACTTCATCAGTCACTGTGATTTTTTTGAAAAATTTATCCCAATTCAAGCATCCAATTGATCTTTCTGTCATTGTACTTATGCATTGATAAAGTTGATTTAATGAATCCGAAGAATAATCATTATGCTTGACTAGTTGAGTTAGTTGATACAGACTGTCGTCAGCCATTTTAAAAAAATGAATAAAATTGTATAGTAAATTATATTTGTGAAATTTGTGACGCTACATTCAATCTAAGACCAATATCTCAAAGAATTACTCATTTAAGTATTACTTTTCATTGTTTTTTAAAAAATATCTTTGCTTATTTGTTCACTTTTTTGACATTTATTATATGCTTTTTATCATATTTCCGATGATATGAATATATATTCTATATAAGAATGACGCTACATTCAATCTAAGACCAATATCTCAAAGAATTCCTCATTTAAGTATTACTTTTCATTGTTTTTTAAAAAATATCTTTGCTTATTTGTTCACTTTTTTGACATTTATTATATGCTTTTTATCATATTTCCGATGATATGAATATATATTCTATATAAGAATGACGCTACATTCAATCTAAGACCAATATCTCAAAGAATTCCTCATTTAAGTATTACTTTTCATTTTTTTTAAAAAATATCTTTGCTTATTTGTTCACTTTTTTGACATTTATTATATGCTTTTTATCATATTTCCGATGATATGAATATATATTCTATATAAGAATGACGCTACATTCAATCTAAGACCAATATCTCAAAGAATTCCTCATTTAAGTATTACTTTTCATTGTTTTTTAAAAAATATCTTTGCTTATTTGTTCACTTTTTTGACATTTATTATATGCTTTTTATCATATTTCCGATGATATGAATATATATTCTATATAAGAATGACGCTACATTCAATCTAAGACCAATATCTCAAAGAATTCCTCATTTAAGTATTACTTTTCATTTTTGATTCAATTTTCGAACGGTTTTCGTAAATTTTGCATCATTTCATTTTTTAATGGGAAAATCATCTATATTTAATCAAAAAAGAGCAAACTTTACAGACGAAAATAAAATATTTATCAGGGAACAATCTGATAAATACCAAAAATCAACATCGAGAGATGAAAAAACGAATATAATCAAACAAGTTCTTCAATATTTTAATATTAAATACGCCGAAAATGAATCTAAAGCTGTCAGAAGATATTTTAGTTATATTGCAGTTAAAAATATTCCCGCAGTTACTGGAAAATATCCTGATACAATTGTTCGCAAAGATATGCTTTATTCGCATGATCATACAAATATTATTAATTCAAATAATATTGAACGTTACTACCGTTGCATCGATCATTCTTGTCAAGCACGTTATTTAGTTAAAATTGAGAACAGTTCAGTTTCCGAAGATTTACAAAAGGAACATATACCC